GGCGTTGCGCGACGTGTCGTCTGGTGTGCTGGGCGTGTCGATGTGCGTGTGTGGGGTAGGGCGAGAGGCGGTAGTTTAGACTTGCGATGCCTGCGATGTTGGGCACAGCGGCGGCGTGCGAGGTGAAGAGGTGGGTGAGCGTCGTGTCAACCTGGTGCGAGTCTTTGGTCGGGTCGCGCCAGGCACCGCCGTGGATGTAGAGGATCCATAGTGCGGGTGGGGAGGAGTCTGTGTCTTGGGATTGGGCCTCTGGGAGCCAGATATCGAGGGTTTGAAGCGGGGTCGCAGGGGACGTGTACGGGAGGGAGGGCATGTGTTTGGCAGGGATGGTGGCAGACATTGTTAGGGATGAGGGGTTTATGTTGTTTTGTCTTGAGTAATGTTATGCGGGGTTGACGGTAGACGTTTCGTTACGCTAAACTTTGTCAACCTCTCACCTGGGTATCATAAAATACTAGATAGTGTGTAGGCGCGTCTGGCGACTACAGTGGTCTTTGTACACTACTAGTGTGTCAAGTATATTATAACACTCGGGCGTGGTCTTCGCATCATGCTACCCTGGAGGGGAACGAGCACATGTTTGTTTTTCAATGTTTTTGAATTGCTTTTTCATTATGTAGTGTACACAAAAGACACTGATGGAGGCCGACTATTCATCGAGGCCTCCTATAACAAACATTAATCCAAACATAGTCCAACACAAGCCAGTGCCAGGACGCCGGTAGAAAAACCGCAATGTATATGCAGGTTTTCCGATGCAGAGCGCGTAACGCATTGCTGATGCAGGGACCCAAGGTATCTCAAGGACATTATTCTTTAACCAAATCTTCTCATACCCAGAACTGAACCGTGAAAACATTAACAATGAAGAGTGCTTTACAAGAAAGCAGCCATGAGGGCACCGAAGCCGACAATGCTACCAGCGGCAGCCTTGACGTTGGCAGCAGCGCCAGTCGCGGCAGGCTTGCCAGTGCCAGTAGCACCAGATCCTGTGGCGCCCGAGGCACGGCTGCGAGTTGCGCCGTCGGAACCGGTAGCCATAGCGTCGGAGCTGGTGGGCGAGGCGACGAGCTGGACGGTGGTGCTGTTGTTTGCGCTGACGGTGACAGTGCGGGTCGAGTTGACCATGGAGCCAGTGCCGGTACCAGCGAGGGTAAGAGTGTGGACACCGGGGCCAACGGCGGGGATGTCGGCCGGCGCTGGCTGAGCAGTGACGACAGCAGGCTGAGATGTGACAACGGCGGGCTGGGTGCCGACGTTGGTGGCAGCGGCAGGCATGCCAGTTACGACACCGAGAGAGTTGGTCATGGCGAGGTAGCTAGTCTGAGGAGCCGGGTCGACAGAAGGGCCAACTGACGAGGTACCGGTGATGCTCTGATGTATTGTTAGTCGACCGTTTCCATAGAGTATGCGCTGAAAAAAGAACGTACCTGGGCCGACGCGACGGCGAGAGTGAGAGCGGAGACGTAGACTGAAGCGCGCATCTTGATAGTTGTGTTGTTGAGAATTTGTTTTGGTGTGGTGTTGTTTAGGTATTAGGGATTGCGGTTTCTCTGAAACGATAGACTTTGACGATACTAAGTCAAGTAGTACTAGTTATTAGGTTCGAGTAGCGATTGAGTGATGCGTGATGAAGAAGGTCACAGTCAGCGCGACGCTCCCTCCTTTTATTGCCATTTTCCTATTCCACCCCCAGCCCGGGCAAACAAGCATCGGAGCTAATCCTGGCCCTGCACCAGCCCGTCGCCACTTGACCCGGCAACCACCCAGCCCCATACTAGGCCTGAACAGGCGGGCAGCAGCCGGCCTGACCTGTGCTTAGCCGCTCTCGCGCCCAATTATAGCCCTCAGGAGTGGCGACGACGTCTCCATGTCGTGATGTGAGCCGAGATTTTGTTTTATCGAATCCATCCAAAAAAAATCCGTTTCGTGGCCCTGGAGAAAGCGACACACGTTACTGTCAGTCACTGTTGACAGCTGCCAGCGAAGAGGTTGAACCGTGGTTGTGCTGTTCAGACTACTGTGCGTCCCAGCCATTCCCCAGGTTTCAGCCTCAGCCTCGCCAGTGCCAGTACCACAACATCGTAGCTGTGCCAATAGGAACAAGACATGTTGGCGTCATTGTCAACATCCCAGCCACTCTGTCTGCCGTGCGCTTGGCAAAACCTCCATTTGATATCGTTCTTGCTTCCTTTTGTTTCGTGCGCCGTCAAACGTCAAACGGCCGTCAATCGTCACCTGCTGCAGTCCCCAACCACACCAAGCAGACCCTCCACAAGCCTCATAATCGATACCGGAGCGCAACCTTAATGCCCCAGCGTTAAGGCTACCTTGGGCTAGTCTGCAATATCGTCCATCTGTTGTACTGCGAGGGCAGCTGCTAATTACGTGTCCAATGGAGTTAGTCTCCTAAAATTAGGTTTTCGTCGGCGTCATCTCGTATCGAGAAGATCCGTTGCACTTTTGTGCATGCCGCGATGCCACCTCAAGCTCTAGAACGGAAACGGGGCCGCTGCTGGTTGGTCTTGGCCGTCCGGGGAGGTGTGGTGAAGCGAGATGGTATTTCGAGGTGATGCATCACCAACTCAGGTCCTCACAATGTTTACATGTCATGTTATCCAGATGATTATTACCCTAGTATCCATGTTTGATTGACTCATTCAAGTCACCAAGCACTGTTTTTGTCCCTCTTCAAACATTTTTAAGACTCATGTATTCTGATAACAAGGTGACCTCTCGAGCCGTTTTCCAATGAGCACGGACTTTCGTAATAGCCGGTCGAAATTGCTCGTAGGCGTTGTTGAGCAAAACAAGCCTGGTTTTCCCGCTCGCAAGGCGTGCCTAGCGAAAATAAGGGATGACCTGGCTGATGGGACCCTAACATCAGCATCTCTCAACATCAGGTCGCACTGCCGTCGGGACATTACCAACGCTCAGCAAGATGCAGGGCGCTGTACCCGCTCGATAATTCTTTGTCGTGGACATCCAGGCTCCCATGGTATTTAATCTTAGCACACGCCATTTCAGGTAGCATCAGCCACACACATCACACCACTCCCTATCCGTGCGACTTTACCGTCTCCATTTGCATCCCAATTATAGAATGCAGTGACAATCGAGGATGGGGAAAAGATCAGAGGCCCGCCGTCTACCTGCCTCACACTGCCGTGCGTCTGTCAATCTGAAACCAATAGTTTCTTCTCCGCAAACCGACCGACGCCAAAAGACAACACCGTCTTCGACAACAAAACAGTCATCTTTTGCATGCTCTGAAACAAACTTCACGACTCATTGCGTTTCAAGCCTCTGGGCTGCAAGCTCATATGTGGTCATGTATTACAAGTGACATGTACGTGCTTCTGCCTACAGCCGACCAAGACTCGCTCTTCTTGGTGTAAAAGTATCTGGATACCTTCCGGGTACACCGAAATTTAGTCCCTGTTCTTCTACGGCCCCAGCAGTTCTAACCCCCCAATTTTCCCTCTTCCATCGTAGAGGCGGCTCCAACAGACACATCGTCACCCATACGCTTCATGGTTGGGTACTTCCCAAACCCTGTGCCTACGCCTGTACGCCTATCGCCCAATGCCAATCGTCAACCATTAAGTAATACACAATCATTTCTTCGCAGCATTGACAAGTTCTTCGGTGAGCTCCCATTGCGGATCCCAATGTACATATTGCGCCATGGCGACATTCAGCAACCACTCGGTCTTTACAATGCGCGGAATCATGTCGTGCTTCTGGGCTAGCTCACGGAACTTGGTCCAATTGCTGAACTCCTTCTTGTCGGCATCAGATATGAGATACAGGATATCCCCTTCATCTTCGACTTGGTTTTGGCTAACCTCCTTGTCAGAGGTGTTTAATATGCGCTTGGATGCAGAAACAGTCATTCCGCGACCCTTCCATAGCGTGCACTTTCCGCCGTTGACTTGTATGATTTCCTTGTACGTTTCGAAGCCACCAGCTACCTTCTCAGTGCAGAAAATGGTCCAGTCCTTCAGAAGGCGGTGCTTATTCTGCTTCGCACGCTCGACGGCTTCTGATAACCGGAATTTGTTGGCCTTTTCAAAGTCTTTAGCCTGGAGCAGATGGTTCTCCGCCGGTGGAAGCTTGTTGTTCTTGAGCGCATAATCGAGATAACTCGTCGAGACCAGCGTAGGCGCACAAGCCATTGCCGCAATAAACTTCTTCGTCCGAACTGGCTGTGGTGCACAGACCAAATCTACTTTCTTGAAATCGTCTGTGATGAATAGGCCAAGCTCTCGGAGGCGCGCTTTGTCCTTTGACTCCTTCTCAGGGTTGTTGGTCCATCGTTCGTCCTTGGAGATCAACATGCGGAACTTGATAGGCGTGAGCTTGTCCTTCTTGGCGCGCTTGTTCTTCGCAGGAAGCTCCGTCATCTCATCCTCAGTCTCGTCGTCCTCGTCGACTTCGTCAAACGAGCGTTTGCTTGAAACGGACTCACGACCACCCTTGGGTTCCTTCAACCGATCGTCGACTTCATCTTCTGTTCGTCGGCGCCCGCCATGTATGACACCCCCTCTGCGCTTCATCTCTTTCTCAAACTGGGCGATGTCTGGTGCGGAATCGTGGAGCTTTGACAGTGCCCGGTCCTTTGCCCCGCGACTACCTGGTGTGTCGTTCTCTTTGCCATCGGTACGTCGAGGTGGTAATGGTGTCTGTACATCGCCTACCCCCCCTGATTTCCCACGCTTGGCCTTCTCAGCGGCAGGTGCTTCACTTGTCCTTGGCGCTACACTCGATCCATGAACATTTGCAGATGCTGCCTTGATTGCTTTTGCGGGCTTTGATTGTGCTTGCTTGGGGTAGAAGATCTTCTCGGTAGCGTCGCGGTCAATCTCGGTCTGACCCAGAATCTCTCCTAGGTTGGTCCGCGATGGGAAGTATGTATACCGGTTGTCTGTGAGTGGCATCTCCTTACATTTGGCGTAAGAATCTTCAAGCCACAGGTGGTTGACGATGTTCACACCCCATTCTACGGCAGCTTCGCACTTCTCGCTGTTCTTGTGTGCCGCGATGAGGTGTGTGTTTTCCTGCTTGAATGTCTTTGTGAATTCTGCGCCCGAAGCCTTGATCAAATTCTCCAGGTATACCCTTGCTTCGCCCGTATAGCTGGAAATGCTGATTTTGTATTTGTTGAAATCAGGAATGCCGTGGCGTGGTCGCGGGTAATGCATCATCCGGTGCATTGGATTTGTCCAGATACCGTGTGTGATTAGGTAGTATAACCAGCCCAAATTGCCAACGTCTTTCTGCAATTGCGAAGCCTTGATATAGTCGGAGCCTTCTCGATAGTTGCAAATGTACATGTCAACCTCGTCAATATTCGAAGAGACACTGCCACCTCCAGCCTGGATCATGTCCGTGATTATTCCCCTAAGCTTGCTGCTGATATTCAGGTCTTCGCCGAGCTTGACACTCTTCCCCTCGAAAGCCTTGATCGCGCGAGGAGCTTCCAGGTGAGGTGGCGGTGGTACAGGATCGGCATGGGGGTCAGGAGTCGTCGCATCTCTGATTTGTTGGCTTGTTCGTGTGGGTGGGATCGCGCCTGCTTCGTCGGCGGCAGCCAGGATTTCGGGGTTGGGCAACTTGTAGGGGCGCTCTGATATCCTACGGCCGACCTTGAGGCAGTCATCAAACCTGCGAAGGTTAGTTTTGCCATGGCTCATGCAGGGTGGAACTTACCAATGCGGCAATACAATCGCAAGCTGGAGGCGTTTACTAATGGCGAGCTGACATCGCGGTTCGCCCACGTCCAGCGCGATAAGATGTGTCACACATTTGGACAGACTTGGTGAAACCTGCCCACCCAATGCCAGCACGCCGCCTTCGATTGCTTCTTTGTCTCCGCTGGGGATATCTCCACAGCATATAACAACATCGTTCATGTATAGCGCGGGGTCCGGGCTGTATGTTCTTGGATTCTTGGTCTTCCCGAATTGTATCGACGCGTCAATCCATGTTGGCTTGACGACATGTATCATGAGATCAAGGGCGCGGTGGTAGTCAGGAAAGTCGGCCGTCTCAGAGATGATGTAATTGATGTCTTGGAGGTTCTCAATTCGGCCTTTGGGCGCATTGAAGGGAATGATAGTACCGCGCGCATTGGATATGGCGTGTTCAATCTATGCAACGCGTCAGTAATATGTCTATCGCGTTTGGACGTGTTGCGCACCTCGCGTAAATCATCTTCAGAGAGACCATTTGGATATATTGTGAAACTCAAATCTACAAAAAGTCCTTGGGAACCATCTAGCATTGTAGTGTCCTCCATGTTGTAATGGAGCGTGCTATGTTGTGGTGTTGACGGGGTTGCCGATATTATCTCAACTGCAAGGCGCGATGCCCTGCGTCAGCGGACAAGCACGAACGCGACAATGTCCACGTGATAGCCCGCCAAAGCACTTCAACCCTATGTATGTAATTCCGTCATATCGCTCCAACACGTGCAGATGCTCTCGCTTTTGCAGTGACAGGCTGCAATATCGCCCTCACTCCAGCCGGGTACATTGAACCTCGAGCGAGCACTCTGCTTCCATGAAACTGTGGGTGCGAGGGGAGAAAAGAAGCCGTAAGTTAACTTACCATGTCCGTGCGCGTTTTGGCCATGTTCGAGTTTTGGCCACCCCAACAACATGAAGATACCAGAAAAATGAGGCTGTATCACCAGCAACAATAGCTATTAATGCGAAATCTTGTGGAGTTGTAGTAATTATATCATTGCGATTAACTTGTGCTACTTGTATTTACTTGGTAGCTTAGTTTTGCGGCCAAGGCGGGTGGTACGCGCTGGGGCGGCTGATGCAGCCTCCTCAGCTTGAACATGAGATGGAACAACAACGGCACGTTTCTGACGCTTTCTAGGTAGCTTAGAGGCTTGTGAGGCCTTGCGCTTACCCTTTTGGGACAGTTGTATAGCTTTTTCAGCGTCGCGAGTTGCTTTCTGGCGCTCCTTTTCAGCCTCCTTAGCGGCTCTCTCCTTCTCCCTCACTTCCTTGAGCCTCTCTTTCTCAACACGCTTCTCCTGAGCTTGATGAAGCCTGTACAACCGAGCTTGCTCCTTCATCTGAGATCTCTCAGCTTTCTGAAGTTGTTCCTGTTGTTTTTGTTGTTGTCGAACTGCTTCATCGTCCCGAGCCCGATGGACCTTACGAGGAGACCAAAGAAGAGCACCACCATAATACTCATGGTTGTTGTTGACGTTTAGAGTATAGCTCTTCTTCCTATGTCTCTTTTTCACCAAAAGAGCCTCCTTGAGGTCCCTGTTTTCACTGCTTAGGATACTAAGTTGAGCTGAGATATGGTGGAGACTTCGGTAAATCTTCTTTGTATCCTTTGCGTCCTTATCTCGCACTTGACGAGATATAAGAGTCTTGATTTTAAGCCAGTCTTCTGCACTAAGCACAGAAGTTGAGCTTTCATCTGAGCTTGATGCCTCTTTGCGGAATCTTCGGAGTATAACCTCAGCGTTAGGTGGGTGTATCCCAGTTGCTTCAAACGACTTCATGATAGTTTGAGGTTTAAAAGCAGCAGCCCAGGCACTCCAAAAGAGAGGAAAGAAGTCTCCTTTCGTTACTGGGATAAGCCCCTGGCTTCTATAAAGGTGGGATGAAAGCTCAGTTGAGTAGGCAGTCGAGAGAGGCTTGAACATCCCAACATCAAGCGGCTGAAGCGTATGGGTTGCATGAGGAGGAAACACGAGTAACAGGATCTTGTGGTCATTGCAGTAGTTGATAAAATCCATAGTTACGTGGGATCTATGGCCGTCAAGGAGTAGTAATCGGTATCCTGAGCGAGCTTTCCATCTAGTCTCTCTCTCAAAAACCTCCTTAAGCCAGGCAAGTCCTATATCGTTGTTTGTCCAGCCAGAAGGGGATGAGCCGATGAAGACTTGGTGCTTTTCTTTGTTGATTGCGTCCGTCCAGCTCGATTGTAGGGCTCCAGCAGCTGACTGGAAGATGAGCGCTGGCGATAGAGCTGTACCATCCGAACAGATACAGGCTAGCACCGTCACCCACTCTCTAGAGCCATCCTGAACAGCAGCTGTAATCCCTTTTCGATCGTATATCCTCTTGTCGAAGACCCTTTTCGATCTCCCAGTTACCCCAATCATGAAGCCCTTTTCATCTATATTGAAGATGTGGGAGGGCTCTACATTGTACTCCTTCATCTTACTGTGTAACAGCTCGAAGTATAAGCTGTACTTAGCTCCTGAATCAGCCTTGTGGCGATTGCGGTCCATCCCGGTCTGCCAGCGTGAGATGAGATGGGTTGGGTTTCTGTTAATGAAGCGAGTAACCCAGCTTTCTGAAACCTCCCTACCAGCCAAAGACGACGCAAGGGAGCGTATTATTGCTCGTGTAGGGGGCGTACGTCGCTCAGTAAGCGTCGTAATATGCTTTAACAGTTCGGTTTCTTGGTGTGGGTGAAGGATTCTATGGGCGAGCGTATGCGGCTGGTTTTGGCCTTGGTGTCTTCGAGCTAGCGTACGGCGACCTACACCATGTCTTTTTGCGACTTCTGAGTACGAGAATGGTGCACCTGATGCGCGCGATTCGATTTCTTCAATCGCTTTTTGAATCGGATCCATGGTGGTGGAGTTATGACGTGTTCTGTATAGGTGATTGTTGTGTTGGGGTGGCCAAAACGCGAACGTGGCCAAAACGCGCACGGACATGGGTAACGTTGGTGAGATGGACCTCGGCTTCCTCCCCAGATTGTGCCGGCAACTCGTCACGACACCTTGCGCATCAAACACCATATCTCACTGTTGACCCCCTTCTGTTTCCATTTCCCTTGTGACGTACTTTTACTGCAGTCTAACTTGGATACCTTCTTATTTCCTGTTAGCATCGTGTTATTGCCTTTACAGATCGAACCAGGCTCCGATTCCATCCAGATTCGGTATCATCGTCAACCATGTCGTCAAATCTCTTCCGGATAGATGAACACAAGATAGAAGCTTCGCATATCCGCAGTTTTTCGCGGGCGACTGCGACGCAGCAAGAGGAAGTACTGCATCTAGCTGTGAAGCAATACACACCACTCAACAACACGAGCCCCAAACCTGGAGACATTACCATCATTGCAGCACACGCGAACGCATTCCCGAAGGAGTTATATGAACCACTGTGGGATGAGCTATTGCAGAAATGCAAACAGTACGGCTTCGGAATTCGTGGTATATGGATAGCAGATGTCGCGCACCAGGGCTGGAGTGGTGTTCTGAATGAAGACAAATTGGGCAATGACCGTACGCGCATTCCTTCAAGTACCCTATCATATACTAACTAGAAAAGCGGCATGGCTTGATCATAGTAGAGACCTTCTCAACATGGTGAACATCTTCCGCGCCCAAATGCCGCGTCCGATTGTTGGCGTAGGCCACAGCATGGGAGGCTGCCAACTCGCCAACCTTGCACTCCTCCACCCTCGCCTTTTTGAGACCCTTGTTCTTGTAGACCCTGTCATTCAAGGCAGGGTCTCGCTGAAGGGCAACGTCGGACCAGCTGCTGCATCATCAAGGCGTCGAGAGTGCTGGCCCTCGCGGGAAGATGCTAAGCAGAGCTTTTTGAAGAGCAAGTTCTACCAGGCGTGGGACACGCGGGTACTAGATCGCTGGGTGCAACATGGATTAAGAGATGTGCCTACCAAGTTGTTTCCAGATGCGAAGAAGCCCGAGGTCACGTTGACAACCACCAAGCATCAGGAGGTCTTGACTTTCTTGCGACCAAACTTTGCTGCGAGGCCAGGAGACAAGGAAATGTCGTCCGCAGAAGCCACTTTGAGCAATCCAAAGCTTAACAGAAGGACCCATGCAGATCTGACACCTGACGTTGAACCGCAAACTCCCTTCTATCGAGGCGAAGCCACTCTCGTCTTCAGCCAGCTGCCCGCTATCCGCCCTTCAGTATTCTACGTCTTCGGTCAACTTTCTTCCCTCACAAACGATGCCATTATCGAAGAGAAGCTGAGTTTAACCGGATCTGGTGTTAATGGTAGCGGCGGACGCGCGGAGGGCCGCGTGGATTGTGTAACTGTGCAGGGTGCAGGGCACTTGATACCCATGGAGAAGGTGGTAGAGACTGCAGAGCATGCTGGCAAATGGATTGGCAAGGAAATGAAGCGCTACCGGGATTGGGAGCGCAAGACTGAGGAGGAGTGGGATGGAAAGCAGGGGCCGGCGAGGGCTATGCTACCCGACCGGTTCGTTGAGGAGCTGAATGCGTTCCTCCAACCTAGGGAGAAGAAGACATCGAAGCTGTAGACGTGTTAAAAGTCGCGGCTAGATAGTGCGATATGCGACGTGTCTAATTCTTTGCACGACTGTAAATCTCACAAGTCACGATTAGGGAGAGTCTTTGAGATGGATTGTTTAAAATAGATTGTATGCTACTTGATGCTTAACCTAAGAGAGTGCTAGCTGGCGCAGAAAGCCACCTACCTAGCTAATCCAGCTCTCCTTGTGTTCCTGTGGCGTATTCCAATACCCTGAAAGAGCTGAATGCTTCTCTCAATGCTGTAAATAAGTGTAGAGGGACAGCCCAACTGTTGGACAAATAGTGTGGTGATGATTAGGGCCTTCAACTATCCAACCAACGCTCATAATCTGTAAAGCAGTAGAGAGAATAAGGTGCAGTATAGCGATAATACTAATACATATTGTATTATTAGGCATGGGAATTTAGGTACATCAGGGTACAATAGTTGGGTTATGTGTAATTTGAGTGCTGGCCTGTTATAATTATCGAGTTATCCCCATTATAAAATATTACACTACTCAAACTACATCTATTCATCCTTATTTTCCCCCCTCTCCGGATAGTACCCACCTGCAAACTCTAAGCTCGCGCCCTCCCACCGTTCCGTCTTAACCTCCTTCCACGCACTCCAAGGCCACCACCCATCTCTCTCGGATATCCTCACTTCAATCATAGCAATGAAACTCTCAATCGCAAAGTTTGCCCGATGTCCATTAGGGAACGGAGCCGCGAGACCGAACCACCCATGTTCCTTTGGCGCATGCGCCTTGAGCTCCAACTTGTAGCTGTAATTCGATACGGAGATAGAAAAGCTGCGAGACTCCCAGTCGTTTGCAACGTTCATGAAAGGGCTGGCGAGGTTGAGATATGATATGGAGAAAGGGGGAATGAAGTCGAGGTCTAGAGCTGGGGAGCGGTAGCCGACTAAGTATGCGGTGTTGTACATTATTTTGCCGCCTGCGAGACTTATACCACGCTTCTCTTTGTTGTCCCAGGCTTGCACCCACATATGTGCATCGGGGAAGCTATTTGCCCAGTTCTTTTCTTGGTGGATGGTCGCGCGATTCTGTCTATCTACTGCAGGAAAGGCGTCGCCGAGAGCGGGTATATTGAGGGTGAAAGTGGCGGGTGAACACAGCGAGTGTACGTGCCAGTGTAGCGGTAATGGAAGGTTGATGAACCAGCCCTCCGGTGTGCTCTTGTCTTGTCGCCATGTCGTGTGTCTTCACTTTGTGTTTCTAGTTTCCAGCTTCCATCCTCGGCCTCCAGTTTGTAGCTTGTGAGTCCGTTGCTTGTGGTCCTCATGTACCCCATACCCGGAACTCTGAGCTCGAACGCCTTGCTCTTCACATCTGTAGTTACGTGCTCGATGTATCGACAAAGTGCTCGCGTTGGAATATTGAGTCGCCAGAAGCAGGGTAGTAGGTAAAAGAGACCATGTGCGGACGTGAGGTTGCTTTTGGGACGGAGCAGATGATGAGAGCGATATGGGCCCCAGATGCGAGGTCGAATTTCGAGTACCAGCCCTCGAACTGGGAGGAAGGATGGGGTGCGTAGTGTTCCATGTCGCTGCTGTAGTGAGGCTACTGTTTGTGGTTGTGTAGATACGGTCTAGGCGTCGTTTGTTATGTTTCTGAGCGTGATGTCAAGCGTTCGCGGTCGATTGGTTTGCGGTCGCTTGGTTCGCCTGCAACTCATGACGTAGGTGGGTAAATACGCTTCGAGTCCAAAACCACAGTTGATGGCGTCACCGTGGCCTGCTCAAGTGCGGAGTATAGTGCCATTGTACAGATGCCTAGTAGTACATTTGAGTGAAGTAGCAGACTTACAGGTTGAAGCTATCGTATCAGCGAGGCATTCACTGTACTCTAACCACACGTTTTAAACCCCAACAGCGTGTTGAAGGCCATGAGACTTCATGACGGGCTGAACTCTTTGTATTCCAATCGTGGGTGTAGTTGCCCCGCGGCTGTACTTCCACGAGTATCACAACTTCAGGCGCTGACTGACAAGCACTTCACATGTTCTCTTCCATGAGTATACTGGTGTTATGGTCGAGACAGGCTCGAGTATTTGTTCAATAGTCCTGCGCCTCTATCAGCATAACCACAGGCTATCTCATCATTTGGGGAGCGCAGGGCTATCTCGCAAGCTCTCTTCAGTGCAAATTTGCGCAAGCTCCAACCTGGCAACCCAAACTCGGATACTTAACACGAATTCATGTTCTTCTGTAGCTTCTTCCTCAAGCAACTGGCATGCCAGAAGTCTCAATGAAAAAGGTCGCGTCAGTCTCAAGTAGTGCGATAGAGACGACACTGTGCCGATGAGTATGAGCAAGCCCAGGGACTCATCAGCTAGTTTCAAAAATCGATTTAATCGGAAACCTCCGTGGAGGAATTTAAGCGATTAAACTTAAAAGAACAGATACTACACTTGATCTAAGCCAAAAGGCAAAGAGAGCTGGGGAAAAGAAGAGAGGACGGAGGAAGAGGGGATTATATGGACGAAGGGGAGGGCCTGTGCTGACGCTACTTTAGCGTCCACGTGACGACTGCCTAGCGGTAGAACGCCGGCGAAGGCTTCGGACTGCCGGAGTACAGCCGGAGTACAGCCGGAGTACAGCCGGAGTACTACCGGCTGCCTTCGCTACGTCTATTGGGTGGGTACGCATGCTAGTGGAGCAATAGGACGGAGCGAGATGGAAACTGGCTGGCGATGACATAACAAACCAAAGAGACGTCGAACATCTTGCGCAATATGTTGGGATTGTACAGGTGGCGCTTAGGATAAGGCTAGAGACTGGTGGGATCCAAGGACTTTTGCCAGCGTGGACAGTGACCTGGCAATGCTGCGGATACCTCCAGGTTCTCTCCGAACTTCGATATATGAAGTTCAACAACCGTAGTATGCTCTTGACACCCTCTATACATTCCGTACTCTCATGATGCAGCTTTTCTAGTCTAATACTATTTCTTAGACGAGTCCCTATTAGACTCCGCAACAATCAATTCAATCCGGTCACTCTCCTAGACCCACTTACCTATCTAGGTAGGGCTTAAACTCCTATAGGTAACTACTAGGCTTAAAGCGGTAATCAATCAATCCAATCTGAACCTTCTAGGACCCACTTAATTGATTGTTGCGGACTGTGGTCCCTATGGACTCAACGAATAGGAGACTTTCACAATATGTTCGGCACTAAATTGGATAATGTATTCTTTGCATAATTCAGTCAAAGCTGTACTAACACTTCATCTTAAAATACTATACTGTGGTCATCATCGTCGCCAACACCATAGACATAACCTGACGTTCACTAAGGCTTAATTAAGCTTTCAATACTGGTTGGGACATGCATACTATAGGCTAGGGTTGGACCACGTTGCGGCGACCTATTATGCGACCGCGACGAGAAAGCGCTGTGCCTATATAGAGGGTGTCCAACAGTCTTGTCACCTATGTAGCAGTTTTTGTACTATACTATATGTCCACATAAAATCACTGTATACATATATACCCTTTAAGAAGTGCTCGCAGACTCGTAAAATGCATACCGTATCACACAACAACTACGACTGTAATGAGAATCAACAGCATGCGATAGCTATATCCACTCAATACAAGCGTCTGATCATCCAAAATCGTAGAACAGTGGTGGACACAGTTGTCTATAGGCGATACTCTCACTTATAGCTCATCTTTCTCGTCAGAAGTCTTCACCTTTGTCCGTGCTTGCTCTATGAGACCCTTCCTGACCATGCTTGTAAGGACTTCGTAGGCCACTTGGGCCGCAGCAAGGCCTGTCGTTTCCGCAGCACCATCGTAGGCTGGACTGACCTCGACGATATCCGCACCAATGACATTCATCCCTTCAATGCCCCGTAGAATTCTGATGAGTTCACGCGTGGTCCAACCGCCAGGCTCAGGCGTGCCCGTACCTGGGGCCATACCAGGGTCGATAACGTCTATGTCTATGCTAAGATAGACAAGTGTCTCGGTGCCTACACGGTCCATAATTGAACTGATGACCCCCTTGACCCCGATGTCGTCGAGGTCATCTGTACTGATGCGATGCCATCCCTGAACTGTGTCTTAGCGTTTGCAGATGAGAGGATGAAGACGTTCGATGAATGATTTAAGAAAAAAAAGGTGAAGGTGAAGGTGAAGATGAAGATAAAGGTAGAGGTAAAGGTAGAATTGTGGAAGCATGAAAGCGTGAAAGCGTGAAAAAAGAGTTTTGGCAAACGTACCTGTTGCGAGTCATCCGTGTAGTCTTCTGGTCCGTCGCCGGACAGTCTCGTCCTCAACCCTGCATGCACACTCGAACCGTTCGCAATCAGACCTTCTGTTGAGGCCACCCAAAACATGCTGCCGTGATTGAAGGAAAGTGAGCTCTCATCGAGCCATGCAGAAGGATACTTGGCTACACACATTAGCATGTATTCACTACCACCCAAAAAATTACAGCTCCAAATCGACCATTATCGGAGATTGGAAGCCTCAACCAAAACTGAGAAGTCAACATACCTGGATGCCATGTATCAAGGTGCGCATCGAAATGCACTACCGCGATTGGCTGCCCGTACACCTCCTTTAACGCCCTCAAAGCAGGCAATGCAATACTGTGATCTCCGCCTAGTGTGAGCAACTTGGGCTTTTTCAAGTACTGGACGCCACTTTCGGCGCTCTTCTCTGTTGCAGGCCTCTTCCCCAGCTCCATGAATGCCTCGCTCATCTGCTTCAGGGCTAAGACGTTGTCGAATGGCGTAATTGGGATATCTCCGCAATCTATAATCTTGGCCCATGATGTATACGGATTCAGGTTTGCTCGGGGGTTGAAGCCGCGGAAGGATGTCTGACGCGCGGAGCCAGCACGAATGGCACGGGGGCCAAAACGAGCACCGGGACGGTACGAGACGGCGGTATCGAAGGGCGCGCCGAGGATGGCAATGTCGTACGTCGTTTCGGGATGGGTCAAGCAGCGCGTGTGCGGTAGGTGTGCGAAAGTAGAGATACCACTGAAACTCCACTGTTATCTGTCAGATGAGATTGGAGCCCAAGAACATACAGAGCTCACATCTGTACCCCACTTCCTCTCCAGCTCATCTAGTCGCTCTTGGGAGAAGGTATCTTCTGCATGGTGAGTTGCGTGTGAGGAGACACTAACTGCGCCAGCAATGAGGGCTACCCAATTCCACAGCATGATGTGATATACCAGATTCTAGAGGCATTGAACCCAAGTATTTAAGGACTGGCACGTATGGTAAATAATTAGGTAAAACGCGTCTTATCGGGTGTGTTGATTGATGTCATGTGCAAAGGCTCCGTGACCGGCACTGCGGGGCAGCCCAACAAGGCAGGTCCATCCTGGCGTCAAGGAAGACTATCGGACTATGTACCGTACATAGGCACTTGTTAAACATCTAGGAGCCTACAATGCGGAGCATTGGCGACAGGTTTCGGCATGGGTAAATGAATGACGTGAGGAGTCTTGACTCGTGAGGACGCGACCGTGTTTTGCGATATTCGGCTGCCCTACATTTCAACCCGTTGCATGATCATGCCTGAGGTTAGGACACGGATTTCAGATACCGAGATAAAATATATTACAGAGGTAGTGACACATATAACTAGTTATCAGGTAAACTAAAGCTACCAAAGACCTGCTGCAATGAAACTTGGTAGGATGAAGATGGCAGGCCTAAGAACCTGGCTCGTTCCGCAATTGAAAAGGAATAGTTATATCCGCTTCCACCCTATGCCAGATAAACAAACAATCTCATTTGTCGCCCTCCTTCTTCGTAGCCCAGTTCATGTCCAGGATGCTTGCATGAGGTGCGGATTCTTTGCCGACTAACCTAGCGAATTGCTGGGCGTAAGAAGCTCCGCCCTTATTAACTCGGATGCTTTTCTGACGGCCAAGCTTTGTACTTGATGCAGGTACTGAAGAGATAGCGGCGTCCTCGATGGGTGGGATGATGCTCAGAGCAGGTACGGCAGCCTCGGGTTTGATGGGTCAGCGATGGCATTTTCGCTTGCAGCGCGAATCGGGAGAGACGTGTTCTCGGCCAGCTCATCTTTGTTCTCTGCCGACGCAGCTGCCTCTTGCTCTTCAAACTTGGCTGCATCATCCGAATCATCATAGTCCATCTCCTCGTCGTCGGTGTTCGTATCCACGTCCATCACTCCGTCTCCGATGTACGCACTCACTATGGCCGCAATGTCCTCGCTGCGAAATTCGTTCAGCTGGTCAAGCTCTTCTCGCAAGTCCTGCAGTGCTTCGAGAGAGAGTGACTAAAGGTTGGGTTACAAAGTCAGTTTCTTTCATAAGTTCCATGTAGATGCGTATTACACACATCTTTTTTTCGTCTTGCTTCATCCAGGCTTGTAAGATAGGCCTGTTCAGCAGTAAGCCTGTATACATCGTCATCTTGCCAGTCGTCAAGAGCGCATGCAATTAGAATGCAGTTCCTAACAATGTAGTAAGGTGGCAGAGTATTGTTACTGCCAACTTCACTTAGTCTTGATCTTTTCTCTATCAAATGTTTCCCGGGCTCACCTCAGGTTGTACTTGGCATCTGCAATGCACTTTTCTATGTCGCCTTTATCAAAGAGCTTTCCAAAAGCTTCGTATTGCGATTGATACGGCGGATCGCCAACTCGATATGGATCTGTCATCGTGCTTGACGGAGGTGATGTTGGGTAAGATCAAGAGTTGGGTATCGTAAGTTCACTTTCACCATAAGAAGAGATGAATCTCCTGCTAACCTATATAGCCACCTCGTGGCTGAAGATGCCTTCATATACAAGCCGTAGAGCATGCGCCAAGGGTTGATCGGGTAGCACAGAGCCGCGACTGGACACCTTCGGAAGGAATGATCCGTGAGAAGCAGGACGATGGGGGAAGAGCGAAGGACATTACCCGAGCAGCCTGCACAATCACAATGAAATCTCCCATGTTAACGTGTACAATACGGATTCCTAAAACTTGAATTGCTTTTGTGAAATATATGATTAAACAATGCGGAGTATTGGCGACAGGTTTGGGTATGGCAAAATGGATGACGTAATGGAGTCTTGTCCCGTGAAGACGCGACTGCGCGTTTTGCGCTAAGCCCTGAACACGAGACATTCGGGTGCCCTCCATTTCAGCTCACAACTCAGATCTATCACATTTCAACCCGTTGCACGACCATGCCTGAGGTAGGAAGCTTCTGATGGACACGAATTGCAGATACTGACGCGAAAAAGATTGCAGAAGTAGCCCGCGTTGTGCACTTTCTGAAGAAGCATATCGTCGGAAAGACCATCAAAGGTGTCAACGCTTTGGATGATGATGTATGTTCATCCTACATGTCCCTTGAACCTACTTACATGATCTAGATAGTATATGGAAAAGTCGGTACCTCTGCTTCAGCTTTCAAAAAAGCCATCACTGGCAAGAAAGTCGTGGACGCGCGACAACAAGGCAAATACTTCTGGCTTGTTTTAGACACCCCGCCCCATCCTCTGTTTCATTTTGGCATGGCAGGATGGCTTGAAATAAAGAACGAGGAGACTGGTTACTATCGTTCAGCTAAGCCTGAGAAGACTGAGTGGCCTCCCAAATTCTGGAAGTTTGTTTTGCAGATGGAAGAAGAACCGGAGAATGAGGTGGCATTCGTGGACGCAAGGAGATTGGCACGTATTAGACTGGTGGATGCTGCTGCAGAAGACATGAGGAAGACGACACCGTTGAAAGAAAATGTATTTGTGGACCTAATTGACACATACCAGCCCCAGCTAATCACAACACACAGGGCCCCGACCCTATCCTAGACAAATCCATCCTGACTGTAGAGTGGTTGGGCAAGAAGTTGAGGAGTAAAAAGGTGCCCGTCAAGGCCCTGTTGCTCGATCAAGGTCCGCAGTCGCTCTCAAGATGTCAGCATTTTTACACGTTCTAACTCCATGTAGCCAACATATCGGGTATAGGGAACTGGGTTGGGTACGTTCAACCGGCACTGTATGCTGCAAATCGTACTGACATGAATAGCGATGAGGTCATGTACCAGGCCAAACTGCACCCTGAGCAATACAGCAACACATTCAGCGACGAGCAGATCAAGACACTTCACGAGGCGATCATGTACGTCTGCGATACTGCGGTAGCAGCCAATGGAGATTCAGATCTTTTCCCCGAGCACTGGCTCATGAAGCATCGTTGGGGTAAAGGGAAGAAGGAGGCAAGCAAGCTGCCGAACGGCGAGAAGATTACGTTTCTCAAAGTTGGCGGACGTACATCGGCTATTGTTCCGAGTGTCCAGAAGAAAACAGCGGCTGTGGCTGGCGATGTCTCTGAGAGTGCCGCAGACGAAGACACTGAAAAAGAGGCAAAGCCTAAGAAGACCAACAAGAGAACCGCAAAGGCAGCAAAGGAGGAGGAGGAGGAAGTCGAGGAGAAGGCAGAGCCCAAGCCCAAACGAGGCCGCAAGAACACCAAGGGAGAGGTCAAGGTGGAGACTGAAGACGCTGTTGTTGATGAATTACCAGCAAGACCGAAGCGTCAGAGCAAGAAAGTCAAAGAAGAGACCGATGAAGAAGGTGGCGATGAAGCTGAGAAGGTCAAGCCAGTGAAGAAGCAAAGCACGGCAAAGGCCACCAAGGCAAAAGTCAAGAAGGAGGACCAGAATGAGGTTACTACAGAAACGCGGCGGTCCGGACGTCTGTCAAAGTAATTTACGGTGGACATTGTATGTAAAAGAGAGTATGCGGCTGTAGTTTTCCAAATAGAGAGTAAACAAGGACCATTTGGCACATCTGTCTGAAGATGACTATGCAGTAGACCCATATAAGCGGGGTGCTCAGATGCGCACGTGCATTTCATGATGGATGTGCGGGCGCTAGCAGTCATAGCACTCTGGCGTTGAATTTCAGAGCTCCCCACACTGTAACGTAGTGCGGACACCAGTCAGCCAGCCACCGGAACCACAGCGACTTGTTGAAATTGACCTGGCGCAATGATATACTGTTTCGACTAGAACACGCATCTGTCCCAAACCACTTCCTTGGCATTGCTGTGCAGTCGCTCGACCTCTTTCCGAGTCCAGTTCCTGGTGGGCGGAACCCGTTGACGCTTTGCGCCTTCCTCGCACACAACCGCCGCTATGCCGCAGCCATTGCCCAGCAAGGAGCAGACGCTCTTCCGCTCGCTTGTCAAATTCTACGAGGGCAAGCTGTATAAAAAGGGTAGGCTTCAATTGCAGGATAATGTACGGCAGCGCTGACCCCACCAGGCCTCAAAGCTGCCGAGCAGATCTTGAAGAAGTATCCCACCCATGGCGACACACAAGCGATGAAAGCCCTGATTCTCAACACCCAGGGCCAGGGTGAAGAGGCCTTCGCCCTCTGCAAGGAAGCCCTTCGTAACGACATGAGGTCGCACATCTGCTGGCACGTCTACGGCCTGTTGTGGCGGTCGGTCAAGAACTATCCCGAGGCCATCAAGTCATACAAGATGGCCCTGCGCATCGAACCGAACTCTTTGAACATTCTCCGCGATCTCGCCCTCCTCCAATGCCAGGTCCGTGACTATGAAGGATACATTGAGAGCCGGCGAAAGATGATGCAGGAGAGACCTCAGTTGCGCCAGAACTGGACGGCATTGGCCGTAGCTTACCACCTGTCAGGAAACTACGCCGAAGCCGAGAATATCCTCAAGACGTACGAAGAGACTCTGAAACGACCCCCACCAAAGACTGATCTCGAACACTCGGAAGCGACGCTCTACAAGAACCAGATAATATACGAGTCTGGTGACGTTGAGCGGGCTCTGAAGCATCTGGAAGAAGTTGTCAGAGACAGTCTGGATCGCGGTGCTGCGCTAGAGCTCAAGGCAAAATACTTGCTTGAACTTGGACGCAAAGAGGAGGCTGAGAAGGCCTACCGAGTGCTGCTGAGCAGGAACAGCGAGTACCGCGCATATTTTGACGGTCTAGAGAAGGCCCTTGGTCTGGACCGATCGAACCCCGCTGATATCGGGAAGCTGAACGAGCTGTACAAGTCACTCGCCGACAAGAACGAGCGCAATGATGCGGCGAGGCGTATACCCTTGGATTTCCTCGAGGGCGAGGCCTTCAAGACACAAGTGGACCAGTACCTCCGGCGCATGTTGAACAAGGGCGTACCATCAACGTTCCCAAACATCAAGGCGCTCTACCGGGACGAGGACAAGAAGGCAGTCATTGAAGAGCTGGTCCTTGGGTACGCCTCCAACAAGCAGGCTAACGGCGGCGAAAGTAATGGTGACGTCTCTGCTCGCTTTGAGTCGGCTGTCTTGTACTTCTTGGCCCAACATTACAACTATGTCGAAAGTCGTGATCTGAACAAGGCTATGGAGTACATCAATAAGCTACTTGAGGAAGATCCGAAGTCGGTCGACTACAACCAGACAAAGGCGCGGATTCACAAGCACGCAGGCGACGTTCAAAAGGCCTCGGAAACAATCAACCATGCACGTGAGCTCGACGAGAGGGATCGATACATCAACACAAAGTGCGCCAAGTACCAGCTACGGAACAACGAGAACGAGAACGCGCTCAATACGATGAGCAAATTCACTCGCAACGAGACTGTGGGTGGACCTCTTGGTGATCTCCACGATATGCAGTGCATGTGGTATCTACTTGAAGATGGCGAGGCATATCTACGACAAAAAAAGTACGGTCTCGCACTGAAGCGCTTCACTGCCATTGCCGATATCTTCGAAGTCTGGCACGAGGATCAGTTTGACTTCCACAGTTTCTCATTACGAAAAGGACAAATTCGTGCTTACATTGATATGATCCGATGGGAAGACCATCTCCGCGACCACCCCTTCTATACTAGGGCAGCCACTCAAGCAGTGAAACTTTACGTTCAGTTGGCCGACAACCCGAAGCTAAAGAGTTCCGACGAACTTGACCTGGAGAAGCTGGATCCCACGGAGCGCAAGAAGGCTGAGAAGAAGGCCAAGAAAGAGAGGGAAAAGGCTGAGAAAGCCGAAGCCGAAAAGAAGGCGGCAGCAGCAGCAAAGGCAACTGCCAAGGGCGAGGATGCTGAGACCAAGAAGGAAGACACAGACCCGAACGGCGAGACGTTGCTACAGACGAAGCAACCCCTTGAGGACGCACTACGATTCCTGCAGCCCATGCTCGACTTTTCTCCGCTAAACATGGAGGCCCAAAACGTGGGCTTCGAGGTCTACATTAGGAGAAGTAAGTCCAGACAAGTCCTGCCCACAGTACATCAATACTAACGATTATCTAGACAAATACCTCTTGGCATTGAAGTGTCTGCAGGCAGCACAGGAAATCGACACTGAAAACCCGAAGCTGCATGAACAGAGCGTCCGCTTCCGTCAAGCTCGTAGGTCAGGCCCGCATTGTCATCTTCGTACCACTAACGATAGCCAGTAACTAAGCCTGCTGAACCGCTCTCATCCCAGACAGAGCAGGTAATCAAAGAATCCTTCACCACCCCGGCCGCGGACGCCGACCTCAAAGCCTACAACGACGACTTTTTGAAGAAGCACGCGCAGAGCGCTTCACATCTTCAGTCTGGATATAATGTCCGTTACATACTCGACAAGGCCTCGAAACCTCAGAACGAGCAGGACCTGCAGAAGACGCTAGAGCTACCGAACATTACGATGGAAGAAGCCAAAGCTGGCATGGCATTACTTGATGAGTGGGGGAGCGAACAGAAGATCAAGGACGACTATAGGGCGAAGGCTGCTAGTCGATGGAGCGAGGCTACAGTCTTCAAGGCTTGAACACGACTGCCGATTGAAGTTGACCCGCCAGAGCCAACTTGACAGTGTGTCATGATAATGTGGCCATGAGTAACGTATATATGCGGCTACAGCCATGGTAAAATATGCGCAGCATGTGCAATTTGAAGGCGTGCAATTGTCAAGACAAAAGCAATACATGAAAGTTTGTTGGAACACGGAATGTACAATCTGCTCTAATTCGGCATCTGCTCGTGTTACAGGGGTCAGCCCACAGGCGTCTCGAACAAATGGAAGTTGCGTCACGTCTCACGTTTGCTTGGACCAATCACAGGTCTCGCAGTACGAGAGTTTCCGTCATGGGTTAGCTTCACAGCCCGTCAACTCATCAGCGCAGCCATCGCTTTGCAAAACATGCCATCTTGAATCCGGCAATCCTGTTTTGTATGCTTCAACAGCATACCTTGACGTACCGCGCACCTTCATCACAACGTTTGGGACCTCAACGTCCAAAAATTCTCAACCAACGGTTCGGCCACGTGTCGTCGGGTTCCAACGGCCATCTCCCAACGTCACCGTATACCCCCGTATTGCCGCCACATCCACCGTATTGCAACCGGCTGCATCGGCAAGAGCAGATGGCGACAAGAAGGTCGCACAACAAGACTAGACTGGGATGTCACCAATGCAAGCGGAGACGGATCAAGGTGAGTCTTATTCAGATTGTATATTTTCTGCACACCGGATGGTGTACGCGGCAATTGCTGTTGCTCCCCTTGAGTAGTACTGCGCCACATCTACCTTATATTACCACATTCGGCAATATAGTAATGGCCGAGTAGTTGGGCGGGCATTCGCATACTGTTCAAAGGTTGGAATGTTCTAGAAACATAAGTGATTGAACAAAATGCATTTGTGTTGTGTTTGTGTGTTGCATGACAAGGACAACTTGGCCGACATGGCAGTTCACCATGTCAACCCCATAGTCACCATTCCGACAGCTAACATGACTGCTAGTGCGACTGTAAACATCCATCATGCACGAGTTGCGAGAAGAAGGGCGACACATGCAGCTTCCTTGCGCTCGCACCTTCCTCGCGCCTCTTGACAAATACTATATCACCCACACCCACACAGATAAACGCATCACCGTCACCACCACCACCAGAGACACCAGAGTCTCAGCCAATGCCAGTATTCTCTCCAACCAATCTAATAGCTTTCAGCAATCAGATAGCACTGGCGACGCAAACACCACGTCAAACAGAAATAGTTTTCGACAGCCCATCCTTGGATTTCTCTACAGTTCTGACACCTTCGCCTTTGCAGCTAGCATACTACCAAACCCCCACTATACCACCTTATCTTCGTTTGGATGATGCTTGGAAGGACATACGAGAGGTACTTCCACCATCACTCCAGGAATTGTTAAGTCATTATGAGTTCGCAACATCTCTAACGCTTGCAAACGACGACCCAGCAAAGGCAGCGTGGCAAACCTATATACCCGAGATGGCACAAAACCATGACTTCTTGACGAATTGCGTGTTATCAGTTGCCTCATTGCATCTCGGTCGGCTTTATGAACGCAGTGAGGACAAAAGGAGGATGAACACTCTAGCAGCAGCACGGATGAACAAAGCTCTAGTGAGATATAGAACAGAGCTAGAGAATGTTACCCCACAGAATGCCGCAGCATTGTTTGCTAGTTCGACATTCACGGCAGTGTATCTTTTCCGCACGTCTGCCATCGACATTGAGAATCTACGCGCATCAATACCCCCGGGTACCGTCGTGCCACCACCAGATGTAGTAGACAAAATGTTATCATGTGCGTTACGAACAATCTGGGCCCTCAGAGGGCCTCTCACAGTACTTCTTTCGGGGTGGAACTGGGTCGTAGGAAGCAAGATGCAGCCGGTTACTGCGCGGGAATGGTGGCCGAAACAAGACGTACCCGCGACGGAACGGGCGGTCTTTGAAGATAAACGCTTAAAAGAAATTGAGAAGTTATGGATGGAAAGCGAAACACCCTTGGGAGCGCATTGCGTATATCTCTCACAAGCGCTCATTTACCTCCGCCAGAGTTTCAATTTGATCAGTCACTTGACTCTTTTTGAACGCTACCAGCCGATGACAGCCGTACCTTACTCCATCGACGACATTACAGTCTCTACACTCACCGACCGCGGTGCGATTTTTGTCTGGGCTGCTCGCATACCACGGGAATTCATAGCTCTCATAGAGTCCAAGAATACCCATGCCCTGGTCATTCTAGCGCACTACGCCGTCTTGCCTGGTCGAGCTAGGAACGTGTGGTGGCTGGAGGGACTAGGAGCTGATATTGTGACAGCGGTCGCCATGGCATTGGGGAGGGAGCACTGGAGCTTGATTGAGTGGCCAGCGGGCGTAGTGGGCGTGGATTTGGAGAATGCCTTTGGTGTGGGAGGGCGCAGAGATAGGTTAGAGGGAAGTCCTTGCGAGCTGCATATGGATGTGATATGATGGTTGTGTCAGCATTTCAATGTAAGAGAATAGAAAGCATACCAAGTTCAAAGTGAAATCAAGGTACTGCTCTCTGCGAGCGCGCTATGCAGTCATTTCTTAGACACCGAGTACGCCAGCTATATGCTTCCAACATTATGTTGACACGCCAAGCTATCGCATGGATAGAAGCCCTCTGATCAACTCACCAAGTATACAATCTTTTGTATAGGCATCCGCTCTTCCCCACCATACGCTTCGAGACCCAGCCTCGTACCACCCACCCTCATCCAAGAACGAGACCACTAGCAATCAAAGCCACATCCAACACATCGGCAGACATCTCTCTCCACCACAAGGGTAAAGCCTATCAAAGCGTCTCTGTTCAGAGAATAGGCCACCACCAACCTCGCAAAACACGCCTCGCCGGAACGCCACCACCTGGAGAACCGAAGTCCGGCTTTTTTGTACGTATAGGCAGTGACACGTTACGCAGCATAGATGTACAGGGTATGTAGCATTTGTGGCGTCGCGATTCCTTCCCGGTTTCTTGTAGCAGTGAGCTGGCAGACAAGCAGGTAGACAAGCAGGCTGGTAGGTAGGAGGATGAAGCCGGTAAAGAAAAAGAACCAGGTCTTGTAATATTTGCATGCAAGCCCAGACAGCCAGAGCATCTAGTCTACATGATGCTTGCCGAGCAATCTATGTTTCTATTTCGAGCGTCTGCGCTGTGTAATCTGTCCACCGCCCCACTCTTTATCTCTCTCGCCTGGGTGTCATAAAATACTTGACATACTAGTGTCTGTGTTCGCCAGGCACGCATATTAGGTGCTTACTCACAATGCTAGTAGGCGTGTTTGGCGAATACAGTGACCTTTGTACACTAGTATGTCAAGTATTTTATGACATCCAGGCGCTCTGGAGCGCGCGCGTGCACGCGCGTGTAACGAGCCAAGCAAGGAATACGATTGACAATGACATTCTACCAGCAACCTTTTTCACCTTTCGCCTACAGAAACTGGGTGGAGTGCGCAATAACAGTGCTCCACCTTACATACACACTGGCTGATCTATAGTAAAACACGGGTTTTCACAACGTCCGTTGCTCCCAAGGTCTTATGAGGTCAAAATGGGCGATACGAGAGCAGGATCAGTCCCCCTGAGGTTCAGTCTCGCAGTAACATACGGGAAGGATGCGCTGTACCTGGCTCTACCGCTGCTCTGACGTATGTTCCTTCTCTGTTTACCTGCCGTATTTGAAGATTCGGATCTAATTTTCCGCTTCGGGAAATGATGTGACTATGTTGAGGTGTTGGTTTTGCGTTGGTTGCACATACCGCTAGACTGGGCCAGATCGCCAAGTAAAAAAAACCCCCCGTGTGCCTGTCGTATGTATCATGGCGCCGAAGAGTGCCGCAGTTTTTGCATCTTTGCTTGGCCGAGGAGATGAAAGAACGTTACGATGGGCGGATGTGTGGTTGTATGAACTACGCAGCTATAATGTGTCGTAATGTTTCTTGCTCACTCTGCTTTTTGCATTCCAACACGGCATTTGATGTAACTACAGCACGGATGTACGCTTCACTATGCATCTCCCCAACTAATTACTGTTCCTCGCAATGACATCTCCCGCCCCCGCATCAGAACCAGGTAGATCCCGATCACTCCACCAGAAAGCTGGTCATTCCGGCCCTTCTTCTCTGCCGATGGGAGCGTTCGATTCATGTCCTACCGTATCGCGAAATACTACACTGCAACCAAATTAAACTAATCTCGAATACTACTGCGGCTGTTATCCTGGCATTTATCAACGATACGTATAATCGTATTTAGTTGAAATTGAAAGTCGCACGGCAGCTGGTATCGGGTGCAGTAAACAGTAATATACAAAAGACATGAGAATTATGAAGCTTGAACCTGAGACCTGTCCTGACCACTAGCTCAGAAAAGTCCACCAACCACAACCACTGCGCATGAAAGGTCTTGGCAACCAACAGCTCAAATCTTGGAACATAAAAAAACTTCAAGCCGTCCAAGATGTCACATGTCACGAGGCATTTTCTGCTCGGCTAGTCTGCGGTGGCTATTTCTACATGCAGACGGATTCGTAAACTTGTGGCTTGGTTTCTTGGTGGGATTCTCGGCTTGCCCCGCCGACTTCGCGTATGCAGGAGCTTCCTGTTACAGGTGGACCGCAGTAGCAGCCCCTTACCCCACCCCCTCTCCGCCCCTCCGCCGCAAAGTCATGGGGTCCATGGTGATGAGCTCAAGTATCGCCGATCGTGAAACGGCAACGTGTCCGCCACGATTGCATTATCGTGGGGCCAAGCCCGCTCATATGATATCATTGTGTTATACGAAGAAAAAGGCTTGGGCCTGGGTGCATGGCGGGCGTAGCGAGACGGAACTTGACAAGCACTTTTTTCTTTTGTTTTCAAGGCTATCGTATAAGTACCAAGCCACCAGTTCGTCGGGGCCTGCAGGCATGACTGCAGGTTGGGGACTACACACGGCTAAAATGACAGAGGGTTCGCGGTTGGTTCACTCTACAATCCCAGTTGCCCGGCCCGGAACTGTAACGTCCACCGGTAGATCTCAGTGGCATGTCTCATTGGGCATCGTGGGCATCGTGGACATCGCGCCGCGTACTGCATTGATGATCGGACCAGTGGGATACACACAATTCGAAGGGCTGAATCGTGCGTGCATATCGAGATAATAATAATATTTTGGGCCAGCTAATGGATATACACGTGTTGGTTATTGAAAATGTCGATGAAGCACATGGGTAAGCGAGCTGGTGGTTGATCACCGAACCTTCCGCAAGGGCGATCTGGGAGCTGGAAGCATTTACGGGTGGCACGTCACGTGATGGTATCAGGTTGCGAGTGAGTATCAGGCAGCGAAACCCAGGCCGTGGACAGACTCATCATCTCCTAACGCAAGCCGGACTTCGTCTTCTCCCACACCCAGCCGTACGCGACCTACTCGCTCGCCATGCCGGGCCTCTACGCCTATGATGCCTGCTTCTGCGAGCTCGGTGGCTGCAAGAGCGAGACCCAGTGCCCTCGCTGCTTTGAGGTCCGATTGTTTCGAGCCAACATTAGTAGTGTCTCGGTGCTTTGACGGCGTTGTTGGCTGCGTCACCGCGCTGCCAATTCCCTCGACTGTCTCATTTGTTTGCACAGCGAGAATGTATCCATGAACTGGCTGTAGCTGACTCATGAGTCCAAGTCGTTTGACTTCATCGACAACATCTCCCAGGATAGCTTCCCCAATTCCTGACCTACGGATCCGTGCCAAGAGTGCAGCAAGGAACACCTTAGATACCAACGGTAGAGCCCGCAGTGCTTGCTGCAGGGGACTGCTGGTCGCTTCGTTAATTGCCTGTTTGATCGTCGCCATAGTGACAACACCCTTCCGCCCCGCAGAGGAGACCCCCTGTTCTTTGGACCGACCGACCAATTCTCCGGTACCTTTAATTGACCGAGAGCCTTGGGGTAGGTTCGCTTTGCTACCCCGACCGGTCCTACTCGGAGTTGTTGGTTGTGCCTCATCGTCCCGACACTGAGCTGTCGATTCACTCTCGGCAATTTCCACTGCCCGTCTGCAAATGTCCAACGCGCGTCGGGCATCGCCGCTAACTGCAGCCACTTTGCGAGCCGCAAACTGCACAGCGTCAGGATGCACTATGTGGCCAGGAACGCCTTCTAGACGGGACTGGATAATCTGCATCAGTTGGTCATGAGTGTAGCCTGGGAACGTTATACGGGTTAATCCTAAAGAGAATGCGTGTCAGCTTAGTGGACCAAAACGACCGATGTTCCGTTCAAATCGGTCGCGGCGGCTGTATGGTATGAATGCACATAGCGCCTGTGCACGTGTTTTGAGTGTGTAGCGCATTGAAGGGCGACGTGAATGGATGCAAATGCCGTTGTCATGTGTGGGGCTGCCTCAGAGAATTGTACGTACCTAGGCGACTGCTGATTTTATTGCTCAACGTTCTTTCAGGCAGGTCCATAGTATTCGCGACAGCGAGAACGATTAGCCTGCTGTGCCGTAGCCCCGGCCAATTGAAAAAGTTGTACATGACGGATTGATTCTTAGTAACAAGCTGGTCAAGCTCGTCCATAAGGACCACACAGGGCACCCTTCGCGGGCTGGGGGTAGAGAACTCGCGTTCCAACAGCTCCAGCGCATGTGATGGACTCACACGATCTCCGTGGAGTGCTTGCCATAGTAACGAGTATGATTGGTGAGGGTCTGTGACCTTCATGCCATTGATCTCAACAAAGATGAAATCATCAAGCTCTTCAGCTTGTACCGAGGCTTGTAGTTGTGCGACTACTTCCCGCACGGTGGCAGTCTTCCCGGTGCCCGGTGTGCCTGAGATGTAGATGCAGGACCCTGAGCCATCTGTGATGGCAGCCTCTAAGTGGCTGTAGACGGTCGAGAATTCCTCTTCGCGGCAAGGGAGGGCGGCCGGTACCGAGGAGACATGGAGTTGATTCCGTGCAAGCTGGAAGGGTGAGTTGAGTGCCACAGGGTCAAGAACGCGTGTTCCAAGGGGCGTAAACTCTAACTGCTTCTTGACAACAATCCTCTTGTGTGTCGGTGTCAGGAACTTGCGCGTTGCCGGGCTCTTCCTAGTCGAAGACGGCGTAGTCGCCTCGTTGAGCTTCCGGCGCTTCCGCGGGGTCTTGGGCAGACCGTCGTCGTCCGAGTCCGGCATTACGAAGTCGTCCAAGTCTTGCTTGTGTTGCTTCTTGGGACGACCGGCGCCTTTTCTGCTGGCCTTGGTCTGACTTTCCACGAGGTCGATCAAAGCTTGAATATCTTCTGCACCCTTGTACACGTCTTCCCATTTGAATTCAGGGGTATAGGTGGTTGTACGCGTGTTGCAGCCTCTCCTGCAAACGAAGACTTTGCCATAGTCCTTTGACGACTTCTTAACGCCCGCGGGGTATAGCTCCTGGAAGCGTTCCAAAGAGAGTACCTTCGCCGTGCCATTGATCGAGGCGAGCGGGTTCTCGTCAAAGGACGCGCATATGTATAGCTCGTTCTATTGATGGCCAATCAGTAATGTACTCTCGTGATCAAATGTGAACATGTCTTACTGGCAGGAAGTCGGTGCGCTTCTTGTTCTGGCTGCGAATTTCCTTCTCGGAAGAGAACCAAAGAAACTTGGCCATCTTCTCGTCGTCATCGGCATCCTCGTGGAAGTCGCAGATGATACCGACCCATGCCTGATTGCCTTCTGCCTTGAGTAGTACGGCATCACCCACTTTGCATTTGAAGTTGCCCATGCGTGCACCTACTATGCGATTCTGAAGTGATGTGGGTGCGACCTTTCTCTTTCTTGGGGTTGCATTCTGGTCGGGCAGCGCATCGTCGCCCCTATTATTGTCGTAAATCCACTCCCACGGATGGTCTTCGTAACCCAGCTCGTCATCCGAGTCTTCGCGAAAGACTGCACCGCCAGCAAGAAACTGCCGTGCTTTCTCTACCTGTGAGCGTTTTACAGGGGCCATGGTGAAATTGGCTGCAGTTGCAGTTGCAGTTGAAGTAGTTTCGGTCGCTGACGTTGGCGCGGAGTTAAGAGGCGCGACGCGTCGAGGTGGGCTTGGCGCTAAGTTATGATCTCACCGCTCAGGCCTCTTTGTTGCATCTTTCCCCACGCTGATCACTTCACTCAAGTACTGTGTATTCACTTGCATCTCGTGTCAAGACAATTCAAGGCTCACTCATTTGCAGGAGAGGGGTATACGACAGTTGATAGAGATGTTTATTGATTGTATACGATCCACCCCAGGCGCGCACTGGCACTGAGGTTATGCATCATGTGAGATTCATCCCAATCATGACGGAGCAGCCTCTATGAAGAGACAAAAGACGCCAAACACCAATTTCCCATGGTCAAACGAGGGACCTGTGCCTAAACGACCCGTCGCTGAAATGCAGTACAAGAAAAGAATAGAAGAAAAGGAAACTATCAACACAAATAGTAGAGACAGTGTCTCACAGAGAAGAAAAGCCGTGATACGGGCGCCGCCATGGCTTGCTCAGATGGAGGAAACAGGATGAAGCGGGGGAGTGGGCGGCATGGATTTTGGCGTAGCTGGGTAATCCAGATCCGAGTGCTCTAGTGGTGGCGTCGTCTGCCGAGCGCGGTCAGCGGTTGCTCGTCCAAGTGGAAGCGGCGATTCGGAAGAGGCGGACCATCATGCGTAGTAGGGCTGGCGAGTAGGGAGCCTTACAGATTCTGGGTACGAGTGATGTGGCGGGATGTCGATACCGCCAATGGCAGCGTAGCCGACACCGAATGGGCTCATGTCCTCCTCGGAGTAGTACTCGCTCTTCATGCTAGGCACAAGGCTAGGCAGACCAGGCGTGTACGAGGACGATTGTGGTGGTGGTAGGTATGTGTAGCTTGACAACTCGGAAGATAGTGTGGTGGGGATGGTGTGATAGGGAGAGGTTGAGTAGGGCAGTGAGTATGAAGCCACTTGGTCTGGAGCTGGGTATGACGACTGATAAGAGACGGAAAAGGGTGGTGGGCTAGTGGAGAGTTGGCGCGTGTACTGGTGAGAGAACATGCGGTCCTCAGCTGGCGGGGTAGTGTACGAGGATTCGGAAGACGACGGAGAAGGGAACTCCTGGCGGGGCGATGGTTGCGGTGGCTGCAGCTCAGCCGGCTTCTGCTCGGGTGAAGCTGAGCTTGAGGCAGCACGGCGCTCCTGCAAGTGGATTAGTATGGAGTGGCGCGGGATGGATAGTGGAGGCGCGGCAACTCACCAAGTCTTCGAGCCTCTTCTTGAGCTTCTTGCGGTAGTTGCGCTGGGCAATGCGGTTCTGTATGCGCCTACGCTCAGCCAGATCTGAGATCTTGGTCCAGTCCTCGTTGGGGTTCGCCGATGCTGAAAAGGCTGACGAGGTTCCCGAGTAGCGTGTGGTAGTGGGTGCCGGGCTGGCATACTGGTAACCAGCGTGTCGGTGCATGATGGAGGAGGTAGAGGAGGAGGTAGTGTTGTGATGTGATGATGTGGGGGAGTAGTAGTAGTGGTAGTGGGATATAGTGCGAAGGATGGATGGAAACAGTTTGAACTGCGACCAGACGGAAGGTACTTGGGCTAGTTATGGAGTGCGTTGTTTGACAGTGGCAGTGACAGTGACAGTGACAGTGAGTGGGCTGCGGACGTCTGTCAGGCAGTCGGGGATGACAGTATATTTATCTCGCCGTCTCCAGCAGCATCCGCAGTCGTTCGAGTGGAGCATGGACGGGCTAGTGTTGGTCCCCAGCTTCAGGCCCTCGCATGCACCCTGGCCTACGCGTGCAGGCTCGAGCATTTCTCAATTTGGTACGGTTTGGAGCAACCCTGGCCCGGTGTACATTCACCGACTGCGGTCTCGTAAATTTAGTATGGGCGCTAGAGCAGCCTGGCAGCGGGCCATTGAGCGTTGGGCAAGACAGGGCCAAGCCGGCCGCTCAGTGCACAGAAGCGTCGGGCGCTGTGTACATGGGTCTGTAATGTATCCAAACCTCTCTATTGTGGAGCGGTGTCGAGGGCCATGTCTTCTCCCCCTGTTGCGCCCGAGTTCCCTGGAGCTCCCATGCCCCCATGTCGCCCCCCAACCCTGCCCACACGCACATCGCAAGACAGCCCTATGACTCTTGGCCTCTCGGGCCTCACAGAACCTCTTGCGGCGCCGCGTCTGTCGCCATGTCCGTCCCTGCGTGCGGTCTGCGCACGCCTGCGTACGCCCGCTTTGTTGCCTGTTGCGAGATGGCCCTCATCATCACGCGTGCCGGGGAGTCCTCACCGCAGCTCCCACAGGCACCGCTGCTACTGCTGTTGCTGCTATCAACCGTTCATGGGTAGATTGCGCGCTGGCCCTGCGTCGTCTGTCTGGGCCCACCCCCCCTCGTGCCTTGAATGTTGCCAGGTGCCAAATTGCTCAAATCGACAAAAACATGTCGCTGCCTTGACCGGCGAACTGCCCATCCAGCCCATCCAGCCCCCCGACGCCATTGGCTGCTCGTCCAACTGTGTCGTCGTGCATGCGCAACCTCTGGCCGCCTGGCACACCGCGACTCGTCGGAGGGCCGAACGACAGTGGCAGATTCCCTAGCGTCGTGCTGTTGCAGAGCGACGCTCGCACTCGTTGCGCCTTGTTAGTTGCCAGCTGCTCCGACCGCAATGACATGCCTCCCCTCGTGGGAAATCAGGAAGGCTGCTGAATGAGGACCATATCCTGCATCCAGCCTAGCCATCCCCCAGCTACTGGCTGTTGGTGCATTCTAGTCTGCTTTGTCACGCTCAAACTACCCACCCGCAAGCTGTTGGCTGAGCCCCCTCGCGACATGTCAACGCCCACGCCCACGCCCACCGTAAGCTCCTCTCGTTGAGCCCCATTATTCCCATCGAACGAGCTGCTGGATCACCCAGCACAAGCGTCTTATCTTGACCAGCCCTACGCACTGGTCCATGTCCTTCCGCAGCCGCATCAGCACCTTATACGGCACTGTCGGTGAGTTCAGAACTCAAACCCGCATAGCCGCAGTCAGCCCAAAGCTTAGCCATGGGGTCGCTTCCACGAATCACAGCCGCCCAGCCAATCACCGTCCACAGGTCTTGATCCACCAAAGTCTGGCAGATGCGCCCCTCAAGCTCGTGTGCTGCTGAACAAGTTGCTAGTGTTTGTGTCTGTTTCGCTGCGGCACATTTCAGTTCAGCAAGCCGTTTCAGCAACGGCGCGCCCTACGCCTGGCCGAGGCTCGTTAGTTTGACATGATGTCTCCTGTCGCTGCGCCTGCACCTGCGCCTGCGCTGAGCCGCCTGTCTCTATTTCAGACGTCTCAGGGCCCCAAGAATACGTTGATAGATGATGGATGAATCGTAGCAATGTCCATATAGGCCACGTTACTCTTGGCGCACTGACTGTTGGTACTACAGGGCGTATTCTATAGCAAACACCAGCGTCCATTGAACCCCCGTCCAAGAGCTGCTGCTACCACGACACCATACAGGACCGATTTACGGGGGTCGGGACCGGAGACCAGCGCGAGCCGCGACGGTCGCACTTTGGGGCCACATGCTGCTGCCTTGCATCGCCATAGAGAAGGAGGGTGGCATGTCGATGGATTCCACGTGGCGAGGTCGGGTAATGGAGTAGCCAATCCAGTCCAGACGTTGGCCTCGACCATGGAACATGGCAACTCAGCTCTTTTCGCACCTCTGTCCAACTCGACGTTAGGGCTAAGTTACTATGTGTGGGGCTTCGCCTGAAACATTGAAGCACACTTCCCCGCGCGGGAAACTGTCTCCACTTGTCCATCGGCTCTCCGACCGTCACATCCATCTATTCAAATTCCAAATAATGACGAGGTTTACATGTGCAGATGGCTTAGCGACAATATGCGCGAATGCACAAGCTCTTTGGTAGGACAGTGCAAGTACTGATTTTAGGTACTTTGTTGGTCAAATCGTCTCAAGTCCCTGGAATGAGACTCTCGCGGTCTCGTTGGTCGGTGTCTGAATAGTCGGCGTCTGAACAGAAATGGTCGCGAATGCAGATGATGGCTTTCTGCCATTGCCGCGTCAGCAGGTTAGATGCAGCAAATAGGGTAACAGGGGCGTCGGTCGGCATCACCACCGACCTTGCACGGAACCTGAGCAAGACAGGCCATTCCAACACATGTTGAACCTTGACAGGGCAGTATCAGGAGACACTAACTTGGCACGATGGGCTATCCACGTCATGGGCATCCCAAGTGGCTAAGCCAACCAATGGGCTGGCAAGACTAAACACCATGATGCCATGGAGAAGAGTCTTCAGAGTCTTCGGAAGATATGTTGGCTGTTGCAGGCAATGTGAAACGTATGCTTTGGCATAGGTATGCATTGGGGGCGACATGGCTGTGTTTCGCCCTGTCGGCGAAGAAGAAAAGTGCGCGAATCGGTGCTTCTGCACATGCAAGCGTGCAGTAACACTCCCTTGGGCGTGCGTTATGCGGGAGCTTTTTGGAATGTACGCATATAGGGTCAGTAGTTGAAAGCAAGGGTCACAGCCGCTTGCACGTATGCTAAGTAGGGCATGGAAAGTTAAAATATTTCATACCGCTTTAGCACCGCGGAATCATCATGGTAAACAAAGGCGGCGGCATGAATCTTGTCCAAGAATCAAATTGCAGAGAGGGCGTACGGCCGGACCGGTGATGATGATGGATGATCGGTCCCTAATACTGTCATGCAAATTCTTCATACATATTAGACATTCCACGTCCTGTGGGTGTGCCGAAGTCTACGGTGATTTCAACGGTGTATCTGTGAGACGGGAGGACCCATGTGGCTCCGCAAACGGCTAGCCGCAGCCACATGTCCCACCTTTGGACAGCTGCCGGTCCGTCATGGTCGATTATAAGTGGCTGTACAGACCATGACTCGAAAAGTGCTTCTTCTTTGAGCGATTGGGGAACCACTCCTTCGGGCCATCTCTACAAATCTCACCGCTGCTGCGTACAATCCTTGCTCTTGCTCTTGCTTAAGGCCTGTTGCGAGCCCATCACGTGAATTTACTTGGTCCGAGTCCGGCCTTTTGTCACCAACACCCCACGCCCGAGCAGCTTGTTTGTGACAACTATGTAGAATCTGCCTGCCTACATGCAATTGTTACCGTGATCCGAGCGATTAAGCCTATTCTGCTGCACACTCGCTCGTTATGTCTCCTGGTGTGTCTTCACATGCCGTATGGGACAGGTGGTAACCGCCGTGCTAATGTCACGTCTGCCAATTTTACCCTCGATGGTGTTGCGAAGCTCACGGCCTATATTTAGCCGCCACCGTGCCCTTCTCACGACAGCACTCTCCCACAAAGCATCCGCCCATGGCAGCCCTACAGCCCTACAACACACGCGGGCCAGCTCCTGAAACATCATCATTGGCTAGTAACACAGATGCGACGCGTGAACCCCTCCTCGTGTACCCACAACTACTGTGTTAGCCCTTCTGCGGTAGCACCTCAGCGGTCAGTAATAACTGCCGTTGACCGAAGTCACCGAAACCTTGTGAGGGCCCTCCGTCCTTGTCCGTGTTTGAAACAACATGGCGCGCCCAGCATCTTATTCACCGGCCGCCGGCCTGAACCGATACACAGGGCACAACCAGTGCTGTGGGATAGCCTACCGCTACTCCTTCCGTCTGTTGCTGTGACGGACAATGTACCCTCGCATTAGTCGCCTTTTTCGCAGAATCGTGCCTTTTCGCTTAGCATGTTTGTGTGCAATAGGGCATGTATAGCCAAGCGCCTATTGTATTTTATCCAGCACCACCTGCCTTCACCGATGATTTTGGCCGCCTTGCACATGGACACTTGTCGCAGTGTGGTGCACACGCATGGGTGTGTGTCAGGCCTCGTGGCAGCAGTCTGGAAACAGAAGGTCTCGGCCCTGGACCTTTTCCACCATCATCATGCAGCTCAAGGCAGACTTCCCATACAGAGGAAGTCGGGGTACACGATCAGCCGCAGCCACGCCAATTTGCGTCACTGCTCCAAACACCCACACCTCATCACCTCCACACAGCATCCAAGAGATCCAAGAGTCATGTCCCGTAGCGCTGCTGCTCAAGGCTGCATGGGTAATGGACACAACCTGCGTCGTTGTACAAAAAAAGAGTCTGCGCTCAACGCCGGAACATTTGCGAAGCCATGATTCTAGCCCTATGGCCGTCGAGGCTTGATGTCGCTTTGTGCCAAGAACGAGACGTGCTGTTTGTGACCGTTCAGCCGTTCTCGCGGGAACGGTAAGATCCTTGGGTAATCCTTCCAACCCATCGCCCCAGCCTCTTCCAACTAGCCGAAGCCATGATTTCAAAGCGCTCGGACATGAAGCCCTCCGCAATCCATGTGATTTCGGTCCAATACCAACAAGACCAAGTTTCACTCCATGGCTTGCAACAGGTACGTCTTTTGTTGGAAAACAAACATGCTACATACTCTGCTGTATCGCGCCACGACGACAAAGAAACGACATGTAGCCCAAAATACAGTCGGCTATCAGCTTACAGACATGTTGCGTGCAGTCGAAGTTGCTCTTCTTCGAAGCAGCAAGGCACCGGAGGTGCCCATGACTAGGTAACCCTCGGTGGCTGCCGTTGACTTGCATCGACAGCGGTATCTCCCTTCAAATTCAGTAGATCATAATACTGAACCCAGGCAGAGGTGATCCCATGACCATGGCACAGCCGCTCTCGATCGCCATGTAAAGGCATCTCCATGCAGTGCTCGTGAAAATCAGCGGTATCGTGACCACGAGCCTCCCTATTCGCTTACGAACCAGAATGTCCTCGATAGGTCTAGACAGCAAGATCATCATGGCTTAGAAAACAAATGGCATTGCGATCGCCCTTCCTAATTCCCCTTTGGCAGAGCCAACCCAACAAACACCAAGCACGGGTGGGTCAGGGCCGGAGTCTTTATCATGAAGCCGTACCGGGTGTGCATCGAGTACGAGTTACGGCTTCTTGGCTTTTGCATCAGCAGATGCCGCGTTGAGGGCATGATTGGGCGCCACGGTTGACCACGGCTTGCACATATTCCGTCTTGCAAGTACCTGATAGAATTAGTCATCCCATGATGCATCAAACATGGGTGTGGCTTGCATCGGCACTCTTCTGGAAGGCCCAGCTGGTGACCACGAAAGAGGATAGTTTACTAAACAAGGCTGAAGTTGACACCGGTGGTCCTGGGTTGATAAAGCAGCATGTGTGTACGAGTATTCTTACGAGTGTTGCTCGGCATTTGACATTGCATGTACATGTTTAAATATGGTCTCTGTTTCTTCTTCTCTGGAGAGCCAACATTACTTCTTCCATCTTTAACAGGCAACTATTTGCGGTGTGCTGCAAGAGTTGGGGGATTCACGGGTTTGCGCGGGATGCAGCGGGACGAACGGACTCAAATCTGGCGCGGATGCGCCGGTCTGGTTGCAATTTGCTATCACGAACAAGCAGAAGATTACACCTCCTTTTTGCGCCGGCATTGCTATCGGTGAATCTTCTCACCCCTGTAATTGTCGGTGAGGTGTTGCGACAGTGGATTTGAATGCAAAGCGCGATAGCCTCGCGCCAGGAGAGTGCTATGAGCCTGCACCGTGGATCTTCTGTACAGTAGCCCAGTCAGGCTGTTGTCACACCACAGCAAAGCACGCAGAGGTGGGAGGTATGCATGCAAATCATATTCGACCAAGTTCTGAAGTCGCGCAGCTTACGAAAAGTGTTACTAACACAGGCAAGTCGGTAGAGACCTACTCCAGGTACGGTACCGATACAGCGTGGAAAACTCGTGGCATGCTAACGCCTTGCCGATCATTCATTACTCGTCACTCGCCCCGCGGTCCCGCCAGACGGCTCCGAGGATCCCTATCACCGAAGCAATCCGGTGGTCATCACCAACCCGTGCTACTGCCAACAAGCTCCGACTCGCTTTGCAACGACGGATTAGCCCTTGAGCCATTAATAGGTGTAAAAATACGCCTTTTTTCTTTCTTCTCTAGCTAATGGGTCCTAAGGCACCCGCGGCTGCAAACATACGCGTCTGCGGCGCGACGAGATTAATTGAGCCACGACGGCATTGCAATCAACCAGGGATCTCCCTTCGCAGCAGGCTCGCGAGGAGCAGCAGGATTCATAGTGACGCAATGGGGGTCTGAAAAGGATGCCACATGCACGCAAAGGAGTCTGGAAGCGGAAACATGGTGCGAGGTGCGCGCTTCGTCGACTTCAGCCTCGTTGCTATATTCAAGGCTGGCGACTGCGCAATGAGTCATCCAACTCATGTAGTGTGTATAAGTCGGTGTCTTGAAGCTTGGGACTGTGACGATGCAGCCAAGTACCCGCCCAACTTTGGTAGATCATGTGTATCTAACTACTACTACGACTCGCGCCCCGGCAAGGTTCCAGGTTCCAGGTTCCAGAGACAATTCTGCCAACGGATCCGTCGGTTTCCAAACCGCGCCACGACGCCTCATCCTTGGACAGCGAATTGCACTCGGCCGTCTGTCGTAGGCCGGAAGATACCGACTCTCCAACTGGCCCTCGGTGACCGGCTGCTCGTCACGTGGTCCGACTAAAGATCTGCGGCACGGAGTCAACTCCGATGCGCAGCAGGCATGAGGGAGAGGCTGGTGCGAAGAAGAGAGTGGCTTTCGAGGATGAACCCTATCGCCCTTGTCGCACTCATTTGCGATTTTTGATCCTGGCCATGGCTGCAAGACGATATTTTGACGGTTTGCGCCACTAACGGGCGAGCGTCAAGGCGTCAGTTGCAAATGTCGTCTTTGAAAAGCATCTGCAGCGCTGCATAGAAACGCCATGTTGAAAAAGTGCGCCACTTGTGGCAGGGCAAGATATCGCATAGCGTGCTCCTTGTCGGCGTACTGTAATATGACTTCTTGGGTTTCTTGCACCGCCCACGGTATGCCTCCCTGACGTTCATGTCCAAGCGCGGCCAAGGTTACAGGCTCAGGTGCAAAAGCTGTCTAAGACGGGGGAGAAGGTCTAGCGCCGGTAACCATCGCAAGCCGCTAAGCACGCTGGCCATCCTCTGGTGGGCCCGGGGCCGTTAACGGTCGTTCGATCGGTGGTAGCGCGCCCTCGACATCCATCTCTTTGCTCAATCTCGATCTCAGCTTGGCGTGTTCAATGTCAATTTACCGAACTACAGGCTCTGACACGTTCTAGCGCATTCGTCCAAGCATAGTGGCCCTTTGGTTGATCAAGGAAATAACAGGGCAAAGGCACTGCAACTTGCCAACTCAGCCTTGCGCCCGCGTGTTAGCCTTGGATCTTCCGTGTAAACGAGACCCGCGGATAACCTTGTACAGTCAGGGTATTCATCAGTACAGCTAGCCGTTCGGGGACATGGCAGAGAACGACCGCAAACCTAGCCTAAACCAGCCTAGATCCGGATTTTCTGGGGTAAGGGTCGGTGCTGCGACGAAGCAAAGGGAATTGCCGACGATTTTGTGCAACACTCTCGCACAGAGCCCTGCTCGGACTCCCGGAGAGTTTGTCGGGCCCGAAAAGAGTTTCATTCATTCAATCACGCTGCAGGTACGCATCTCGTCATTTCGACCACTGTCGTTCATTTTGAATTTAGGAGCTAAAATGGCTCTTGCTTGCTTGGTCTTGTAGCAATGAGCGTTTCAATACCCCGGATCTCCCTCGCGCTGTGCCTGTCTTGTCAGCACTCAATTTGACCGAAGCATTGCGGATGGGGAACTACCACTACCAGCGGTTGCTCGCGCAAGGGCTTACTGATCTGACCTCTGCTCTCAGCGCAGGGTTGATGGCTGGAGGTGCAACTTCCACGCGGGCTGTAATCCGATCTGATATATCCTTCCCTTCACCGTACTCCGTCTTTTATGCACGCAGCAAGCAACATCGTTGGGTATAACGCTGAGTACAGAGGTGCCTTTCAAAAGTTATTGCTGACAGGGGGGTCTCCTATTTGACCGAGAAACTACCGAAATACAGACAGATCAGTCTCCACGAACTCTTGGCAGGCCTCTGCCTTCCTTGTACTCATTCCCACCTTCAAGTTCAATAATCTTTTGAACATGGATAGGAATTCTCTCTATCCATGCCTGAATCTGTGACTGTGGGAGATCACTCCAGGCCTGCTCCCATGCTTTTGTGGCCTCTCCTCTACTCTTTGGAGCTCCTTTCTTGGTAGTTCTTCTCTTTAACCATGGCCAGGCTGGCTCAATAGCGTTGAGATCAGGTGAGTTACCACACCAGAAGAGCTTCTCCACACTCTCTCGTTGATAGATAATATTCTGGGCCTGGTGAGCATGAGAGGGAGCCTTATCTTCTTGAACAAGAGTACCTGGCCTCTCTCTCATACACTCCTTAGCAAAGGGGATAAGCTTCGGGAGAAGAACCTCAGTCTGATACCGCCACCAATCAATGCCACCTTTATCATTACCACGAGTGAGCTTCCCATTCTCCTTAGTCCATCTCCATTGAGGAGCTCTACCAGGCTTATTCCTTAAGCCTATCCTCTTCATGCCTATAGTAAGCTCCCACTCCTCTCTCATAATAGGCTCTAGGATCTTATTCATCTCTTCAATCTTAAGAGCTGCTTCTCTCTTCTCTTGGGCTGTCTCTGGCCTCCATACATGAAAGGGACCTTTGTAATTATACGTGAAGCAGCCCCAGAACATAAACTCAGAGTATCCCTTCCACCTCTCTCGTATCACAGATCTTGTAAGAGCCTCATCTGCCTTTCTCCACACCCGATACCCACCACGGCGGTGGTTCAGTACGACAGAGGTCTCATCTGACCAGATAACGTTCTTCCAGTCCTCAAGAGTCCAGTGCTGACGAGCGAGACACCAGGTAAGTCTATCTTGTCTCATCTTCTTCGTCAACCCAGGCTTCCTCGTCGGCTTCGTCTTCTTGTATCCTGCTGCCTTGAGGACTCTCCACACCGTGGTAGGAGAGACGTCGTAACCGTAGAGACTAAGATCACCAGCTATGTCAGCACAGCTCTTCTCTCGTCCATAACGGTCACGGCGTACTTTGTCAACAGTAGGTTCATGGATAGCCTCTTGTTTACGTGGGCGGCCTGAGCGAGGAGCATCTTCAAGGTGTTCAGGAAGAACCTTTAGGGTTGGTCCATTTGGCTCAAAGCCTCGAAGGCAGGCTCGGCTGAAGATAGCGTCGATAGTGCGTGGGGAAATACCCAGGATCTCGCTGATCTGGCTCGTTGATTTGCCCACAAAGCGGGACTTTAAAGTAACAATTATAGCACGTGTGAATGAGTCTGTGTGAGAACGAGGAGCCATTACTAGTATAACTAACCTTTGAGAAACACCAAAGAAAGCGAAGATACTGCTATCTTCAGCTTCAAAAACTCTGACTGTGCCAAGAAATATCGGGCCGATAGATCTACCGCGCTAGCAATAACTTTTGAAAGGCACCTCCGTATCAGCATGCGTATCCAAAACCTCGGAAGCTCCGGGATCTGCTCACAGGCTCCCCCATGTCGCTCAAAGGAACGAGCCGGTAGTAAATTTCCGCATCTGCCACGGAACGGCCGTATCTCAACGTCTATTACGCCCATGGGCCATGGTAACCGCTCTCGGACCTTTTACGGATGTCCGAATCCTGGTTCGTCGCTGCTAGCCTTGACACTGACAAGCCATGGTACCCCGGCCTCTACCCCCCGAGTAGATCCGTCGTGCGCATTGAACCCATGCTGCCCTACGGCATTTCCCACGAATCCTGCTCATCAGGAGCAAAAATCAACCTAAATTATACCTAACCTCAAACTCATGCAGCCAATTCGCCCCGACTACACTCGCTCCGATTACACCCTCCCGCGCATCGCCCTCGAGCAAGCAACTCTTGGGAGAGGCTTCAACGGGCCGTCAAGATTGAAGCCTTGGGCGACAAGAGAAGCATGTTTGATTTTGGGGTTTGGTTTGGGGTGTGGTAAGGCTCCTTGGAACCTGGATCCAAGCGAGTAAGTGGTAGGGCTGAGAAGGGGCCCTACCCTGCGTTTGATACGTGCCGCAGGGTGCGTAACTGCTTGGGTGGGGAACCGTTGAGATGGGATTCGCCTAACCCCAATGGAGAAATTCCTAGCCAGACAACATGAGAAGAAAATTGTTGGGCAAGCATGTGCTTTGGGCGCACACGCAATCCAGCAATACAATTCAGGATGCGTTTTTTTTTTACCAAGAAAAATTAATAAGATGTGCTGTAGATCGAGAAGGATAGAATACCAAGAAAGCAAAGTCGTGGCAAAGGGGTTACCTAGGGGTTATCTCGATCGCGCCTTCGATCTTCCACGCTATTTGCAGACAAGTCCCGGAGAATATATCTGTGGCTTGGCACCCGAATCGCCCTGATCAGCAGTAAAATACGGGGTTGGCGGCTTGGAAAAGCGGCCTCTTGGTACCAGTACTGCTGTTCCAACCCTTGTGAAGCATTGCTTGACCCCTTCAACGTTTCCAACGGTCACTCGCTTGTACCTACCCTCGTCTCTACCTTTGTTTTCCCTTGGCTCCCCATCAACTTAGCCTGCTTGGCTTTTTTGCGAGTACGACCGACATGTGACGCAGACGGGGCATCGCTCGCAACGTTGTTTGTATCGTACATTGCATACAATATGGTTGCAGGGACCCATATCAGACAGGCGCACCGGCCAGCTATGAGCGCAGTGCGTAGCGCCCAACCAGACGGCAATTGCCTAGTGCGGTTCAAGCCGCGTCTCCTGGGTTTTGTTGGAGATGATCAAAGAGTTCTAAGTAAAGTAGATAGGTTACGGTAGGCAATCGGGGGGATGGTACCGACGGCGGACGGATGTGGTCCGAATTCAATACGAAAGTCTGCGGTCCCTGAGCCCAAAACCGCTTTCTGCTACATACATTGGAATACGATCTAATCGTGTTTGGATGTACAGCGTCTGACGAATGCCGATATGTAACAAATACAGGTTTTTTTCTCTCCGGGTGGGTCTCAAGCAAGGTGGAGTGGGTCAAGAGGTGTTTGTTATTGCATTGCTAGGTTTTGAACCTATGTGCTGTTGTCCACGTTCGGTAGTTGACATGTCACACGTTCAACAACTCTGAGCTAACGGTCCGTCAGTACCATAGCAAGTGACATATCCAAGGCGGTTAATCATGTCGCACCACCCTTTCTACAGCATCGCTTGCATCAAGGACATGTTTGTGGTACGCAATCACTGCACGAAACGCCTTGGGCGTCCGCGGCCGCATCGACAGGTGCTTTCCAACATCTTCCGAGGTTGGTATCATCACATCCGGCATTCATGATATCCGATCCATGTACGCATGCGTATACGGAACGGCAGGAATACCAGAGGCCTCGTAAGTGGTGGATAAAGAGACATGGTCAAGCGAGCTATTCCGGGATATACGGAACGATGCGTCTTTGTAGAGCTGATGATCATGATGGCCGATGGCTGATGACGATGCGCCGGGCACATCAGCGGCGGCCGACCGATGTGCAGGGAGTGCAACACCTCAGAGACCTGAGTCAAGGCTGCGAATCCCATACTGAATTCTCCAAACCACACCACAAAAGTCCCAAGCGGCTTTTCCTCTGCAGAAATCGTACCATTATGCATCTCCCGCCCCCTGAAACATAGCGGCTCCCAGTGTCTTCTTTCCCATCCGCAATTCTATAAAGAAAAAAACCCACGTCTATGCTACAAAGTTAATCTTGATGAAGATACAGTTCCGACCATCCCCCCAGTCCCCTTTCCCCTTTCCCCAAGCGCAGTCCCGTGGGGTAAGGATAGGACGCAAGAGCCCACCATGTTGGTTCCCCTCTCTTCCCCCCAACCTAAAAAAAAAACAAAGCACGAGAGCAGAAAGAGAAGCACCGAATAGCTGCCTGTGGGAATATCGCCCCCGATCAAGTGATTTGGAGTGCACATCACCACGCTATTTCGCCATCACGACGCTCCCTCCTTGGTTAGGCATCGGCCTGGGGTAAAAATATCAGGAGCTAGGGGTGTTTGTGTTGAGACTTTTAGATAAAGATGTGCGCGGGGTTTTTTCTCATGGCCGTTTGGATAGGAGATAAGATGGGCTAAGCGGAAGAGCGAATGAGGAGACGCGGGAGAGGTCGCCTTTGTTGCCGATTACTTGATGATGAAAGAGGTGCTGGCGACGCCCGTTGGTGCAAAAATGTACGAAACTGTATTACGTGGCTTTGGGGATTGGGTTGAGCGCTCTAGAGTCTTGACATGGTCCTGGTTCTGAATTTCTGGCACAAGACAAGCTTGGGATGTTTGCGATTGATTTGGCGGCAGCGCAACCGAAGCCTGTTGGTTGCTGCTATACGATGTCTTGGTTGCTATACGGTGCCTCGTTGGAGTGTATTGGAGCCGTTAAGGAACATGATGGCTACAGGAAACGTGAAAACCAATGATGTTGATGAGAATTTCCCCTTTAGCGAGTTGTCCCTTCATTCTGCCCGGTCATACCATCTCGCAGCAAGCACAGGCATTATCGCAAACCTTGCAGCAAAACAACCACTGCCTGAATACGCGGACTTCCACATATACCTCGGGAGGTGGGGGGAGAAGGAGGTGCGGAGCTGAAAGCCCAACCGATGGGCTGAAAGCTGGACATTGAAAGGGCTGACGCTGTTGCGTGTCTACCAAATGAGGCGAGCAGCTTCGGCGGTGAGACTGGGTAGGCTGGGTAGGCTGGGTAGGCTAGGCAAGACAAGGCGCCCAGCTGCAGTGATCTATATATGACATGTTGTTTGGCAGCGAAGATCAGGTGAGGTGGAGTTGACGAATGCAACAGTGACCGGAGGAGATGTGTTACAAATTGGACACCAATTTCTGTGTAACAGTCACATGATGGGTTACTGTGTCGGGTTACACCTCTGGAGTACCGAGGTAGGCTTTAATCATGATTCTAAGAGTGGGAGATGACTGCAAAGTCATGGGTGACGAGGTACATGCAGACAGGTAAAAGAGGAAGCAGCGACCAGAAACACCATGCTGCTTTGGTGTCACACAAAAGCCTAGCGGGTACAAGGAATCTGAACGTCGCGGTTGCTCTTGCCATGTCATGCATCATCTCGAGTCCTGGCTCCTGAAGACAGCGCAAGTAGACTAGAACCTCACCTTTTCTCTAATACATACCCAGAAATAAACTCATAACCCTCGTTTCCACTAAATCCACCACTTTTACCCTCATCTACGCTTCAAGTCAACCGCCGCCGCCGCAAACGAACCCACCACCTACCTCTCCCTCCCCCAGCCTAGCTCAAACAGAACCCACCTACACGCACATGCTCACCATCCTCTGTGGAAAGGCGACGACACAGTTTGAGCAACCACCATGAAACCTCACGCACACAGCTTACAAACAACCAGCTACAACCCACACCCACACCCAAACACCAACTCACCCATCTAAGCGACCCCACAATCCCAGCCCATTTCCGTTCCGCCCCATCTTCGTTCACCCACACACCTCCGCAATTCCCAGCTCTCCCCATACCGAAACCGTACGTGCCCAATCGTCTTCTTTCCTGCCGTGCAACCACTCACAAACCACGCCCTCGGTATCAACATCGGTATCGGTATCGGTATCGATAAACCGGCGAAATGCACAACATACACGCACTCTACATGGAAGGTAGGGGGGGATCAATGCATAGAAAAAACAAGGGCCACGAGACCAGACGCCTTTGGTTTGGCCTGGGTTTGTTGTACAACACTGGAGGACGGCGACGGGGCGTTCATGCTGTGGAACGGTGTGTGTGGGATCACCTAGGTGACATAAAATACTGGAAAGTGTGGGTAAGAACCCATTAGACATGTCTGGCGACTACAGTGGCTTTTTTACACTAGTATGTCTAGTATTTTATGACACCCGGGTGGGATGGTGGGCACAGGGACACGCGCGTGCTCATGCTGTGGGTCGTCGGGAGCGGAGGAGAGCGATAGAATGGGCTTGGCTCGGATCGGGGTGGTTTTTTTTCGGTTCAGAGCGGGCCGGTGGTTAAGAGGATGGGGTAAGTAGTTAGGAGAGCAGTAGGAAGGAATGACTATGAGAAAGGAGGAAGAAGTGAGTACAGTATCTTCAGTCGAGGAAATGTAAACAGAAATAAAGTGAATTCAATGATACTTTGTAGCTAAAAGGATACAAAACTATAATACTAAAGCGGGGAAGTATCCTCGAATATATGTATATTGACAACTAGAAGGATGGAGCCAAGCACGCCTCTTCATACGTGAGCTCTGGGAAACGGGGGTATAACTTCTAAAGAAAAGAACAAACTCCATACAAAACCTTGAGCCCAGACTCTTTGCTAAGTCCCTCTAACCACCAACTTCTTCTGCGCCCTCATCTCCCTCACTGTCCCCTCCTTGCCCAAACCACGTCCTACCTCGACAACAATCATACGTATAAAGTCTTTGTTGAGCCAGTAACTGCTATGCGCGCCCAGCATAGTTAGGTACTGAATCTCCAACGCACCACCGCCATACTTCATGTAATAGTCAATCTGACCATTGTCATTCAGTAGATATGCCCTCTTCTCTGCAATCTCCTCGCGTGTAAAGTTGTGCGTTTCTAGTTCTACGTTACTTGGCAGACGCAAGGTGGAGGGCCTTTCGTTGGAGGGATAGTTGGTTGAGGTGGAACGGAAAGGGTTTAATGAGGAGAATAGGGAAGTTGATGCAGAAGGAATGGTTGCGGGTTTTAGCATGGAGGCGTAGACTATGTCTACAGTGGGGTTTATGCGACAAGCGACGGGGTCGTAAGGATTAATGATGTTGTAGATGTTGTCTACGGCGAGACATCCATACGTGCCCTGTTCACCAGCGACACCGGGTGCAGCGTACGAGTCTGCGCCGGGCTTTTCTTTGTCGCGGCGTGGGAGAAGGTTTGCGTTCTTCATGAGGAGGAAGAGGCCAACGGGGCTGCCACAGACGAAGAGATCGGTGGTGTTGAAGATGAATTGGTCATTGGGCAAGTCTGCTTCGGGGAAGGATGGATCAGTGAATCGAGGGTCAACATATGTTGGCTGTTGGCTCAGGATGTCGATGGCCATAACTGAACCAAGGGAGTGGGCAATTAGATGGACTCGGCCGTATTCTGCGAAGCCTGGATTGTTATGGCACCACAGGCGGTAGATGCGGTTGGCTTCTTGTATGCATGCGGAGACCATCTTGGGATTGTGTAATGGCGAAAGATAGTATGGGATGTCCAGCATAACATCACTCACAATACCACGAACAGAGGGAAGTGTGTCTGGAGTGATGTCTTTGAGCGTGTATTTGTTGGCAGAAGGGTCTTCGAGCTCTGGTCTCTCGGTCTGATCGACTTCAAGGGAGACACGATGACGCCAATTGACCTAGCACGTGTAAGAAGATGGCATGTCAAGGAATATGGTTTTATGACTTACCGGCAAGCACATTATGCCACCCATGTCCTTTCGCAAGTGCCGCTTGACTTCAGACGTTCCAAGCTCCACGTTCATTTCTCTCCGAAAAGCATTCATTGCGTGTGTAAAATGGAACGTCTCCATTCTCTCTGATAGCTTCTGCCCGATGCCGTGTATGACAAGGACCAAATCCGTAACCTTTGGTCTCTGAGACTGCGCAAGATCAGGGTCCGACTTCTGCCTTTGATATTGCGGTGCGCCAGCTTGCGATGAAGAGACACCCTCGCGTGCTGCCTGTGCTTTTGGTGTATTCTTGTTTGGGTGCAACCTGTCCCAGGTGGCCTGGTCGAAGCCACGCACAACGTGTACACCGATTGCTCTGCCTTTGCGGATGTAGTTGGCAAGGGGTCGTCTACCATAGTAATCGGACGGCTGAAGCGTAGGCTTGAGGATGAAAGCTTCCTTGTCGTCGGAGTAGATGACGCCAGCTTTGAGGTAGAGGCGTTTCCGCCCATCAGCACCATACTCCAGATCACCAGCGGCCTTGTGGTCCGGTCCCTCTGGGCCTGTTGAGATGTCAATCAGGTCACAGGCATCTTCGACCGTCTCACGTCGCTCCTTGTCGGGGTCTTCTTCTTCTTCGTGCAAAGTGTTCTGAACTAGACCGGTTGAATGCATGGCCTGTGAAGTCGACGGTCTACTATCTGGTTTCTTGGACCTTTCGGGCCACAGGTGGTGTAGGATCTTCATCTCGCCAAATGCGCCGACTTCCACAGCACTATTGAGTTCGTCAATCCACGTCTGGGTCCAGGGCTTCATCTCGAGGTATCCCGCTTCGAGCATGTTGGCCACCTCCACCTCAACAGGCATCATGCTGTCCTTGTAGAACCATGTGCCGCGCACAATCTGGGCGACATCGCTGAGTGGCGACCAGTAGATGGGCTCCATGCGTATCGACTCGGCGTCCATGACTACGTGATGCAGTCGCGAGACTCCGACAGGCACTTTGACAGAAGGTCCTAGCTTCAGCTTGGGTATTTTCTTTGCCGGAGCCTTGTCCTTGCCCGTGGATAGAGCGGGTTCCATGTCATGGTCCCATTTGTAGCTGTCGACCTCGTGTACCGCCGGCCGCTGGCCTCCGTCCATGGGCGCGGGTGGCTTCCATGACTTGGTCAGGTTTCCGCGCGAAGGGGCTCGGATGAAGGGCGTGCCGGTCGTCGCAGGTTCGAGTGGTGATATTGGGCCGGGTTCGTATGCCTTGAGCGAGCCTGACAAGGAGTGGCTGTGACTGCCACCGCTGGAGCTTGGCCTCTTCCTATCGAGCAACTCGGCCGATCTCGAGTACTGGCCCCGACTTGACGATCTGCCAGCTGGTATCTCACGCCCCTGAAGGGTGCTCCCGTCGACACTCGACGCGCTGCCTCCCCTCGGCCTCTTCAGTCGCTCCACAGCCGGGTTGGTCGGCGTCCCACGTCCCGTCCCATCTTTCTCGCCAAGCTCCTCATTGTGCTTGAGTATCTGTTTCCGGAGCGCCAACCAGGCCTCCTGGATGGCATCGTTGTCATACTCGGAAAAGGGCCGCGGAGGCACTCTCTTCGCAGTCGACGTGCCCGTGGGCGGTGGTGGTAACGGCGATAGTGGGTCGTCGATGGCGAGCGGCGACGTGTAAAAGTAGTGGACGGGAATCGCAGGCGGCGCCTCGGTGTTGTGCAGTACCTCGCGGATATATTGGTTCGCTTGGGACGACAGCGTGGGTGCGTTGCCTGCCATGTTGGACGGCGTGGTCGGAGTGGGCTTCTGCAACCTTAGAAGAGGCAGCCGAGCACGCAGGTCATTATATCATAATGCGGAATCTGGGCTATTTACTTTCTGCACGTGCACGCTCAAGGAGACAACTGGCGTGATATGGTACGAGTCTTGGAAGGTAGTTGTTCTTACGCGGTACATTTCCCATCATCATGCCCCGGAGCACTGACGCAACCGCCTCGCTAAAGTCGACGCGTGCCTGTAAGTTAGCCTGAGCATGTGAACTCCCATCGGCGTCTTTCCCCGTCCTCCGTCCTCCATCCTCCGTCATCCAACCCGACCCGAACCAGACGGCTCCTCACTAATCCCCCGCATCACCCTTTGCTCAGTTTTGGTCTTGGTCTCTATGACCAGGTACATTGACGTCATGGTCCCAGCCCCAGACTTGGTGCAACATTAACCCGACATGCAGTGTTTTAGTTGAATTTTACTTTGATTCAAATTGTCATGGTAACAGAACCTATATACAGTACCAACAACTTCCATCAACACACTACGGTCTGACGCTTAACCGAAGAGAACGTCACCAAGGCGGATAGAGACCGTCTTGGTCTGGAGGTAGTTGTCCAACGCCGCCTCACCCAACTCACGGCCCATACCAGACTCCTTGTAACCACCGAATGGCAATTGCCAGTGAAGGCTGTTGTATGTGTTGACCCAGACAGTTCCTGCGCGGAGAGCATTGGCAACCTCAATGGCAGTGTTGAGGTTGGTCGTATGGACGGCAGCAGCCAAACCATACGTGGTCGAGTTGCCAATCTTGATGACCTCCTCCTTGGTCTTGAACTTGGCGATTGTGCATACGGGGCCGAAGATCTCTTCCTTCTGGATCTTCATGTCTTCGGTGACGTTGGAGAAGATGGTAGGCTCGATGAAGTAACCCTTGTCACCCTTGCGCTTACCTCCCGTCTCGATGGTGGCGCCCTCCTTCTTGCCCTCGTCGATGTAACTGACACAAATATTAGCATCCTTTCTATCATATCAAAATGACCAAGCAGAAGACGTACCCCATGATGCGGTCGAATTGCAGTCGTGAAACCTGAGGACCCTGGAATGTTTCCGCCGCAAATGGGTCACCAACTTTGTTCTGCGCAGCTCGCTCCCTGAATCGCTCAATGAACTTGTCATAAATGCTCTCCTCGACATAGATGCGCGAGCCAGCGCAGCATGTCTGTCCGTGGTTGAAGTAAATACCAAAGTTGACCCAGTTGATAGCCTCGTCCAGGTCAGCATCGGCGAAGACAATGTTGGGGCTCTTGCCTCCAAGCTCGAGAGTGATCTTCTTCAAGTTGGAGCCAGCCGCGGCCTTCATGATCTGACGACCGACAACAGTGGAACCAGTAAAGGCAATCTTGTCAATGTCCATGTGGGCGGACATGGCGGCACCCGCGACCCTGCCGAGACCAGTGATGATGTTGACAACACCTGGTGGGAAACCAGCCTCTGCAACAAGCTTGGCAGCAATGTAGGCAGAAAGAGGAGTCTGCTCGGCCGTCTTCATCACGATCGTGTTACCGGTAGCAATGGCGGGACCAATCTTCCACGCCCACATGAGAATGGGGAAGTTCCATGGAATGATTTGACCGCAGACACCAATCTGAGAGGATGAGCTACGCGAAATAGATGGGGGAAGATATAATACTAACCGGCTCCTTGCGGATGTAGTTGAAAGTGTCAGGTGATGTGTCAACAACCTTACCCTCGATCTTGTCGGCCCAACCTCCGTAGTACCTCAAGCAACCAGCAGCGGCAGGTACATCGACGTTCCTGGCCATGGAGAAAGCCTTGCCGTTGTCAAGAGCCTCAACAGCAGCGAGAAGGTCGGCGTTCTTCTCAAATAGGTCGGCCAGCTTGACAAGCAGCTTGCCTCGGTTCTCTGGTGTCTCCTTCCTCCACGGACCATTGAAGGCCTTGCGTGCAGCAGCGACAGCAATGTCAACATCCTTCTCGGTGGCCTCGGCAACATGGCAGATGACCTCCTCAGTGGATGGATTGATGACCTCAATGGTCTTGCCATCAACCGACTTTACCCACTCATTGTTGATGAAGCTAGTTCAGATATCAGCACTGTCATAATATAAGAGACAAAAGTGTAACCCCGAAGCATTACAAAGCCTCCGAAAAAGTTCGGGGTCCGATTATATCACTTACAGGCCGGTGGGCTGTTCGTACTCGCCCGTCTGGGGAGTCTTGAGCTTGACTGACGTCTCGGACATGGCTGTCAATACAAATTGAGGTATATGGGAAAAATAAAAAAGATGTTATGGATCTGGAAGACTGGGTGAGGGGTAGAGGCGCAAAGAAATCTTAAGTACCCCTTAGGTGCTCCGCATGACGCCACTAGAGTTATCTCCACTGGGCAATCCACAACCGCACGATCGGCTGCCTAGAAAGCCTCGGCTATCAAAAGCCCGTTTAAGAAAGCTGTGTGGCCTGTTGCGCGTCTCATGCATCATGGCCGGGTGGCTGTTGGTGCAAGGGTAGGGTTTCATGCCCCGCTCCTACGGCCAGTGAAAGCTACCCCTCCCCCGCACTGCGCAACGCGCTCTGGACGCCATCGAAACAAGCCGTCACTACCCACGCGCCGAGCTTGATCCTCGCATTTTGAATAGACTACCAACGTATGGCCCACGAAGCAATGCATCGCTTGTAAGAAGCATTCCTGAAGCTACGTCAAGATGGAAACGGTAATCCTATCTTCCTGACTCAGCCACCTCGGTTGCTTTTGGAGCGAGTGTCGGGACACGTTGACAGCTGTATCCACCCACCAAGCTAGAGTAATCCGTTGCGTGCATGCCTCCGACCTGGCCATGCTAGACATAAACAATCGCACCCAGCTCGTCTGATCCATAAGCTGCATCGGACGAGCGCTTCCTTTTGCCCAGCATCATCGTGATCGGAAGCTAGGGTAGCCGCAAGCCCCCATACAGTTTAGGAATCCCGGGGAAGCAAAGTAATAGTAATACGTAGCGTGGCGACTCTCGGCTGAAAGGTACACCATCAAGAATGGAAGTCCTGAGAAGATCATGACCCGCACTACGACTGCACTTGGTATTGGTTGACTGCTGCTAGAGCCGTTGCTGCGAAGTGCGGACCCGATCTAAACCAACCTGGTTGACCATCAACCACACTAAACAAGACTTTTCTGCGGGGTCTCCCAAACTCCCAGCTGCAGGCACGGAATACCTCCGCTAGCGTACTACTGTCAGCAAGCTGTAAGCTCCCTGCCATCTTGTGGCAAGCTTGTGCTCTTTAGGGAGCGCGAAGGATCACATGGTTTGCATATCACCCTCAAAAGGGCCAATGTTACCGTTTGGCCATGTAAGAACGGAACGTCCTAGACGCCTTAGCATTGGCCTCCCTGTACGAGAGCTGGAGAGATCAAAGCCTAACCTGTGCCAATAGGAGAACACATGCCATGTTGAACAGTGAGATGGTAAATGGGATCCTCTATCATGGTCGTTCTGTATTGAAACTAACTGAGCTCAGAGTGCAATTTGTGAGCCGAAGAGGAGACATTCATGGGTAATGTACAAAAACCGAACCGCGCCCGCTGCTGACCTGATGCCCGCTTGCCACGGACAGTTCATCGTGAAGTATTTCGAAAAGATAGCGCTTCCAAGAAAAGAAAGGTGAAACCAGACCGGCTACCGGGAAAGCCAAACAGTTTTGAACAATGCTCAATTAAATCATGACAGGGTAAATGAGAGTGGAAGCGTGCCAACCGGAGAGGCGCTCAAAGCATCTCGTCGTCCATGGCAGTGTCACCGCCGGCGGTGACCTGGGCAACTTCAACGCCATTGGCAGCATTGCTGGTCTCGCCTCCAGGGAAGTAGTCGGCCATCTCAGCATCGAGCTCCTCGACTGTCTTCTTCTTGGGACGAGCGTCGCGACCTCCACGGCCCTTTCCGCGACCACGTGTTTGACCACGGCCGCGTGCGGCACCAGCGGCGGCCTTTTCAGCTGTAGCAGGCTTGGGCTTGTCCTTTTTCGCTTGGCTGTATATCGTCAATAGATGTTCCTGATGGGGCGAATGGATGCACTCACGTAACACGGTCGGCAAGAGAAGTCGAACGGGTTGTGGCCGGGATGGCGCTGGCGCTGACGAGGATCTCGACACGAACAGGGCGACCGTCGATCTTGACACCATCCAGTGCGGCAGTTGCCTTCGTAGCTTGGTCGTGCCTGTTGAAGATGACAGTTGCACTGCCTACACTGCGGCCAGCGGCGTCATATTGCAAGAGGACCTTCTTCGGTCGGCCCACGCCGACGGCTGAAACAAAGTATTCCTACAAGGCGTATTAGTGGTCGTGTTGGGGGTTTAGTTCGCAGAAACAGAGGCAACATTCGCTGCGAATCCGGCGTCGGCGTTGGGTAATCGTCGATTCCATATCAAGCGGTTGTAAAGTGCCGCTCAGAAAGTGGGTGACCTCATCCAGATAAAATGAACTCTATGTTCAATAAGACAAAGCAAACTCAGCGCGAGAGCATTTGCCACGAGTAACGTGCAGAAACGTTGCGAAACAGTTCTGCGATGCTTGCCCACGCCCATAGGTAAACTTTGGGCCATCGGTGACTGACTTTGCGTTTGCTTCTCGCGGCTCGCTGGCCTGCTGTAGTTGCTGCATTGCATTGAGGAAAGTGTTCCTGTTGCGCTGCCGTCTTTGCTTACACTCAGCGGTGTAGCTTGTGGAGATAGATCACCCACTTCCGTCGCAGCGGTACTTTGGAGTGTTCGCATGTTGCTAGTCGTATACCAGACATGTGTGCCCAAACACAGATCTCGGCGTGACTTTTTGCAAGGCATGGCTCAACATCCGTACCGGAGGATAGAGAGAAAGGCTCGGTTCGTAGGGTCGGTCTCGTATATGCTCGCAAAAGCGAGACAACAATAGGCTCAAAGACCCGCATCGGTCTTACATACCTGGAGTTGGACTTGATCGATGTCCCGTGGCTATTGCGTGTTAGCGGGAGTCGCACATGGATCGACTGGGCAGACATACCAAGTTAGATACCATGATCTTCGTCTCACCGCTGAGAGAGGCTGCGGGCGCGGTCGGTGTAGCCTTGGCCTGCTTGCCTTGCTTGGTCGACTTGGAAACACCTCCGACAGGGGCGGGAGCAGTGGCGGGACGTCCAGCACCAGAGCGGCGTCCAGCACGGCCACGGCGGGAGGTCTTGGAAGCCTTAAGGATGTCGTCGAGGCTCTGCTCCATCTTGTTCGAAGACATGTTGATGAGTAGGTGAGGGATGGTAATACTTGGGCTAAGCGTGCGTTGATGGGAGAGCGCACTGATGTCGGATGGGCGACTGAGGAGCTTTGTTTGGACGCGACTGGAGTAGTGGCACAGGCTGTGAGGACAAAGGAGCGCGCTGTGGAGAGCAGGCGCGTCGCTGGTGGTGAGGACTCGTGTATAAGAGAGTCGAAGTGGGCTTGCGCGAACGTAGAGAGTGGAGCGCGTTTGATGGGGCCTTCTGTTGATGAAGCGCCGATGCAGATGGATTAAATGGTGGTGAGTGTGGTGGTAAGAAGAGGAAAAGGGTGAGGGTGAGGCAGCAAGACAATCAAGTGGGCTGGCGCCAAGCCCGGTGCACAGCCACTCGACACATCGCTGCCGCCGATTGGTGGGCGCACGGCTGACGGGTGGATCGCACCTGCTTAGCCACGGTTGGGAGAGTGACGCTCTTGCCATTGCAGCAACGGCGAGCATGGAGCGATAGCACTATGGCAGTCACTCCGGTCAGTGTATATCCATTCACCCCCTGCGCCGGAATATGGCAAGGCTAATGCGCGAACAGTGGCAGTTCAAGTTCTTCGACGTCTCGCAAGTCAAGCTCCCGGACGACGAGAGCTCCTTCCTGTCCGAGGTATGGCAATAGCTTTCTCTGCCCACAATACAGCGTCTTATAAACATTCATAGGTTGGGAAAATCACGTGCATAGTCTCCGGGTCAGAGAGCATCTTCTTTGGCAGTGCAGATGGCGTCGTTCGCATCGTGTCGCAGGCCTTCAAGGTCGTGCGCGCATTCAAGGCCCATGACGCAGGCGCAATCACCCACATGAAGCAGATTGAAGGCACCTCGCTCCTAGTCACCATAGCAGAAGATCTGTCAGCCGAGCCGATACTAAAAGTATGGGCTCTGGACAAGCTAGAGAAGAAGACGGGCATTCCGCGGTGTCAGAGCACCCTCACAGTTCACAATGGACGCAAGCAGTTCCCCATATCCGCATTTGCCGCCCTCGATGACTTGTCGCAACTCGCTGTCGGATTCGCAAACGGCGCTGTCACCGTCGTACGAGGCGATTTGATCCACGATCGGGGCGCGCGGCAACGGACAGTGTTCGAATCTGAAGAGCCCATCACTGGCATCGAGTTCCGTGAGGGAAGCATTACAACCCTATACATCGCAACCACTGCGCGTATCCTGACACTGGTGATATCTGGAAGGGGACAAGGGCAGCCTGCAAAGTCACTTGACGAATATGGTTGCGGTGTCGGCTGCATGGCCGTAGACAAGGCGTCTCGAGACGTCGTGGTGGCACGGAATGATGCTATATACTACTACGGGCAGCATGGTCGCGGGCCGCCATACACGTACGAGGGCGAGAAGAAGATGATCTCGGTATACAAAGATTACGTCGCCATCGTTTCACCTCCAAAGTCAAATACGATGCCCCGATCCAACCCTCTCCGAGCTTTTGGTGTTGGGGCAGCCGACGATGTCTTCAACACGTCTAGTTTCACCCTTCTTAACACCGAACTGAGGTTTGTTGCGCACCAGGAGCAGTTGACATCGCAAGTGAAAGCCATCATATCCGAATGGGGTGATCTCTTCGTCTTTACAATTGACGGAAAGGTATAGTACTTGCAGACCATGGGCGATTGTGAGCTGACGAAAGCAAGATCCTCAGATATCACGAGAAGCCCTTTGCACAGAAATTGGACATACTCTACCAACGTAACCTATACGTCCTGGCCATCAACCTAGCCCAGAAAGCAGGGCTGGATTCTTCGCAACAAAATGTCATTCTCCGTAAATTTGGCGACTACTTGTATTCCAAGCAGGACTACGACACCGCTATGCAACAGTATCTAAAGGCTATTGATAATACGGAGCCATCCCAAGTCATTCGGAAGGTAAATGAACTTCAGTCCCGGAGCAGACAGTGCGCTGACGATCAACCCAGTTCCTTGATACGCAAAGGATACATAACCTGATAGAGTATCTCGAAGAGCTTCACGATCATCACAAAGCGACATCTGATCACACGACCCTGCTGTTGAACTGCTACGCTAAGCTCAAGGATGTAGATAAGCTTGAAGAATTCATCAAATCACCCGATGACCTCAAGTTCGACCTGGACACTGCTATCTCCATGTGCCGACAGGGAGGCTACTATGACCAGGCAGCCTTCCTAGCTCGAAAACACGGTGAGCATGAATTGGTTGTTGACGTGCTAATCGAGGATTCAAAACGGTATGCGGAGGCCTTGGCATATATATGGCGACTAGAGCCCGAGGTAGCTTACTTCAATCTCATGAAGTATGCTACAGTACTGCTGCAGCACATCCCCAGAGACACTACGCAGCTGTTCATCGATTACTATACTGGAACTTTCCGACCGAAGAAGGATGCTATAGTCATACCTAATGCTCCTTCCTCTGGAGGGGGCATAGGAATGGGTTTAGGCGTTGCATCAAGCGCTGTACAGAATCTTGCCGCATTGCTGCCGCTACCCTATATGAACAGCAACGCACTGGCGTCGCCTCCCACGGGTGAGCAGAAAGACACTATGAGCCAAGCTCAAATCGTCGAGACGACTACAGACGAGCCTGCGCCAGAGTACAAAGTGCCAAAGCCGCGAACTGCCTTCTCGGCATTCGTCGACCATGCTCAAGAATTCATAGTGTTTCTTGAAGCATGTATTGCATCCGATGACCTCCGCGAAGATGACAAGGTTGATCTGTATACCACTCTATTCGAGATGTACTTGCATACTGCGTCCTCGAAGAAAGATGGCGAGCGACAAGACTGGGAAAACAAAGCCAAGAAGCTCATCGAGGGAAAAGACATACCCATAGACACTTCGAACGTCTTATTACTCTCTCATCTTTCCAACTTCCGCGATGGTGCGATCCTCGTACGCGAACAACAGGGACTTCACTTTGACATCTTCCGTTCCTACACCGCCGCAAACGACACCCAAGGCGCCATTCGCGCGCTACGAAAATACGGCCCCGAGGAGCCAGCTCTCTACCCCGCTGCACTCGCCTACTTTACCTCATCGCCTGAAATCTTAGCTGAAGCTGGCGACGAACTGGATTCGGTTCTCAAAAAGATTGACGACGACGGCCTCATGGCTCCTCTTCAAGTAATTCAGACCCTTTCCACCAACGGCGTCGCAACTATGGGCATGATCAAGGCCTATCTCAGTACGACCATCGAACGCGAACGCGCTGAAATTGCAGCAAACCGCCGTAACATTGAGACTTTCCGCGCTGACACGGAAAGCAAGAAGATCGAGCTAGAGAATCTCAACACTAAGCCTGCTGTGTTCCAGAACTCGCGCTGTCAGGTGTGCATGAAGACTCTAGAGTTACCCGTTGTTCACTTTCTGTGCAAGCATAGCTATCATCAGAGTTGTCTCAGTACGGATGAGGATGTGCATGATGCCGAGGTTGAGTGCCCCATTTGCAGCTCGAGTAATGCGACGGTCAAGGCCATTAGGCGCGCGCAGGTGGAAAGCGCGGAGAGACACGATCTCTTCCAGGATGCACTCAAGAGGGGTAGGGATGGTTTCGCGGTCATTAGTGAGTGGTTTGGAAGGGGAGTTATGGGCGTTGGTAGTGCGGAGTAGGTTACGAAGGCGGATGTACAACGAGGGTATTAGGGATTATTGAGGGTTGCATTAACATGTCCATCAAATTCATGCTGTACTTGCTTGCTGCAATCGTATCAGAATGTCGATTATGTAGGCACTCACTCACCCGGGTGTCATAAAATACTGGACATACTAGTATAAAAAAGCCACTGTAGTCGCCAGACACGTCTATTGGGTGCGTGCCCACACTGTCCAGTATTTTATGTCACCTAGGTGCACTTCATGTCTCGCCATGTTCATTCATATGGGATAGTATACATTTTTCGAATGATTCACCATACAGTGAACAGAAATCCATGTACCGCGCCTTGTCTGTCATCCACCCAGCCAGACTGATGATGCATATGAAAAGTCCACACAGTAACTCATTATATACCCCGAAATACCATTTCCAACTCCAAGCCCAATGCATACAACATACCCACGCTAATACTTCTGGCGTCCCAGCGTGGGTTTCCAGTCCAATGGATGCGTTTCCTCGGTCGCATTCTCATCCTGCTTCCAAATCTTGATCGACTTATCCGACTCACCGGTAATAAGACGAAGACCGGTTTTATCAAACGTCGAGCACATGACACCGGCTTCGGCCTGGAGGGAACCAGGCTGCGCGATGCTCTCCGTGTGTTGGAAGCGATGCCCAGTCTTCCAGTCGTAGAAGGCAGCTTCGCCATTGTCGCTACCAGCAAACATGATGTTATCCTCGTTTACAGACAGCGTGTTGATGATACTCTCGACGGGGGAGAAGTTTTGCATAAAGTCGCCGTTGGGGCAGAGCCATTGCTTTGCGGATTGTGCGGAGCCAGAGGCAAAGGTGAATTCGGTGGGGTGGATGGCGAGGGAGCGGACGGATTTCTTGTGGTGAGTTAGTACTGTGCGCGTCTTTCCAGCGACGAGGTCCCAGAGGCGGATGGTGCTGTCCATACTGCCAGAGAGGACTTGGGGTTCGGCTTCTTGGCATTGGATCGAGGAAATGGTGCCCTTGTGGCCGCCGAGGACGTGGATGTTGCTGCGCGATCGCATGTCCCATACGCGGACTACACCGTCTCGTCCTCCTGTGCATAACACATCTACGGTTGGGTGGAGCGATAAGGAGTAGACACCGCTGAGATGGCCGTGGTAATGTCGAATTACTTTGTTGGTTTCCAGATCCCAGCACTTGACCATCTTGTCTTCTCCGCACGAAAAGAGGTATGGGTGCCTTGGGCTGACTGCGAGCCCTCGGACGGCCGAGATATGTCCTGTGAGTGTGATCTTCAACCGGCCACTGATGAGATCCCAAAGCTTGATGGTTCTGTCTGCGGCGCCAGTAGCGAACCATTGGTTTCCAGGCTCCATGGCCACTGATCGAACCTATCCAAGTCAGTCCCTGTTATGAATAGTGGGGTATAGACTTCACTTACCCATCCCATGTGGCCACTGATGACCGTCTTGACCTTCCAGGGCGCATGCCAGTCGGGCTTCGCTTGCCTGACAACGTCCTTCCTAACCAGCGCGCTGGATGTCTGGTTCCTATTCGGTGTAGGTCCCTGCGCATTTGGAGCGGCGCCCTTTCCTCCTGCCCTTACTGCCAGCTGCATAGACTGTGCATCCTTAGCCTTGTCCGCCTTTTCTGAGACGCCCTCAATCATCCTTTGCATCTTGGGATCTGAAGCCTTCTCCTCAGCATTCTGCGCCTTGATCTTCTTACGTCGCTCAGCAGCTGTAGATGCTGCACTCGCCATTTTCGCAGCCAGCGCAGGTGGTAGATCGCGCACGTGCTCATATTCGTTGCGAATACGCGATGCGACACCTACTTGGTCTGCGGCGGCCGAGGGTGCTGGTGTGGTTGGATGTATCGAGAAGCTACCATTGGAGGCGTGATCTAGCGCCGCAGAAGAGGCAAAATCGGCGGCGAATATCTCTCGTGTCCGCTTCGACGACGACCTTATAAGCTGTTCTGCTGTGCTTGGGGGGCGCGAAGCTGCAGTATCGGCCATTATGGCGTGTTGTTACGAGGGCGAGAAATTTGTTGAAGAGACGTCACAGCGGAGTAGTCGCGACCGGAACGCCAGCGATGAATAGTCTGTACTGGTTGTGATAAATGTCGATATGCAAAGCCTACCTGGTCGTGAATGCTGCATCGCGAACAACTGATGGAAGTTTCACTAGCGCGCCTTTGCCTGCTCTTGACGTGAACCGAGTTAGCGCCGAGTCCCAGGTCTTATCTCATCCAGCTGACAGGAATACACCTTCACCTTGACACTCCACCTACCACTCAACGTAAAATGTATACCTCAGCTGCATCACCGAGTTGCAAAGCCGCCTTTTCGGGATTGGACTTTGGGTTGGCTTCACCGCAGATCGTGTTTGGTAACCGTATCTATCACGCCACCGACTGCGAACCGTACCTGACAGCCTCGACTTGTCTTGGTGTACAGGCCTTTGGGACATCCGGAGAGCTCATCAAGCACGACCTGTAGCTGACTGCGAGCTTTGCCTAAGCAAACGTCTTTCTAGTACTTCGATCTGACCATCTGTCTGTGGATATGGTGGTCCATCTCTTCATGATGGGGACTTGGTGGAAGCGCCATCACGCGTGCCATATGCACATCAAACTATTTTTATTGTTCCTCGTTCCTGAATTTCACAAACGTATAGATGCGAGCAGTGATGGGGTAGGTACATAAATTGGGCACATGGCTGTGCGTCGCCTTCGAATGAGCTCCCAATACATGTTCACCAAAGTGTTGCGACAGGAGCCCATCATCACCCCGTTCAAGATCGTCGCCCCCAGACACACAATACCCGGATACAACCAGCTGATCATGGGACATGCAGTGGAAATGAGCTTGTGCCGCTGTTCCCTCGCCGAATCCTGCATCTGCCATGTTGCGGCAATACTGGGCAAGCGACAGAATCGCATGCTGTGGGTTTGAATTGACCTCAAAGGCCCGGTAGACTCATGCGCACCTATGAGCTGCGTAGCAATGCCTTCGTCACAGCCATGACCATGACAAGGACGCTTGTTTCCCCAGATCTCCCCCCGGCTTCTCCTCTTTACCGCACCATTTCCACAAACTGGGCTGGCACATGTTGCCGAGGAACTTGATTCAGCAGGCACACTGAATTGACGGATCCTTCCTCAGGAGGAAGCTGTCTCCGCATCTAAATGATGCAAGGAACACGCACGACCTTAGTGTTCAACAATTTGATCGTATTCACTGACTGCGGCGCAGGAGAGAGGCGTCCTCCGACTTCATGTCGGAGCACTCTGTTTGACGCATGTCTGTGTAGCGAAACGTAGGCATGGCAGCACCTACGCTACTCCACCAGCCTTCCCGAGCCCGGACAACTGCGTGTAAGGGTGCGCATTCGGATGACACATCCGTTCAGGCCGTTGGCTAGGTTCCTGCATGTGCCTGCGCAACCTTTCAGGCGAGAAACATTAGCAACGCCATATCCGGTTCTTTGACCGAGAACGGGTAGGATTTTGCGGGGTTTACAACGGATCGAGCGACGGAATATCGATTGTTGTGTGTGTGTCGCCATGCGCTTGCGGCCACGCCGTGGCAGCTTCTCGTCCACCCAAGAGCGTCGTTCGAATAGCAGTTTCTATTTGCCACGCCTGATCAAACGTTACGTTGTTAGTGCTGCGCCCGTCACCGCGCGTAGGTTCCAGGTCCCGAGGCATGCCCCGGATTCTCTCTCCATGTGCGCTATCCTGGAAGCGGTTCATTCCGTCCCACCCATGCGAACTCCAATCCAATAAGAATAAGCTTTCTAGCGTCTGCAACGCCACTCCTCTTGGCGCCTTGACAGGTCTTCCACCCCATTCTTCTCTTCTCGCTGTAACATCCCCACATAGGCAAACCTAACGAATCAGTGGCTCGATGGCACCCAATCGACATATTGCACCGTTGTATCTAGACACGCACTTAGGTGGCTAGAAATGCTTTTCCGTTTTTTCGAATCTCCTCAAAGTCAATAGCATAGCGGCTCAGTCCGTAATGAATGGATTTTGCAATTACAGCCATGAACAGCCGCGGCTAGCAACTTAGTCTGGGGTGGCCTCATCAAGTGCAGCCACATCGAGCAATACCTCCTGGGAGCTACCCGATGATCCGGGCTGGGGGCAAGACCCACATAACAAAGGTCTTGTTTATTGAGCCAGAGCCGGGCGAGCTTGATCCCTGTTTAGCCATTGGGCGCCTCGGGTTGGTTTGATATAAAGAGTTGGTGCCATCTCCTTTCTTCGATTGCTCATCATCTCCACTGTCGTTATACACATCTTATACCTGTCGCTATACCAATCCATCAACACCAAAACAACCGTCATAATGAAGAGCTTCACCATCGCCTCCATCATCGCTCTGGCCTCTGTTGCCTCAGCCCAGCTTGACAACATCCCGTCATGCGCTGTACGTCTCTCCAGTTCGTTGCTGCGTCAATCGCGCATCTTGTGTTTTTTCCTGAACTTCGACTAACATTAAATAGCTTAACTGCTTCATCGGTCCATTGACCAGCGACGGCTGCTCTGCTCTCACCGACTTCAAGTGTCACTGCCAAAAGGGTGGCCAGCTCCTTTCTCAGGTCCAGCCCTGCGTTGAGAAGGCTTGCAACCCTTCTGACCAGGCAGCCGCCATCTCCGCTGTCGAGTCTACTTGCAAGGCCGCTGGTGTGCCCATCACCATTCCCAACGCCAGCGGTGCTGCCTCTGCTGCCAGCTCTGCTGCTGCCACCGTGACCTCCGCCGTCGCCTCAGCTGCATCTTCTGCCGCCTCAGCTGCCTCTTCTCAAGCCTCCGCGGCTTCTTCGGTCCTCTCAGTTGTCTCTTCGGCCGTTGCCTCCGCCGCTTCTTCCGCCTCCGCCTCTGCATCCATGTCATCTCAATCCACTGCTTCCCACTCCGCCAGTGCTAGCGCTTCTGCTTCGGCCTCCCAGTTCACTGGTGGTGCTCCTCAGGCCACCCAGGCTGCTGGTATCCTCGGTGCTGCCGCCCTCGCCATGCTCGTCTTGTAAACAACTACATCTGGCAAGCAATGGTACATACAACTGGCGAATCTCGTCATGGATAGCGTGTAATGAATGTGTGATGGAATGATATTGAATGGACACGATGTTTGTACATTATCAAAAGAGAAATTTTCTCGTTGGAACATCTAATAATACCCTTTCACTACCCACATTGCTCTCATCGATTTTTTACTCTCGTGTGTGACGACGCATGTATCGTCATGCCGATTTTCCAACGTTCGCGCAAAGTCGATTGTCTGTTTGGATCCCTGGCTGGATCAAAACTAAATGCTATTGGAGGACTGGCAAATTACATGGCGCTTATGATGCGTTTGAGTAACAATGTCTCAGGTAAGCAGATGGCGGCCTCCGATATTCCTTTTGCTTGGACAAATGTGATTCGCCTGACTGCAATATACGGTACGGGTCATGAAAAGATAATATGCGGGTAGTAAGGGGGGTTCTGTGAAATGACATAATCTGACTGTCAGAGAGTACCATGTTTTAGTGCTTACTCATGAGGCTATGACGGTTCTGCTAAACAAAGAAAGTGGTGTAATACAATCACCTCAATTGCCAATATGGCTTTACATGGTTTGAGACGCGAGTGAGTAAACACTATCATCCCTGTCTTTGGCATCATTTAATGTCTTAGATCCGGTCGAAATCTCCACTGTACTACCAATCCTTTTGCAATCTTCCAACGGAACTTCATCCTCATCCGCCGGCTTAATCCGCGTCGAGTGTCGCGACGTGATTGGCACCCGGAGGCCTAAAGTCGGCGGTGTACCTCGAGTGCCAGTGTTGAGAAACTTTCTGAACAAGGATCGGAGCGACGGAAGCGACGCTGCAATGATTCCAACGTTGTATTCGAGAAGCCTCCACATGGTGAAGCTATCGAGCACAAACGGATCAGGGTCGGAGAGGATGGCTTTTTGCTGTTCGGACTTGATGATGGCGGCAACGCCGGCGAATAGACCCAGGGCCAGGATACAGACTAGCGTGATATTTGTGCATCCGTTAAGTTGTAATTGCCTGATGAGTGGTATAGGTAGAACGGCCAAGACAAAGTTCGCCGTAATGGTTACGGCTGATTGAAGTAAGCAGGAGATGCGAAGGAGAGTCTGGTTGCTTGCCTGTGTTTATTAATCCGATGGCAGTAAATGTTTGTCTGTTGAAACACACTGCATGTCCTGACCCTAATGGTGGCAGGCGAAGTCTCGTGTCCTATGCGGCTGATATGGGAACGCACTGGAACATCTAGAAGTAGCAATAATGTTAGTAACACGCTTAGTTACACCCAGGATGGTAAAGTCGCTGTGATACCATCCTAAAGTGACAGGTAGAGTGTGACTTACTGGTGCTTGATCAGTAAACGAGCTTTCCAATGTTAGATTCTCGCCCACGTACCTAGTGTTCCGATGCAAGCAGCAGTGAAGAATACCATGAAGAAAATGAAGCCTTCCAAGAACCACCTGTAAGCTTTCCTCGTCACAAGACGCAGTAGAAAGTAAGTGATTGAGATCTTGACAAGCCCAACCCCGATAGGTATCGACTGGGCCTGACGCAACTTGAGAAACTCTCGGTGGCGCTCTTCATCCATCTTGATGACGGGAACATGTTCCCTAATCCCACCCTGTTTTGCAAAGCATATATGATGAATGTTGCCGTGAAAAATACGAACGCGAATAAGATGATCCAGTCGTCTTTGCCGAACGATCTGAGCATCATGGCACGAACATAACATCTCAGTATGACAACTAAGGTCGTTACTCCAAACAATGTACCGGTTTGCGTCAAAAGAGCTGAGCGTTGGTGTAGGCAACGTACTCGGGGTCCAGCTGGCCCACCTCTGGAATATCGGGAGTGACAATGCCTGCCATTATAGGAAGGAGAATCTGGGAATAACGAATGCAGACAAGAAAATGTGAGATTCTAATGCGCGCAAGTTCTACAGATCCCACGCTTAAGAGTTGTACGGTTTGTGCTGGGCGCCATGCCCTCGTGGCACAGCACAACATGGAACCAGGGCGGCTATCAATTTGTTTCGCTGAAACTCTGCGTCGTATGTTATCTCTGGTCTTCATCCCGAGTATACGGATATGGTTTTCTTCGGGTACAATGCCGCTTTCTCGTCTGGATTGACATATCCCTTCCCAAATCATTTACGCATGAGTTTTGTGCGCGCTCGATGAATGTTGAATACCATGGTTGATCATGCCAATTTTGTAGCTTGTACCATGTCTTGACTCGATTGTCTCAAAAGCTATCAGAGGCTGCTAAATTCCAAGGAAGCTTGGTCGTTAGAACGCAATAGGAACCCGGGAACAAATTTAATTCACAGGCGCGTTGCACGCAGCAAATTTCTCTCCCACGCGGCTCTCGTTGTAGAACTTGAATCATCCACAGCGAGGCTGCGGCGTAGTTACAGTGTCGGTTTAGGCATCACTATCTGTCGCTTTGAGATGTAACAGATGCACCAAAAGATGCACAGGCGATGAGAAAACTTTCGAGCGATGACGCTACCCACGAACAGTACAGTCCTGGCGAAGCAAGTCGAGCTTCTTCACAGCTACAATGTTTTGGGTATGACTGGCTTCTTTTCTGTGAGCTCAAGCAGGCCAATCAGACAATCCTTCACGAGAATCTCGGGATGCGGCGCGGATGAATACGAGGGTGGGTATCTTAATGGAGAAAAAGGCTGAATCATGGCTGCGGAGTGATTCCCAAGCCGTCTTGGCAACATGCACATACCTACCATTAGGTAGAAGGAAAACACTCCACTTGCACATACCCTAGTTACTTCAAGTTAGCTATGCCAGTAACTATCATCGCATGATTGGCAATTGTGATCATCCCCCTCTTTGACTACCTAGGTACACCAAGGCCTCTAGAGCTGTTGATAGCACACATGGGCTACCGCGACTCCTACCAGGAAGAAACTTCATGTCTATGCAAAGGTTAGTTGAATGAGTATTATCCCTGGTCTGGAAACACTACCGTTTGTGCAGGAGGGATTGTTATGGATCTTGTTGAACTCCTTCCCGAACAGGTATGTCCTGTGGTTGGCCATAACCAGCGCCATGGATCCTACAAGGCCCCATCTAAGCACGATTGCGGCACAGCACAATAGTACTGGTAGATTCACTATGCAAACAACTCGGATCAGCAACGCATGTCGCTCGCGCTGCGGGATGTTGAAGCGCATAGCATGTACCAAGCGACAGGCATACAGGATAGTCGGCTTCCTTTATGAGATAGCTAGAAGATATAGGTACCCTCTTTTTCTTGCAGATTACCTATCTCGGAATCTACCTTTCCTCACATACCACCTCATCAAACCGACGCCAAGATGCGCCTGGGCAACATAACTGCTGCAATACTTGTTACTGGTGTATATTCTGTTACAGAGCACGATAAATTGGCAGCTATAGGACTTGAAAATCTCAAGATCGATGTGACAAAGAATGGTCATCCCAGTTCTAGCCATTGTACATTAGAGAATGTCGCCGTCAGACGTGAGTGGTAAGTACTATATCTCCTTGTCAAGGATCGCATATATCCAATAAGCATAACTCCAGGTCGTTTCTATCGAAGTATGAAAAGCGAAACTACATCGAAGCCATTCAGTGCCTCCACTCGAAGCCTGCTTTGACTCCAGCTGCCGTTGCGTCTGGAGCGAAGAGTCGCTTTGATGACTTTGTCGTGACACATATTGTGCAGACATACCAAGTCCACGCAACCGTACGTTCAACTAGATGGTGAATACACTAGTACACTGAGACTAATGTACCATATATAGCGGTATGATGTGCTAATTTGAGCTAGGCCAACTTCCTCTCCAGGCATCGTTACTACATCTGGGCCTACGAGCAACTGCTACGCAACGAATGCGGTTACAAGGGCTACTTGCCATACTATAACTGGGCCTGATGGTACGAGGATCCAGTCAAATCACCGTTCTTCGATGGTAGCGAGACCAGTATATCAAACGGAGGGGCATATGTTCCTGACAGGAACTCTTCTTGCGTCGGCTCTGACGTAGCGTGTCCTATAGTACTGCAGCCCGGGAGTGACGGCGGTTGCGTATCCGGACCTTTGGCTAATTGGACTGCGTCACTCGGGCCCATTAGGACGAAGGCGACGGGTATCACGCCAAACTTGCAGGCTGATGGGCTGGGATACAATCCTCAGTAGGGATATGAACAGGCAAGCGGCCTACTCGTCGAGAGACGAGGTTCTCACAGATTTGATCTTAAACAACACAGATATACTCAACTTCCAGAGTCGGATGCAGGGTGACTTTGCAAACGGCTACCTAGGAGTGCACAGTGCGGGTCACTATACTGTTGGTGGAGATGCTGGCTCCGACTTCTTCAACTCCCCGTCTGACCCTGTGTGTTCTCTCAGCTAGAAGTTAGGTTGCGGAGTATGTTTGCTGATATTTGATGTTCAAACGCAGGCTTTCTACTTCCACCATGCAATGATTGACCGAAGTTGGTGAATCTGGCAAAACCAGGATCTTGAAAAGAGGGGGAATCAGGTCGCGGGCACAATCACTTTTCAGAACGAGCCGCCAAGTCGTAATGGTACGTTGGAGGATACTTTGAGTCTGGATTCAATGTTTGAGGATACATTTGTGAATATTACAATTGCTGATGCGATGAGTACGCTTGGTGGGCCGTTTTGTTATATTTATATGTAGAGGTGCATGTTGGGGTTGGGAAGACGATACGATGTGGGCACGTCAAAGAATAATAACTCAATATTAAAATGCCATTTTTTTATTGAAATGTGATCGCGTCGACTATTGGGTTGTTGTACATACTGCTCTGAGGAACCAGTCGAGGAGCACGAGTGCAGGGCCACTTACCTATACAGAGGTTTGATAAGCTCGGCGCTGACAACTTGACGTTGTTGGTGTTGTTGGTGACTCAATTGCGCTACATATGGCGGTGACAGAATGCCACGTGTATTGGCCTACAAGAGAGCAGCGTGACGTTCTTTGTGAATCTGGATACGAGACACTATGGCACGAGGGGTCGACGTCAGTGGTGACATGGTCTAAGCTCTCCAAAGTGGGTTCTCCTCCGAACACCAAACCTCCCGCATCCTCAACCAACCCTCTCAAGATGCCGAAACGGGCGCCGCCCGCACGATTATGGCCTCCGTGAAGCGCAGAGATTTGATACTCGCCGCCGTCGCCATATTCATCGCCTGGGGCTATCTGACCCATTGGCAGCCCAAGCTACTCTACCTGCCCTACGCCTTCATCGTCGGAGTACTCGCAACCCTAGTCCTGCTAGCATGGCTTACCTTCACAACTACCTGGAAAAAAAACTTGCGAAGCGGCGGGACTGTCAACTATGGGCCGCGCCACGTTGCCTTTGTTGCACCGGAGAGGTGGAAGGCTGAGAGAGAGGCGTTGGACATGAGGAACATGTACATGATGGAGCCAATATACCCCGCCTCCTTCATGATATCAGACAGCATCGACGTACTGATTGGTCTGATACTGCGCGACTTTGTAAAGAGCTGGTACGGCAGCATCAGCAAGAGTCCGACATTCGTGAATGAGGTGGACAAAGCGATACGGATGGCCATGGGCGAGATACGGGAGCGCATATTGGCTGTAGATATGGTCGAGACAGTCGTATCGCGCATGATACCCCTTATAACGGACCACCTGCGGGCGTCATATGAGGCAGAGCGTGTGGTGCGTGGGCGCAAGTTGTCACGCAATATTACCGACTCGGAAGAGCTTGACCTGGCGATTGCAGCAAAGTACAAAGAGGGTCGCCTGCATCCTGCGGCTTCATTGGCATATTCGAATACCAAACCTATACAGCAGCAATACCTACGGAGTATCGTCACGAAATTACTACCAAAGGTCATGCCTGCTAACATGTCAACAAGTCCTGCTGTCAACGTGCTCATCAAAGAGATTGTAGCCTGTGCAGTACTATCGCCCGTGATGCAGATGCTTGCTGATCCGGATACTTGGAATCAGCTTATGGAGGGATATGTAAGACTTTAGTCGTTTGTTCAAGGCCAATGCTAATACAGCCAGGGCCGATCATTGTTACAAGAAAGGAAGACGGTCCGCAAGCTTCGAGCCGCCCTCGACGAACACGCCCCATCGTCTCCGAAGAACCCCAAGAATGTCCAGTTCCCCAAGCTCGCGCCCGGCGACAACGAACGAAGATTCGAGCGGTTCATACGAGCAATCAGGCAGACCAACACCCTCGCAGACGCTAGACGCTTCCGTAGCGAGGTCTCGAGCCAGCTACGGAAAGACGCTATGATGGAAGGGCAGGATCCTGTTTATCTCCGGCGTCTAGAGACGGCACGGCAGATACTAGATACAAAGGTTGCTAATCTCAGCGCTGGCGGATCGGTTCGCGCAAAGGTTGCGGCACAAGAGATGCCAAAGCACAAGCGCACGTCGTCCAAATTTGCAAATGCGTCTTTGCGTGAAGTGCTGTATGATGCATCTGGTCTGTCGTGCTTTATGGAGTTCATGGACCAGGCTGATCTCATGCGGCTGGTTCAGTTTTGGATAGTTGTGGATGGCTTTCGAAACCCACTGGAGGTCGAGACTGAAGAAGGCCCGGACTACATTGGAGCTCTGCCCACCTGGACCGAGTCTGATCGTGCAGATCTAGCGCAGATAAATGAGGGATATCTGTCGAAGCCAGAGCTGAAGATTCTTCCTGAGGCTCGACAAGCCGTCTCTGAATTTCTCAAAGCCGGGCGAAAAGCGACAGCACAACAATATCACAATGCACGACGGTCCCTTTTGCGAGCCCAGACGGCAGCATACGAGCAACTTCAGGAGCCATATTTCCGCAGGTTCAAAAAGTCCAATTTATACTACAAGTGGCTAGCTATGGATGAGGCAGCGAACGCTGAGAACAGTTCAGTGAGGACCAAGACCGTGGCACAAACGCTTGACAAGCCATCTATGGCAGCCCCTGCCATGCTCCGAACGCAGTCGAGGCAGAAAAGCGCACTACAAGTACCACACGGAGATTTGCGCCGAGCTGTTGCCTCGTCTTCAGACTTGAAAAGCCAAGGGGCCGTCCAGAGCTTTGAGCCACCCGCGCGGCGGTCACTGGATGTCAACGTGCCCGCATCTGCTCGTGCACCTTTGTTTGACGAAGACTATGACTCAGATTCGCTTGCTCAGTCAACAGCAAGCCTCTTCTCTGATCATGGCCATGAGCGTGCTAACGGCAACGATACCCATGTCGTGGATGCAATGCAAGCAGCCCTGACTGATATTATGGATGAACCCGAAGGTTCCATCTTTTATGAGTCAAGTCTGAAATCACCTCTGGATAACGACTCGATGCGGGGCTCCGTGGATCTATCACGGGCAATGTCTCCACATCCTCAAACACAACCAGGCAAAGATAATCTTAAACCAAGCATAGCGTCGCTGGGCCTCGTAGGAGAGCCCCGAACCCGTGGTGTATTTGATGATGATATATTTGGCGACGAGGAGAGGTTTCTGGAAGATGAGATTGAAGATCCAGTGCCAAAGACCGATCCAGAGGATGAAGAGATACACGAAGCGGCCCCTGGAGACTTGGGTCTTGCTGAGGCTATCGATGCGCTCACCGCGGACATTGAACGTCTGGTCGCGCAAGAGTCTATTGTAGATTCACTTACTTCAAAAGCTGAGTTGACTAACAACGCTGCCGAACTCAGGATTTTACGAAAATCAAAAGCTAGTCTGCAGCGAGAGATACAAAGGAAGGAGTTGCAACGTCAACAGTACATCGTCCAGGAGAGCGACAACAGCCTTTATGGACGTGCGACTGTATTTATCCAATCAATCATGGTTGGTACAGAAGCAGATGGCAAGGAATATGCCATGTACGTTATCGAGGTGCGACGACGCGCCGGCGACCAAATGCCAGCCGCAACTTGGGTTGTCTCGAGAAGATACAGCGAATTTCACGAACTGAACAAAAGGCTTCGCGCAAAGTTTCCGCAGGTGCGAAACCTGGAGTTTCCACGCCGGCAGATGATGCTCAAGCTTCAAAAGGACTTCCTTCACAAGAGACGACTCGGTCTTGAAAAGTACCTCAGGGAACTGCTACTTATTCCGGCGGTATGTCGCAGCCGCGAGCTACGTGCCTTTCTTTCCCAGGCCGCAATCAGTCCTGCCGACGCCATGAGAAGTCAAGATCCGAATTCTAATGATTTTGTGACTCGTATCTACAACTCCGTCGCCGATGGTATGGAAGAGTTTCTTGGCAACATTCCCGTTTTGGACCAACTTTCCGTGGCTGGCCAGAATCTCATTTCCGCAGCTACCACGCAGCTCGCTAATACGAACGGAGCAACTGCGCAGCCAGGAGATCTGGCCTCGTCTGGCGTATTGGTAGCTGGCGAAACCAACAACGACGCTGAAGCTGAAGCTGAGTTGCTCGCATTCGAGAACAAAGAGATGGAGCCATTCGTCAAACCCATTTGCGACCTTTTCCTTGAGACATTTGAGCTAAACCGCGAAAATAATTGGCTCCGTGGACGCGCCGTCGTTGTAGTCCTCCATCAACTTCTTGGTGGTACAATCGAACGCAAAGTGCGGGAGTCGTTCGACAATCTGCTATCAGAAAACAATCTTGTTAACTATATTGATTCGTTGAAGGATAGTATGTGGCCCAACGGCAGAATGAAAGCAGGCGTGGAACGCACAGGCCAAGACAAAGAGAGAAGTAGGAAGGCTGCAAGTGAGGTACTGGAGACCTTGGTACCAGAGCTTGCGAGCAGCGTGGTGGGGAGGCAGAATGCGCAGTTGGCGGCGAAGAAGATTGAAGGAACTGTTAACAATACTCGGCTGAAGTAAGTCGACCTTATATCGCATCCTATGAAGAGAACTGACAAGACATAGTACCCATCTTGCTTTTACGCTCTTAGACGAAATGCTGCAGGTCCTGTTTTCCGATGCTGGTCTGAGGTAGTACATACATGCAGGAACGGCGTTGAATAACTGGTGTTATCATGAGCGCATGGGGAGTCTGTTCACGGTCAACTATCTCTGGGTTCACTAAATTATACCTGTGTATCTCATCTTCGTGGTTCATAACGGATGTATCATACATGATTTTCCAGTGTCTTATCTCATGTCGCTCGCTCTTTCCTCTGCGCACTCCTGTTACGTCACCACAGCAGGCAACACGAGGCAGTCACAACGACGAATCGCCGTCTCGTTGTTCAAGACGCTCTAGACAAGGCCCTGCACGTGGAAATGGAAGTCTTGGAAGGGTTCTCAATTCCAAGTCAAAACGCTAAGAAGGATCTGATGCAGGCGCCCGGGAATGTTTGCTAGGTTCCAGTCCCTTTCATGTCACTTGGATCATGAAGTGCAGTGGTCTGTAACGGCCACGCTGCTTTTGAATTTCTAGCCTCATTTTCCATGCCGCTGACTTAGAGCGCATGCTTTTTTCACTCTTCTCTTACAGTGCGTCACTGGCTCGCTTGCTCCAAGAAGATCCCACTTCACCTTCACCACTTGACCAAGAAATTTCGGTTAGCGCCAGCACAGACGCTAGTTGCACCTAGTTGCTCCTGCCCATCAGGCAACTGTCGTGTCCTCAAACTCGCAGCGACAAACATTGCTCGCACGCCTTTGCTCCCCATCAGTTGCATTACATTCAGTACCTTTGCTATCAGCCGACGAGCCATACAACTACAGTCCTTTTCCCCATAATAACCGCAGCCCTCCAGGATGTCTGGACGCGGCGGCGGACGTGGCCAATACGGTGGGCGAGGCGGTCGAGGCGGCGGTCGTGGCCGTGGCCGTGGTCGCGGTCATCATGCAGCAGATGCGCATGATGGCAATAAACAGCATTCACGCAAAGCTGCAGCTCCCGTCAGAGTCAAGGAAACCGAAGAACAAAGGGAGGCTAGGAAGTCCTACGGCTCCTGGAAGCGGCGGCTGGGAAAGACAGAGGCTGACCCTACTAATATGCGCCGTCTTTGGGAAGGTGCACTTGGTATACTCGAGGCAGGAGATCGAGACTGGCGTCAGCAGCTCCCACAAGACCTCAACGATGATGAAGGGACCGGTCCTCACCACATCCTCGCTATGCTCAGCACGAAAGTGGTAGGCGCAGATTTCGACACCTTCATCAACAATGCGCGCAATTTCCTTCTCACCCTCACACACCCTTCACTCCTGCGCTGCCTCGCTGTCGATACTCATGTCGGATCGCTCTACAGCATTTTCGGTGGAGTCGGTGGAAAGAGAGCTATGCAGTTTCTCCAGCGTCTCTGTGATGCTCTACTGGCAGCCCGAGTGGCAAGAGCTTCTTTGAGCTCCACGGGAGACATTGAGGCAACCCTTCTCTCAGCAACACTCGCTCTCTTTGAGCTACTGAGACGCGAACGCAGGATGCGCTTGAACGAAGATATCCCAACGCTAGTCGACAGTATACAGGCAACAAGCGATGTCTTCAAGAACGAGACGTCTTCGAGCTTCGCAACCAGGATCTCCAATCGACTCAACGATGTTCGAGCGCTAGTAGCACGGACACAGAGTCTCATTTCCGACGATAAGATGGGCGGTCACAGTAATGCTGACGATATTGACGATAATATCTCGTTCTATCCACAAAGCATGGTAGTTCCGTCTGACCGCTTCGATAACGACAAGAGGGATATCGCTGATATGATCATATTCCCAACTCGGGACGAGATCATGAGCGACGAAAAGGAGTTCCTGCCATACACAAATCCTGACCAGCCCCACTTCCTTGACGATCCGGTTCAGCGCCATATAGACACCTATTTCAGGTTGTTACGTCATGACATCTTCGGTGAAATGAAGGGAGCATTGGCAGGAGTCATGCACACGGTGACAAAAGATCCTACAGCATCATCTGATCCCAGGCTACATCTTGGAGATGTGCGTGCCAACCATTATCTTCAAGCTCGAATCAGCTATGTTACTTTGGACAGCCGGAAAGGCTTGCAAGCTCAGATCGAGTTCCTCCAACCCGGCTCTGTGCGTAAGCAATCCGCAGCAGCGAGGGCAATATGGTGGGATGAGTCGAGACGGCTTGAAGAAGGCACCCTCCTTTCATTTGTGTGGCTCCAAGGCTCCAAAGTCCAACATTCATTCTTCAGTGTATCGGACAAGAAGACCGAGCCACATGAAGAGTATGGGTTGTCTAAACATAACAATATGGCTTACATTACCTCGAGCCTTGTTACACAGGATCAATCGACAGTGAAATTGCTCATGCAAGCCAATATCGGAGCCTCCCGCGGTATTCTGCTCGAATTTCCCAAGGTGATGCCTGCTACCTTCGAGCCCATCTTGGAGAACTTGAAAGGAATGCATCGCCTAAATCGCCTGCCTTTTCGACAGTGGATCATTCCAGAGAAGCAAACGGGTCCTTCACGAGTACAAAAGGCTCAGGACATACCGCCTGCTCTGTATGCGCGAGCTCCTGGCTTTCGATTTCCACTAGGGAGCCTCGCGAAGGACAAGACCCAGGATGAGTCGTTCTCACTGGAACCTACATCTTCTTGCGATGACGTAGTTTTGGTTGACAAGCTCGAGACCAAGACGCAACTCGATCGTGGACAGTGTCGGGCACTGATTGCTGCGTTGACGCGCGAGTACGCGTTCATACAAGGACCTCCAGGAACAGGCAAGAGTTACCTTGGGCTTCAGATCATGAAGGTCTTGCTTGATATCAAAGAAAAGGCAGATCTTGGACCGATACTCATTGTATGCTATACCAACCATGCTCTCGACCAGTTCTTGGAGCACTTGATTGACATCGGTGTGCAAAAACTCGTCCGAGTAGGTGGCATGAGCAAATCTAAGAAGCTCGCAAATCACAACCTTCGTACTGTGAGCGATTTGGAGACTAAGACAAAGTCTGAGAAATACATGGCAGCCATGAGGTATAGGGAGCTGGAGAACAAAGAAAAGGAGGCGAAATCTGTGTTCGCTGCGCTACACGGTCTGCAAAAACGTCCAGAGTGGCACAGTATCAAAGGTCACATTCACGAAGACTACCCAAATATCTACAAACAGTTTCGACAAGTAGATGAAGAAGGTTTCAAAACAGCTGGTCGACATCCATTTGACGTCTGGAGGACAGGGACCGGACCACATCATGTTTCACTGACCACACATGCGCTACAACGACTCAAACAGAAGGCGGAACGAAACATCTACTCGCTCACGACTCAAGAGAGAAGCGCGTTGGTTGCTCATTGGATCGAAGAGGCCCAAGGCAGCAAGATTGGCGAGTTGTATGAAATTGCAAAGGGTGCCATGAAGACCCAGCGCGAGTTGATCAACATACATGAGGAGCTCAATCGAAGGGTACTGGAAGAAGCGGATGTGATTGGAGTCACTACTTCTGGACTTGCAAAGCGAATCTCTGTTCTCCAGCAAGTCAAATGCAAGGTTATCATCTGCGAAGAGGCAGGAGAAGTGATGGAGCCTCATATGCTCTCAGCAACTCTCGGGGACGTTGAACATTTGATCCAGATAGGAGACCATGAGCAACTACGGCCCTCTGTAAGCAACTTCCGAGATCTTTCGCTCGAAAGCGAACGGGGAAAGCTCCACCAGCTAGACAGGAGTCAGTTCGAACGACTCTCGATCGGAGAACCTGGCAGACCTTTGATGCCCGTGGCTCAGCTCAACGTTCAACGTAGGATGCGCCCGCAGATATCGACACTTATTCGTGAGACAATTTATGACAAGCTGAAAGACCATGCAACGACTGCCGAACTGCCAGATGTTGTCGGCATGCGTCAAAATGTCTTTTGGTTCGACCACCACAACCACGAAAACGGGAACGACGCGGATGTCCACAACACCAAATCTAAGTCGAATCTCTGGGAGGTGAAGATGGTGCACGCACTTGTCCGTCATGTCGTCCGCCAGGGCGTGTACAAACCCGACGATATTGCAGTGCTGACCCCGTATACTGGTCAACTCCAGAAGCTGCGTGCAACAATGAGGAGCGACTTCGAGATCTGTCTTAGCGATCGTGATCGTGAAGCACTCGAAAAGGATGGCTTCACAGTTGACGATAATGTTGTAGACGAGAAAGCAGCATCCAACCAACAGGGTTATCTAGGCAAACCGCTAGAGAAGAAACAGCTTTCCGAAATGCTGAGAATTGCTACTGTCGACAATTTCCAAGGAGAAGAGGCGAAGATCATCATTGTCTCACTTGTGCGAAGCAACGAGAAGCGGAACGTCGGGTTTCTCAAGACTACAAATCGCATCAATGTCTTGCTCAGTCGCGCGCAGCATGGCATGTATCTCATCGGTAACACAGACACGTACTCCAGCGTCGAGATGTGGCAAAAGGTCATTGGCATGCTACGCGCTGCAGACTCAGTAGGCGAGCGCCTGGCTTTGTGCTGTCCCCGACATCCTGAAACCGCCATTGAAGTACAACAACCCGACGATTTCCAGAGGCTTAGCCCAGAAGGCGGCTGTAGGGAAGCATGCGCTGATCGTCTAGACTGTGGTCACTCTTGTGGATCACGGTGCCACTCGGAATCTATGCATGCTGTCTTCCAGTGCGAAAAACCATGTCAACGCCGACACCAGCCTTGCAATCATCCATGCCAGAAGGACACTTGCGGTGAAGCATGTGGAAAGTGCGGGGTCCTACTGGATAATGTGCGCCTGCCGTGCGGCCATCTCAAGCACAGGGTGGCCTGCCACCTTACACAGAATCTTCCAAGCATACCCTGCGACATGAGGGTCTCGAAACATGTACCAGACTGCGGACACTACGTGAACGTGACGTGCTCGAAGGATATCTCTAGCGAAGCATACAGGTGCCCTGAACCCTGCAAGATACTGCTTCACTGTGGGCATACTTGTCCGGGAAGTTGCGGGCGATGCAATACCAAAGACAGGTATGACCAGCCGGTCATCAAACACGCTACTTGCAGGAAGACGTGTGGCAGAAAGTATGGGACCTGTAACCACAGTTGCAAGCGTCAATGCCACGACGGCACGGACTGTGGCTTGTGTCAAAACCCATGCGAAGTAAGTTCTCTTTGTCTATCTGCAAAACACATGCTGATCAGTTGTAGGTGCGTTGTAAACACACGAGGTGTCCACAAAAGTGTCATGAGCCTTGTACTCCATGTATCGAGTCGTGCGTATGGTCCTGCGAGCATCAAGGCGATTGTAAAATGCCTTGTTCAGCCCCATGCAATCGCCTTCCGTGCGATGAGCGCTGTACCAAGCTTCTTCCATGTGGTCACCAGTGCCCGAGCATCTGTGGCGAAGCATGTCCCATTGAATATTGTCAGCAGTGTGGCATGAAGTCCGAGGAGCTTCCCGATATGGTCATGATGTCACGGTACGCCGACATCGATCTCAACGAATCACCTATAGTCATTCTAGGTTGTGGTCATTTCTTCACCAGCGAGACTCTTGATGGACACATCGGGCTCAAAGACGTTTACGACGTTGATATCAAGACTGGACGTTTCATTGGCTTAATTGAGAACGTTGAGCTTGCCGCATCGGTGCCCCAGTGCCCGAACTGTCGCGAGCCCATCAAGCAATACATCACTCAACGCTACAACCGACTCATCAACCGAGCTGTTATCGATGAGATGTCCAAACGCTTCATCGTCAGTGGTCAACAAGAGCTTCAGCAGTTGAAAGGAGAACTGGACGATTTGAGGAATGAACTTGAAGACTCACGAGAGTCTGTTGTTCCACTTGAGCTAATCAGGATCCGCAAAGAGGCAAACCTCGAAATAACCATGCAGTTCATTAACGATGGGCTCAAGAATCGTTCTCACAGTTCTATCAGTCTGATGAACTCAGTGAAGTCTCTTCAGCGAAGAATGCAAGCTCAACATCAGCCGACATACAAGCTGCACCAAGCAACCGTCCATGCGGTGGCAAAGATGACTCCACTAGATATTGGACTGTCAAGCCTGGTTATCGATGCCTCTGCCGAATATGCAAAGCGTGATCGCGATCAGCGCATCACCCTTGGTGGCAACCTGCTCGAGATTAAGGTGCGATGCTTGGTCCTGGAAGATAACTTTGAGATTGCGCATGCCGTCGGCCTCAAGCGTTTTACAGCGACAATGACGCTTAGCTTTCCTGGTGGCTCACCTGAAACTAAGATAGAAAAGTTCCTCCAAGACTGCATGAAGTTGATTAACGAATGTCTGCTTCAGAGTCTCCCCAAGCTTGCGGTTGAAGTCTCACTGTGCTACGCTCGAATCGCCCACCTGTTTGGTAGTTCTGGACTCGCAAAAGATAAGGATCGCGTAAGGGCAACGGGTTATCGCGACACTGCCAAAGAGTTACTGGAAAAGGCGAAGCAGCTTTGCAAACATTCCTTCCGCGATAGGGAAGTACTGCTCCAAGCCATCATTTCCACAACCAAGATGTTGAGGAGTGAATTCTATGAAGCAGTGTCGAAGGAGGAAGTAGAGGCTATCAAGAAGGCGATGGTCAGTGGACCCGGTGGCATCGCCACTCATTCTGGGCACTGGTACAAATGCGTCAATGGACACCCAGTAAGTCACTCCTGATCCCCCGATTATGGTTACAGTACTAACTCTGCTCAGTTTGCCATTGGTGAGTGTGGTATGCCAATGCAGCTCGCGCGTTGCCCTGAGTGCGGCCAGCCTGTGGGCGGTCAGAGCCATACTGCAGTGGCTGGAGTTTCGCGCGCAACAGAGATGGAAGTCTGAGAAACGGGCATCCCGATTAGGTTCTTGATGAGGCGATGAGTATGGGCGCTAAGATATGACATCGAGGTGATTAGGTGTGCTAGACAGAAGCGCAAGCACGAACCTCAGGTCTGCCTACAACTTCTAATACTATACAATGGTGTGATACGTTTCTGCTTTTGAAATTATGATGTTCTATAGTGATCTATGCGCCAGAAATCATATCGTTCACGAGGACAGTGCCCTCCAAGGTATCATGCTGACTATCACTTGCAGTCCTTGACCATGGCAAGAGTGGACCGGCATACGTCAACACGGAAGATGGGCCAAGAACAGATGACGTTGACAGCATGTGCACCCGTCTGAGTTGTCTGATATAGGTAAGGATTTCAACTTGGATACACACAGGTGCAGTAGATATCACCAGCACGTTCCCATATCAGAGCAATGTGCAAGGCTTTACCCCTGGCCACTTGACACGGGTTCTTGCATTGGATGTCATTGAGACCCTCAATTGGGTGTCTTAGCAGTGCAATTGCATGCGCCAGATCTTTTCCAGATACAAAAGGTCAGGTGGCTGCATTGTGAATTCCGCCATTACTTACTGGAAGAGTAGGTGTAGCGAATTGCACCGTGGATTGCGCCATGAAACACGCGATCAGTGGGTTTTCAAAATCTGTTGCGAAACATGATTTTGTGGTCAGAATCAATACTAAGGCACCGTAAGTTGAAATTGATACAATACTGATACTGTCTATTATAAACACACAAAGACTCAGAAGAGCGCCGATATGGACGCCATTTCAGCGGAAATCTCAACATGTATAAAGCTATACGGAGACATCAACTCCATCGTCGCCTATAGCGTAAGGCGTGGAGATGTCGCAAGGATCATAGAGTTGAGCTATGTCACCGGTGCAGTATACCAGGTCGACGGTGGGGCGCAATGCTGTATGAAGTTGCGTTCGCGCGAAGAAGAAAACTGGGCGGCGAGAGATAAGAGCTCGGCTGGACCGATTTATGCAGATATTGAGCCATGGCTAAAGTTGGATACACGAAGAGGTATGAGGGTGTGTGGAAGAGACGCGGATGCAAGATTAGAGACGAAGGAAAGGATCGAGACATTATGCCCGGAAGCGAGAAACAAGCTTGCCTACTAGCTGACCGTTGTGCTATCCTTGGAATGGGGGTGGGTGCATACACGTTAAAACAGTCTTGCTTTTTCCCCATAAGTCTGCCATTTGCTTTTGCGGTATCGCGAGTGAGCTCGGCATATTTGGAATACATGTAACAATGGGGTGGGTGTGCGCAGAAAAGAAGCCAGGACGACGGATAGGGGACAAAGAAGCAGGTTTAGTCGAGGAAGAAGCCAGGTACCAGTTACAACAGGGCAAGTGTGGCGTGCCAGACCAAGTACCGGTTTTCTGCCTAGATGGCCAGCACCATCCTTACATTGCCGACGCATAGCAGCCTGAAATAAGCAATGATGTTCGTTTTAGACCCAATTCATCCCTTCCTTTAAGCATCATCGCTCCGAGCCCCGTACGACACCGAAAAGATGACACGGCACGGAACGCGGGATCGCTAACTAAGCCTTTCGGCCCTGGCGCCGTCGTCCCGAACCAAGAATGTCACCACCCTTTTCCCTCCTTCTTCTTTCCTCCATCGCCATCCTAGATAGAGCCGAGAAGAGCTAACTAAGCATGCGCTTAAACCGGGGAAGCCGACCGAACCAAAGGAAATGTTCATTAAAAGATGCAAAGATAAAAGAAGAAAAACAATTCTCGCGAAAAGCGACAGGGAAGCTGGGAAGGGTAGGGAACGATTGCGACACGTGGGTATTTATCTCTTGCCAGCCCCAGCCTTGAAAAAGCAATTGACCCTCTCTTGCCCCAGCCCAAGCTGAGAAACTCAGCCCAACGTAGTTGTTGTAGCCAAGCAAACTCGTATAATCACCCTGGAAGACCTCGAACGTGTGCTTGACTTGACGGTACTTCCCTCACTTATATGCCGGTACACTATATAAGCTCCCAGCAACTTAAACCGAGCCACGGGGTTCTGGATCGGAGGAATTCTCGCGGTTAAGCTGCTGAGGCTGAGGCAAGCGTGCGTGCGTGCGCGCGCGCAAGCGAAGAGGCAGCTCATGATAGTTGGCTCCCATAGACGACCCGAACCAATATTTGAAAGTTGTGGTGCTAACAGAGCTACGGTACCGCAGCAACGTCTTCAGCTGGGGTGGGGTGCAGGGAGTAGGGGGGAAGCTAATGCATATACCCAGCGCGTGTTCGCGCAGAGTGCTGGGGTGGGATCATGTTTGCTTATTGGCTTGATATAATGCATGGAAGCATGATTGATGAGAAGAAACATGATTTGCACATCATGCTGGTGAATTATCCGATGATGAGAAATGTTCGCCTTCCCGAATCTCGACGCAAAACGAAAAAATAAACAAGACATGTTGCGATTTGTTGCTGTGCTCATGGATGTTGCCTGGAGACGACATAAACTTTATTTATAATGGCCTGGGAAATAGCTAGAAATTTTTGAATTTTGGTCCTAACGAAAAGGATATGTGCCGCTCAAACCAGACCAGCCCGGTCGATGCGCTGCATATATCACACCATGTTATGATTTTACTTAAGATTTTTATTTGCCCAGCTTGCTAAACACCTTCTGGCCACGCGGGTCTGTCGGTAGCGCTGTGTGCACGACTACGCTGTCCAGCTCGCGGTTGGAGCCCTGCGATGCAAGTCGGTCATGGTACTTCCAGTGCGAGTCGCCGCTGCGGACCGACAGGGTGTCGTCATCTTTGGGTCGCTCTGTGCCGCGCACGCGATGCGCTAGTGTTTGGCTTGCTGTGACGAACCAGGGGAGGCGGCCGCGGGGTGTGACTGCAAGTCAGGGGTGGTTAGCGGGGATATAATGGAGCAGTGGATATGGCACGGAGATGAAAGGGTGGTGGAGAGTAAAGTAGCGGGAACTTACTGGTCCAGTATTCGCGATTTTCTTCATCTTCCGGGACAATATACCCACCTGAGATGACTTTGGTGAGGTAGATCATGCCGTTGAGCGCAGTATAAACCATGAGGCCAGCAATGAGACCATAAGCGGCGCTGTAGCCAAACGGAATGAACATGACGGTTACGAAAGCAGGGATTGCGTCGCCGATATACCGCCAGTTGATCGACGATATTTGGCGCATCATAAGGCATCCAACCTGTTATTCCCGTTAGCAACTAGACTCGAATAGGACGGAATAAGACGACTTACGAGAACCAAAGTGCATCCAGTCGCCCATGGTGGAATGGACGCAAAAATAGGAGCGAAGAACATGGATATGAGAAAGCATACTCCGCATGTCATGGCGGTCAAACCAGTCTTGCCTCCTTCGGCAATTCCAGCACCGCTTTCAATAAAGGCCGTGACAGGCGAACAGCCGAGAAGTGCGCCAATGGAAATGCAAGCAGCATCTGTGCAGTAGGCCAAGGTTGATCGAGGGAAATCTCCTGTCTCTGGATCAACCACTCCGGAGAAACGAGCCATGGAGTAGAGAGTGGCGGTGCAATCAATGATGTCGACGTAGAGAAAGGTGAAGAGAGCGAGGGCGAAGTGGCCTGGTGCGCGACTGACATTCCAGTCCAGGGCGTTCAATGTATGGTTGATAGGGTGGAAGTCGACTACCTTTTTGAAGAAGTCGAAGCGGTCGTTTCCTACCTCGGTGTCGGGGAAGAAAGTAACAGCTGTTCCGCGTCTGTGAAGACGTTAGAGACTAGTATGTACAGGGGGTGAGTGAGTAGTCTTACGGCCATGAGATGATGGATACAAGCAAGATACCCAGGATCATGGCGCTTTTGACCTTGTACGTCATCAAGTAGGCTGTGAGGATGCCACTACCCATGATGCCCAGCCACATCTAGATTGGATTAGCACGTGTCCGAGGGTACACTGTGGACAGCCTACCGTGGGAGAAGTCATCTTATGGCTTGTACAGGCGCCAAACTTGTCCTTGTATTGATCAGGACACCCCGCGATGTCAAGAGGGGTACTTTTAGCGCCAGAAATAGCCCCAATACCGGCATTGTGACTGAGGCCGACCTCTGCTAGAAACAAACCAATACCACAAGCGGCGGCGATCTTGAGCGATACGGGGATGATCTTGACGAGCCACTGTCGCATACCGACTAGAGACAGGAAGACGAAAATGAAACCCTCGGCGAAGACGGCTGTGAGTGCGAGGTTGTATGAGATGAGACCGCTGCCGTGGAAACCGACGATTTGATAGGCAAAGTAGGCATTCAAACCCATACCGGGCGCGAGACAAACTGGCATGTTGGTCAGGAAACCAAAGAGGAAGGAGCTGACGCCTGCCATTGCTGCGGTTGCTGTGATTAGGTTGCGGTTGAGATCTGATGTCGAGTTAACACTGGCTTGGCAGGCATGTATAAGCTTCTTACCCTGCTTGCAGATGAGATAGTCGGTGTTGGTCAAGCATAGTGGGTCGGCAGCGTCTTTGCATACACAGGTGCCACCCGTGTCGGCGAGGATGTTGGCATTCACAGCGATGATGTAGGCCATGGTGAAGAAGGAGGTAAGGCCGGCCCTCACTTCGGTGGTGAACTTTGTGTGTTTGATTTCATCTTTCTGTAGAGCGGATAAGCGACAGTCGGAGGCATGCCCAGCCTCGTTCAACGTACATGTCCGGAGCCTCCGAGGCGAAAGACGGAGCCGAATGTCGACTTGCCCACATAGTCGTTGAACGAGTCGATTGAATTGCGAATAGAGTCCATAGTCACAGGTTGGGACACGAGCGACACCTGACGATAGGGATCCTTGTCACGTAGGGTAACAGGAGAAAGGTTGAGATTGGCCTCGGCAGCCTATATGTGTCGTGCGGGCGGCAAAGTAGAAGCAAACATGGACAATGGCTGACTAAAGACGGATATGGTGTGAAGGGTATCGAGGTGCGATATGTCAGATTGTCGCCATAAGCAAAGGGCGCTGCAGAGGTGCTACAGTACAGGTGACAGGGCGGCGGGTGTTAGCTTTGGCCTAGACAAAAGGCAGATTCACAAGCACAGCAAAGGGAGCAACAATATGGGCCATGGGTGCAGCCAAAAAGCGACGCGACCTGGGTGAGACAAAGGGCTCGGCGTAGCACACGCCGGCTCGACGGCGGCAGGAGCGTTGTCAGGCATGGACAGGGTGGAGATGGGCAACGATGGTGTTTGGTCTAGGCTGGTGCTCTGGTGGAAGGTAGCTCGACACAAGCGAGTCAGGGGCTTGGATTGGCGCTAACCCGGGCTAGTCAGGGCACTTCCGACGCAGATCAGGCGCCGCAGCTACTGAGTGGCCAGCGAGGGAATCCCAGATCTCGTCCCGCTGCCAAGTTACTGCACAACTGCATACGGTCTAGTCAGTTCAAAATGACCTCTTTACTCTTTGCTGTTGTTTGTTTTGCTGCTGCTGCGACCAATTCGTCTCCTATAGTTAGACAGTTCGCGCCGACGCCTTGGTTCCACCGGCTTCGTGCCTCCGCCTCACTGAGACCGTTAGGCAGGTGGAGCATTGCGTGGTGCTGGTGCTGGTGCTGGTGCTGGTGCTGGTGCTGGCAAGCAAAGAATCCTTATTTACATACGTAGTCGTGATCATCCTCCCCCGCGGGAGCCAGACTCTTGCTGGCGGTCTCACATCGGTCGCTCCCCAGCAGTCGTCATTTGACAAGTTCGTAATATAGCCAGCCACAAGCGTTTCCCACTCAAACTTTGCACAGAAACGCCGACCCCTCGGAGACATGGAAGATAGGCAAGTCCGACGGGCTAGCCACATGCACTCATTGTACTCGATGCTGGCTTGCTTTTTCCCATGAGAACGCGATCAAATGCAGATGGCTTGCACGCTCTCACCACGTGTGGATGCATAGATACCGTCGACATTCCGACTGCTCACGGTGCGCCCAGTGCTTGTGCACGGTGCATCAAAAGCACGGCTGCTGCCCACTAGCGCACGTAGTCACTTCGGGGGTGCCCTGATAGTAGTCTTTAATAGGTCAATAACGCCACGTCCGGGTCGTGCGACAATGTTTCGAATGGGCAGATACGGTGGGAACAAAGGTACCGTTGTGTACCTGCTCACTTGAGGGTTGCAACACCACCCGCCCAGGTGCTTGGTTGGTGTCTGTTACCGATCCGCCTGTTCGGGCCATCTCCCTCGATTAGAGTTATTGATAGCCTCATGTCCATCACCCACTCCCATCTCGACAGATCCTCGAGTCGGCATAGCCCCGCTGCACCCCACTTGATCTCCTGACATTGACTGAACATGTTTGCGACCGAACTCCTCCTGGAGCAAGAGACGGAAACCTTTGGCGCTCGGAAAGAGCGCAAGGCGAGGCAGCGGTCCGTCACCGCCTCTTCCATCAACACGTCCATTGGATCCCAGAGTTCGACGAGTTCAGACTCCACCGAACGCGAACAATGGTGGTCCGCCAGCTTGAAGAAGGCAAAGAGCATCAAGCCAAAGATACTGCGACCATCCACTAGCAAGACTACAGCCTCGCAGAAGACCATCAATGCCGTCACTCAAAACCTCGACTCGCAGCTCGCCCTCCACTTCAAGGATCCCGTCTTGCAGCCCAGCTGGACCTACACAAGCTCGCTATCTTCCACTCTGCCCTCGGGCGATTCTTTGCATTCAAAAGATCAATTGTCGGAGCTTGATGGTGATATATCTTCTCGACGAACCGACTCTACTAGGTCGCGCATCTCACGTAAGTAGCCAAGCATCCGTTGGCCTTCGCCTCGTGCTGATTACCTTGGGTAGATGATCGAAGAGAAGTATATACTCCTGCTACCGTCGACAGCAGAGACGATACCCCTCATTCACAACGCGTCAGTCCAACTTCTTTCGCAACAAGCAGAACCCGGCCTGGCTCGGCCACTCCAGAAAACCATGGCTCGCTATCTACGCCATGTCCGGGTTTGAAAAAAAAGGAGAGCAGGTCAGTAGCAATCCGGCCATATCCGTTGCCGTACTCAACTTTCGCAGCTGTCTACCGCATGTAGTGAATGAGGAGGACCTCAAGCTAGAGGCGTTGGAGCTGCACGACAGCTTCCAGGAAGAGAGAACCCCAGACGAGAAGCAGCGCGCTTCCACAGAAACCAGCAACACAAATTCCAATCTCTCTTGCAAGCCTTTCTCGCAATGGCAAGCGCTTACTCCGCGAGGAGTGCCCACAGGGATGCAGTTGATGCCTACCCCTCGTACTACTCCTGCAAAAGTCGCTACGGCTCATAGCAGCACAATGGAGCTCTCTCGATTCCAGCGTTTCATCCGCAGGATGGAAGGCGCCGGCCCAAAAGTCATACTTGATAGAATTAAGGAAGACTGGAATCAAGTGGCCAGCGAAGAGGCCGACGAAGAGGTTAGTCTTGCTCTTGTTCACTCTCGGAACACCTTTGCTCATCATTAACTAGCTGGCTCTTGAGAAACAGCTGTGGTTGCTCACCGGGTTTCATATGCAAAACCTGGGGCGACCTACGATTGCCCCTCAGTCAGAATGCAACACAGGCAGAATCCTGGAGCTGTATGGGAATCTTTGTAAGTCCATGTTGTGCCCTTGCGTCACGCTGTCGTGCAAGCTCTAACGGTTGAGATCAGCTGAGGTATACCAACTGTCGGCTATGCATCCCTCTCAAACTGTGCATTTCCTTACGACAAAACCCCAGCGACCTTTCCCCTTACCTGGAAACGTGTCCTACCTGACGGTGCGCAAATTCGGCATCGTCCCGCTCCCTTACCCCGAGCATTATTTCTCGCATATAAGGGCGTCGACGTTGCCGTCCCTGATGCCGTCTGCTAAATTACCCGAAGTGTTCAGCGAGTGTCACAAGCTGTTGGCTCCCGGTGGCTTTTTGGAAATCAGAATCATGGACGCAGCACCTGCACGTCAAACCGCCGGCCCGCGGATGCGCATGTGGATCGAGGATCGGCTTTCAATCAACCTTGAGCGGGATTTCAGATGCTCAAAACCGTGTCTGCTGGTTCCTGGCTGGCTAGCAGATGCGGGATTCGAAGTTGTTGATCAGGCCAATGATCAGAATACGACACTACCATGCGCTTTCGACCCAACTTCGGCCACTGTCGACCAGGAGCTGTCAACAATCATTGGCCGCGCCTTCTGGAAGGATATTTGGGGTAGCTTTGTCGATGACGTCCCAGGCGAGCCAAAGTGGTGGTGGGAAGACGAAGAGATTCTGGACGAGTGCGTCAGGCGCCGCACTTTACTGGAGTGCAAGACGATTTTCGCATACAAGCGATGATTCCATTTTTTTCCCTTTCTTTGGTTGTGTGGGTACTGGAGACTCCACGTTAGATATGAGTGGCGCGAGCGAAGATTGGTTGCGTTCTGTACCATGAGATACCCGACGCGTGTTGCTGTTACCTTTGCGCCTGCGATGATACCGATTTCTTTTTAGCATCTACTATTTGCTTTGGCCCTTGAGGCAGCGACGGGTTTAGTGTAATATACGATGATCGTACAACCTTGGAAGGTGCATCCCCACCTGCCTGTTGCAGCGTCGTCACACACGTGATAGCGCGACCAAATTGCGACGAAAGGGTTGCAAACTTCATTGCAAACTTCACACTGCTGAACACACAAAAGTAACACATGTTGCAAAGCATGACATCATGTGAGATGGGCTAGGGCAGCCCGGATCATCTCTTCGGACGTCTGCTACGGCGTCCGTGCCACGTTGTTTCAGGTGCATGGCGCGCAACACGACTTTGCTACAAGTCAGCACTATGTTGTTGGCACACTCGCACACATATCGGCTCCCGGGTTCCGCTCAACGGCGTCTTTCCTTTGCCTATCACCCGGACTAATATAAGCTGTCGCCTCCGCTAATCTTCTCGCGCCAATATTGCATTGCTAAGGACACGGTTGGCACGAGACCACGACTCCACACGCTCTCGGTCCGTCGTGAAACGAGGATTCCAGATTGATATCCACCCTCTGAACATACGACAACGCGCATTACTACTGGAGAATAGGGGGTGCAAGATAAGATGCTCAATTCACTAGGCACAAAGCTCGCTCTGCGCAAAGCCGGCTTAGGAAACCTATCCCTCCCCAAAACCGATGGTTTGTTCGGCAACGGGGGTGGGAACGCGAAAAAGGGGAACACCAATGGCGCAGATGGGGGCGATACAGGCTACTTTGCGAATGTACAGTGGGGAGTACCAAAGGCCTTTCAGAGTTGGACGACGCCGCCACCTCCTCAGAACCCCGTTCGCAAGCCACCGCGCGTAGGAGAGAAGGCGCAAACACACGCCAAGCTACCGTTCCCGAGTGCAGATGGAAGACCAGTTGTGCTGCTGTTTTTGAGGTTTTGCGGGTGTCCATGTAAGTCCTATGTTGTCAAGGCTTCTGGGGGATACGCTGCTTCAGTTCAGGGACACATACTGACAATGACAAAAGTCGCCGAGAAGCTCTTCGTCCGTCTCCGCGTCCTCGCAAACCGCCATACGTCGATTCACTTCATTGCCATATCGCACTGCACGCCTGATGCCACAGCAGACTGGGTCAAGAGAATCGGTGGGGCCTGGAACGTCGATGTCATAGTAGATCAGGAGCGAGATTTATATGCAATATGGGGCCTAGGTATTTCGACTTGGGGCCACGTATTGCATCCCAGGAATGGGTTCAATCAGGTCATGCTCCGGAAGAATGAGGGGGTGTGGGGCCAACAGGTTGGAGAAGGCGCATGTCGGTGGCAGCTTGGTGGATCGTACGCCATTGATACCAGAGGCGTTGTCACATGGGGCGGGCCGATGGAGTCTGTGGATGAGGCTATACGATTCGAGGATGGTGTCAAGACGCTTGGCTATGGCGAAACGAGGATATGATTGTGGTGTCGTAAATGGTCAGATGAGAAACAAGATCGGGAGTTATAGAAGGGCGTTTGGAATAAACTCACGGTATAGAATGGCGTTTGGTTTCCTATAAGGGTGTGCGCGAAGTCAATGGGTGACGAATGGATTTTCATCAAAAGTCATGTTCCTTTCTGGGTCCCCCTGTTTTGTCTCCCATCTCTCCCATTAGTCTCCCCTTTTTCTCGCTCTCCCTCCTTCTTTCCTATACCTACGCTTCTCCTTTACTCAAAACTGCATATCTTCGCTCAACAATCCTACCATCAATTCACCCCGATCCGCAGTCCAGTGGCAAAACATCTACACTCTCCGCCCTATTTGTTGTGTCTGCAACCCTCTGCAACCCACCAAGTGATTGGTTTGAGAATGATCTAGCTTACTAGGGACTGACCTGGTAAAATTCGTGTGCAAGACGCTTGTTCGAGTCAAGCCGGGCTTATTGCCCCCTACCTTTGGTAGTATGTATACATGTCTGCATACTCGAGCTATATACAATGATGAAGCCGTGCGTTCGTTCTTTAGATACTCAGGCCCAACACGCTAAACAAGACATAACGGACTTTGAAGATTGTGTGAAACTTCAACACCTTGTAGCTTCCTGTCATCCAAATAGGCCATAGTACATACATCGACCTTCTCGAGTAGAAAGAGACTGCAATCAATACCCATTTGAATTTGGTTAGCAGCAACGTTGCGCACTTACCACAAGACCGGTGAAATTTATTGGCCTCTCGCTACAGCAGATACACTTGGAGATTGCTGTGCGATGGATTTACACCACTGCAGCTCAATTGCACGGTATACATCGCTCAAAAATTTCTTCGACAGTGAGCCAATCTGCGTGCGGTCTTCATCATAGCTTGGCGTGCTAAACAAATTGCATGTGTTCGGAGGGTAGTAAGAAGGGCAGGTGAATTGTATTTCTCCCCAATATTCCATCTCAGCTATATACATCTCCCATGCCATGCCGTATCGGTAGGGTGGCAAGTTGCATTAACATTAGATAGCCCCGAAGGACTGGTCGTAATCATTAAGATCCCAGGTGGTGACCGAGGTACAGTCGTGCGCTCAGCGAAGAGCGCATAGGTATCATCTCTAGAAAGTAAGAAAAAAAGCCGTAACATCGTAACATGATGTGGAGGCTATCCGCCCCAAAGGTATACAGCGAAAAGGCTCAATGTACATGGCGGATCTTGTGGTTTTGCAGTGTCGAGAAAGGAAATTCGTATACTAGGCAGCCCCAGGAGAGAAGAGACTGCCTGCAGGGGTATCGCAGGGTGAAGAAACAAAGCTTACGCTTCTGATCGTCCAGCCGCGTTGTGTGGGAAGATGTGAAGCGTCAAATCCTAAAAGTAGGTATCAACAACTTCGCGTCCACCCCTCACGGCCCATTCGACTATTTCCATGCCGCTAAGTCCACTGGCATAGTAGGTCTTCTTCTGGCCTTGAAGATCAATAAGCTTGGCGTAGGCCCCCTCGCAAAGCGCCTTGCTTCCGAAATGGGGAAAGTAGTCCCACTTGCGGAACGCCTTCACGTCGGAGTCGGTGACAGGGCGAGACGTTGCATTGGCGTTGCGCGGGTCCTTGTTGACTTCTGACAGACTCTTTTTGAGCAATTGTCGCGCGGCCTCTTCGGTCTGGAATTCATAAGGACCCCATGACCAGGCTACCGAGACGTTGGACGATTCAGTCAAGTGCAGTACAGCTACCGGTTCACCGTCGTTTGGTGGTGGGACTGTGTCGTTTGTGGCGTTGGCGATGTAGGATACACCAAAGGGAAGCTCCAGCTCAACAGCCGAGGAGTAGTACTGATGCGTCGTGACGTTCTGGAAGGTCGCATGTTCAACCTCGGTCATGTCTAATCCGGCACGCTCCAAGTTGTCGATGTTCGGCGGGAAGGCCAAGATGACCTCTTTGCACTCTTGCTTCTTCCAAGCGACGTAGTTGTTGCTGGGCGTAGTGTAAGACACGACAGGGTTCTTGCCGGACCGATCGATGCAGCGGACCTCGGATGAAGTGAGAATGTCGGTTGTGCAAACTTTGTTCTTTGCAAATTCGACGAACATCTTATGAAAGTCCAAGTAATAGACGCTGTGCAGTCCGACAAAGGCCGTAAGGATATCTGGAGTGAAGTACTGCAAGATGTAGAGCTAGTCACGTGTTAGTGTATGCATGCGCGATCCCTGCAAAAAAAAAGCTGGGATGATGACGTACTGCAGGTACGATGTTGATATCGCCGTAACCATATAACGCAACCGGATTTACCAAAAGAATTGGGAGCGCCGTGAAGTTGTTTTGGCGGAACCATTCGGCGCCTGAGACAGTAAATTCTTCTGGCACACCATCCTGTTCCTGCATTAGCCTACCGGGTTTCGTGAAATGGGGCGCACGCCACGGAAAAGACGTACCTTGTAGTTCACAGCGCTGATCGGCCGGAAGCGCTCATTCCACAACGCCATGTACCTCGGAATCTCCGCAGACACGGTAGCTGTAAACACGGGACTGATTGCGGGGTTTGGGTCGATGCTGCCAGTTGTGTAGTTGTACCGGAACATTTCGCGGGCGCCTGCGAGCGCAAAGGATTGAATTGGAACATTCGTCTCGTTGAGGATACTCAGAGTGTCTGGATAGCTTGCATTGGAGAGAAAGGCGGCGCCGAGGGGGTGGAAGGTGCCTCTGGGTGGGTGGTCAGCCGCGTCTAGTGCGCGTAAAGGCGGATGCTGTGCAACACTTACTCCTGGTCGTACCAAGCTTGACATTTACCACCAACTTCTGGTTGACGGTCAAACATGACGGCCTTGATACCCTTCTCTTCTAACCGGGCTGCCGCAGCTAGGCCTGCGGGGCCGGCACCAACAATGCATACTGGGAGCTCATCACACATGCAAAGAGTAGGCGCCGATGCTGCGAGCGAGGACAGAGCCAGTATGGGCAAGAGGCGCGACCACATTGTTGAGGTTGGTGAGGAGTTCAGTTATGGAGAGACAATGGGAAGTGCATGAGAAGTGACGAGGTACCTAAGGCTTATAATAGTAAGCGTGACTCGAGCAGGGTACGTTGCTCGGGTTCCTTTTCGCTTGCGCCGTGTGAATGTGCAAGTGAGTAGTGAGAGCACCTGGCCGCCCTGGGACGCACGGTGCGCTGGCATTAAACGGGATAGAGACAGGCTAGCACCTGAACGCACTGCCAACTTGACGCCATGTTGCCATGTGCAGCCCTGGGAGGGCCGGAAATCGCATCAATGAGGTAGACCCGGACAGAGAGCGGTCGTGCGTCGAAGCACTGGGCGGCGGCTGTGACGTTTGGGACGAGGGTCTGCTACTCCAAGCGTTGGTTTTTTAATTTTGCCTTGTCCCCTGGGCATATTCTTGTAACGGCCGTCGCCGCCAGCCACGCTACCTGGACGTTTGCAGTCGTGCCGCACACGGGCTCCAAGAAGGATGCAAATGTGCTGCGATTGAGCAACTTTCACCATGCGCGCTAGAAGCGGTGAACGGTGAACAGCTGTCTGTAGATGTCATACCGCAGCTCTCTGCAAGCATGGGTGCCGAATAGCTGGTGCCGAGCTTCAAACTTCCCGAGGCCAGCCCTGCAGCTGTGCCAACTAGTTCCCACGCCAACGTTTGAGGCCCAGCCGCCCGCGCTCTCGGGACTGCTTCCTGATACTTGAAAGCCTTCTCGCGCCCTTCCAGACTGCACACACAGGAGTGCCGGCGACTCGAGCACAATGCGATGCCTGCTGCCGCGTCCACGGGCCACGGATAGATGGCTATTTGCAAAGTTGCGATGACGAAAGATATTCTGCACATTGCGATGCAGTCGTCATCCCGAAACCTGAAATATCCATGCGCTGGCTCCTCACCATGGCCGTCCCCAGCCTTGCTATGCCTGAGATTGCGAGGGCTGCCGATGGCTGTGAATGCGACGCCGGACAGTGAAGGGCTCCAATATCGTTACGTCATCCAGTCCTCCAGGGTCCAGGCAGAAACAAAAAAGAAAAGGAGCAGCCGTCGCACCATGCTCGAACCATTATCTTTCTTCTCGTTCATGTTCGCCGGGTACGACGTTTTACACACACGGCATTGAAGGACAAGCCGTGAGAGATGATGTTCGTCGCATAGTGATGACTTCGGCAGTAAGCACCCCCGGGTTCCAATTGACCGAGATGAGACAGCAAAGAGCTTCAGAATAGACTGTCTTGAGTCAGGATTCGACAAAACGCAAGGGCTCTCGCAGTTGCTTGGACGCATCTGCCACCCGGACGGGGCGCAGCCGATGTTACGCGCAAAAGTAAACTGCCATCTGATCAGTGCACACCACTTCAACCGCGACCCGACCGCCAGCCATAACACACAGTAAGAGAATAGCAACCCTGCCGAGCTTGACAGTATGAACCCAAGTGATGATGGTTGGTCGCATTACCTGCTATCTTGCTAAACGCCATGCAAGTGGATACCATGGGATTCTGCACCTCATCGCACACTTAGCCGCCCAGACAAGATGAAATCGCTAACATGGAGAGAATGCCCACCTATCGTACAGTATTCCAAAGACTATCGATAATGAGAAAGAGCAAGGAAAGAGAGACAGCGAGGGGAGAGATCAACATGTGGAGAGCCGAGCTTTGTACACGTGACCCATCAGAAATCATGAACATCACACGCCCAACGCAAGCGAGTATTGAAATGGGTAAAGGTAGAAATTATGTGCTGCACAGCGCAATCAGTACATGTAAACTTTTTGCTGCTCTATATCGATATCGTAACGACTCTTATCTGTGTTGTGCGTATCACCACTCATCGGTCGTTCCGACGGAGCATGGTGTACTGAGATGATCTCAGTCCCCAGCTGCGAGTCGTCATTCTCTGTGAGTTTACGCGTGTCCAGCTCGACCTGGTCGAGGACTGGCGTGACTTTCTCCTTCCTTCTGCTGTTTTGCGAGCCGTATCCGTACCTCGATCCTTGTTGTCTCGCTCGGTTCGGGAAGAGCAGTGGCTTGAGCGCTGGGATGCACCCGCAGATGACGCCGACGTTTGTTTCTACCGCAGTCCACACCCAAATCTGATATCCTTCCCATGTGGCATCGTATGTTTTGAAGAGGGTGTAGTGTACCCAGTACGCTCGGAAGCTGCTAGCAACGACAATGACGCCGCCGACGGAGAAGAGAACGACGAGTCCAATGCGTTGAGTCCATGGAAGAGAAAGCGAGAAGAGCGTCGGAACTGGCAAGGCGTAGATGATGAAGTCGGTAACTACGTTAAGGACACTTTGTACGACCAGTGGGGGTCCTTCTGGGATACAGTCACGGTGGTCGGATCTCAGTTCCCAGTAGCTGGAGATTGGGCTATGATGGTCAGCACTGACCATGGATATGGGGATATGGGCAGGGTATACTTACATGCATTGCACCCATAGTGCAACCATGAAAACAACAAAGGCAGCAAACACGAAGGCGAAGGTGGCCCAGACGAGCTTTCGGAAGAGCGACTTCTCTGGTGCGATGCGAAAGTAAGACACGAGAATGGACATCTTGACGGTAGAGGAGGCGAGGACGAATAGGGTTTGACCTGCAATGGACGCCTAGGTTGATTAGCATCAGCTAGTGGTGATACGAGTTGCACACTGTCGTACCTGTCGCCCGACCATCATCTCATGCGGAGTTAGGTCCCATGCATGGCGGTCCCAACCGTACAGTTGGGATGCCATGATGACAATGACTGTGGTGCCTGGGTTGCAAGTCAGCTATTGCATGTGTCACTGCAGGCTTTTCTTACCTACCGATACTGAAGATCATGGCCACAATCATGAGATAGTCGTCATACCAGCTCTTCTTCAGCCATGATATTCGAACCCAGAGTCGAAGGAAGACGACGATCATAGCAATGGGTAGCAGAGTCAACTCGACAATCATCAAGCTCGGTCCTCTAGTGACGGGGTCGAGATAGTTCGGCTTGGGCCATGTGGCAAGGACATCGGGTGGTGGGGATCTCATGGCGGCGGCAGATGTGTTTCGAAGTTGTTGGGTATTTGGAGATTAATGGTAGGATAAGACTGAGGAACGAGCGTCACCAGCGTCCTGGTGAGCAGGTACTGGGCTGGAAACGAAAGGAATATAACCATCCTTCAGGGAGAGCAACGTCTCGACCCGCGTTCTCCAGCTGCGCCGTGCACGAAAAGGCTCGAATCCCTGTGGGACTTGCCATGGCGGAGGGTCACGTCTATGCGCATGTACAGATGCTCGCTGTGCAGCACGATTGGAAGACGTTGACGGCAGCTCCGTAGCGGGTACTGGCTGGTGTCGGTTCCGCCCGCAGGGGTCCCGGTGCCATGTACATTGGCCGCAGTCAACTCGCACAGTGACTTGCTGGTACATTAAACGACAGTGGGTAAATGGACCAGTAGTCGCGAGCTGATGGTGGAGCCAGAATTGCTGGGTTCAGGCAACATGTTGCTGCGGCTCATCAGTGGATAGAGCGAGAATCATGTGCTGGCCAATTGTCATGCTTAGACGGGGTGGCTGTACAGTAGTGCCGACACTGGCGTCTTCGCTCAGAGCCGGCTACTCGCGAGTCGCTTTTGATTTGGAGGCCAAGTCATGAGCCGATAGTCTGGAAACCTGACGGCGTCATCTACTGTGCATCAACACAATTCTGCAAGCCACTGATTCCGTGTATACAATTTCCTGCCCAAACGCCATTGTCGCGTGTCGTCGTTGCGAGATGGAAGGGTCCAGCATCCAGATATGCCGGCTGTGGCGAAGCGCGGCGGATCGACGGCCAATCGGCATGGCCCACCCTAGTCATCGTGTATACCGACAACGAATAACCTTGCCGCTCTCGTGCCTTCATCCTTCATCTCTCCGCCCATCCTTTGAGCCCATTGAGCCCACCCACTCGCCGTTGAACTTGATCCGTCCGTATCGACATGTTGTCATCGGTCCGCCACTCGTCAGCATCTTGTGCATTCTTCCATACACGGCCGAGTAAGCAGTAAGCCCGATATAGCCTACCCTCAGGTACTGTACATGCCCACTGCTCGTCAGGACCGGGTACGCCTACGCGGGCGTACCGTGATGTGCTCCACTTCCGCCACAAAATGTCCGTAAGCTGCATCTAACTATGTACACCAAAGTCTCCATCAGTAACCTTGATTAAAGGACCTGGTCCCAATGTCCTCAGCTTGTCGAATCTTCCCTGTCAACATCATTCCACTACAGCCGCCTCCCCGGTCACAATTTCCTGGCCCATGGTACTGACGACTGCATACACCCGTTACGTACTCCAACCGTCGAAACACTAATCATCCTTCGGGTACCTTGTTTACCATCATCTATGCGACGCGTAGTTGGCTGACGTAGTCTCTCAACCGACAGGGTTTTACTTATTCGGAACCTCCCACCAACGCCAGGCCACCAAAACAACCACCACCACAACATGAGCTCATCTCCTAATACTGTCAGCACCACATGGACCTACAGCATGTGGGGTACGGCCTAGAAGATGATATTCCGCTAACCTCAGCGCCTACTGTATGTAGAAACGAATTTGTTTTCCCGTCTGGTGGCCGCTACCGCACCTCATTGGACAGTCCAGCACATGGCCAAGTCGATCCATGTCCCCTTTTGTCTCTCAACACATCGTTTGGTTCCTCGGAAGCGAGACTCCTAGATTCGCTTGAGCTTGTCAGAACGAATCGAGACTATTCTCGTCACCTTTTGCTCCCCATGGTCTTTCAACGGGTATGCATTGCAAACCTCCCCCGGAAGCCTTTCCAATTCATCAGCCTTCGGCCCCCTCATTACACGTGGTGCTCAAAAAAGCAAGTCCAGCACCCATCACATACCCCATACGTTTACACAAATCTATGACCAAGATAAGTGACTCTCGGCTTTCTCAAACTCTGTCTTCTTTTTCACTACTCCTACTATCCGGATGCCATGCTTCCACTTCTATGATCGACATCGCCATCACAGCTAGTACCACACCCACAGAAGAGTTTCACGAACCCGAATGCCCCGCTACTACGACGGCATAGCAGCTCGGCTCGACACGTCCAATTTATTTCTGGCATTCAGGCATACACTAGGCGGGGACATCATCGGGATTCGTGCACGCACCATGGCACCACTGGCATGCTGACTCCACATCTAGCTTGCAAGCCGTCTTCCAGAAGACGAGCGAATCAAGTTAGAGAAGAGCGAATCAACCATGTGATGGCCTCTTCAGCCGGTGCGTCGCGCCTATTTCCATCGTTCATCTCGGCGAGTGGAGGGATGGCACGGTACACTCACCCGCGAGCAAGTCCATCGGCAGTTGAGCGTTCGTGTCGAGTCCGAGCTCCTACCACTATATATCAGTCACTGACGATCGCTTTTTACTCATCACACCCTCCTAATTCATTGGAAACCTTATTCGTGGCCTAGTCCATAGGGCTGGATGATCGAGCACCTGTGCGTTCGTATGTCGACTGTCACTGATATTGTGACTTGGCACTGGGCTTGCTTACATACAGCGCAGAGCCTAGGAATTCCTTCTCCTGATAGTTTTTTATCTTATGTCATGTCACAGCTTTATGCTCGTGCAGCGCACGTGGGCAACAAGGTAGAGTCCACTAGTCAATCTAGCTAGCTGTGCCATTTGGGCGCAATGTTGCATGAATCGGTGCACAAACATACTCAGCATTGCACAACGTACCGCGCCATGTGCTCAATTCATAGGTGAAAATCAGTTTCTCTTCATCTATGTCTGGGAAACGAATAGTACTCACCTGTTCGACAGCGAGTGTTCTTTTTAGAAGTAACTTGAAGCGGTCACTGATACCAACTGTTAAAAACGATAACAATGGGAGGAAAAACTTTGGGCTGATCAAGTCTGAGTGCCAGCCATGTCCTATCATTGTCTTTTTACATCCTACTCTTGATAATATCAGCTGCCTTCTCAGCAACCGCATACATGGTGGCTTGCAAATGCGCCGCTGGAATCATAGGAATGATGCTTGCGTCCACAACACTTAGGCGCTTGACCCCATACACTAACAACTTATCACTAACACAACCCCCCAGCTTCTCTGGCATCATGCTGCATCCTCCACTAGGATGTGCAAATGTAGGTTGCAGCGACCCAGAAATAACACCCCCTCGGATGATATCCGTATCAGTTTGGTACTGCGGGCCTGGCACCGTCTCAACGGGCTTGTACTGAGAGAGTCTTCGGATGCCCAGTGCTTGCGGTTGTACCTGGTAAGCGCAACCATGACATCAGCGTCAATGGGATTTTGGAATGTGTTCCATTGGACAATAGGGTAGGCAGATGGATGCGTGGTGTTGAGTGTGATGGTGCCTCGTGAGAGAGGTTTGTTGTTCGCGATACCGGAGAATCCCCAGGGCTGGATCACAAGCTCGCCTACCGCAGCAGAGGTTCCAGAGAACTGTTTCGCGAGAATGGCGCGCTGCGCTTTGAAGCCGGCGAGGAGCTTAGCATCCGCGGCATAGCGTGGGGGTAGGTACTTGGAGGCATCCTGGGATTCCAGTTTCGAGACTGTTTTGTTGAAGTTTGAGTCGAAATGCTGGAGTGCAATGAAGACAAGGCCATTGGCTTTGCCGACGGAGTAAGGGCCGGTATGCGACTTCAGGTATTGATCATAGGCAGTTTGATTGAAGGTCGCGTTAGTGTTGAGGGCATCCATATTCTCAGGATTCAGGTTCTCAAGCTCGAAGTTCATGTAGTTGGCTACATGGTCTTGGAAATTGGAGCCTACCGCGGGAAGATTCTTGGAAGCGGGAATCGTCAGCACAGAGATGCACAATGTGAATGGTTTTGGGATTACCTTTCTGACAGAAATGCTAGCAGCCTCAAGGACATCTTTTGGTCCAATACCAGAGTACATTAGCAAGTGCGGTGTGAATACACCACCGGCTGCAAGAATGACTTCCTTTGTTGCATAAGCCTGTACTTGCTGTTTTGTGTCCTTTGACGTGTATTTGACACCTATAGCAGTCAAGGCGCTGAATCCATCTTCGGAGAAGATTATCTTATCAGCATGAGTGTTGGGTAGACTCCGCAACAATCAATTCAATCCGGTCACTCTCCTAGACCCACTTACCTATCTAGGTAGGGCTTAAACTCCTATAGGTAACTACTAGGCTTAAAGCGGTAATCAATCAATCCAATCTGAACCTTCTAGGACCCACTTAATTGATTGTTGCGGACTGTGGTGTTGGGTAACAGCTTCAGGTTCTTACGCGACACGATGCCATCGTAGTATGTGGTACGTGATGTACTACGCATACCCGTGTCCTTGTTGACGGAATTTGGTGACCAGTAATGGCCGACAGGCTCTGCAAAACCCTCACGTGGGTGAGGAATATCGGCCTTATCCCACGAGTGATAAATGGTCTTCATGTCCGGGAACTGGTAGTCCGGAATGGATACCTTCAACGGGCCATCTCCATAAGCCTTCGTGTCGTACGTCATACCAAAGGCCTTGATTGTGTCTTCATGCGGTGCATCGAAGTGGTTACTCTTCATAAAGTAAGGCTTCAGCCCGTTCCAATCCCAGTCCCCATTCCCAAGTTCACCCCACGCATCGTAGTCTGCATCAGCGCCCCTGTCGAATTGCATACCGTTGACATAAGAACCTCCACCTACAACATTGCCAACTGTTACCAAGAAGCTTTGATTTCCGAGGTTTGGAACTGGCGCACTATGCATGTCGTACATGGCAGCGAGGTTAATACCTCCTGAGTTGCCGGGGATGCTGGAAAGTGTACTGTTACCGAGGGCGCCATTCTCAATCACGAGAACAGTTCCTTTAGTTCATGCTGTCAATGATCTTGTTTTTGAAATGTCAGGCGAGCTGAGGACTTACTCTTCGGATCTTCACTCAGTCTGTTTGCAACGACAAGTCCGGTAGTACCACCACCGACAACGATATAGTCATATTTTTGAGGCAGTGTAATTGCTAGCGCTAAGAAAACAAATAAGGAGAGAATGATAAGCGCATACATATTGAATCAAGGTCCTCGAAGAATATGCGGAGTCAAACACACAGAAATGCCAGACCTGCTGTGCATAGCAGCCTCGGAAAAGACTGTAAAGTAACAGAGGAGTCGAGATAAAGATACCTCCCCACATGATTCTCAAATTAACAAGCGAGCTACCCTAGAAGGGGCGTAATGCGACTTTCGCCCTGCATCCATCCTCTAATGCATCTTTATCTGCCGGCAGCAGTGCGAATAATTTAACTCTTCCCATACATTAGCCATCGGAGTAAACGTACCGAAGATGGTTACCGCTACACACTGCGTAAATATTGGGTACGGTAGAATACTAGTCATGACCGTCGCTGCCATACAGTCCTGGGTAGACTCACTCCACTCACCCCGCTAACGGCTTTGGGACAGAGGCCCGCGGGGCTACTAAGATGTTGGAACCGCCATCTCCCGAGGCCCACACGAGAGCGGGAGCTACAACGCAGTGCCTAATAATGCTAATCTAATCGTGCGTTAGCAGTTGCCGCGCTTTACCGCAGCTGGGAGACATCGGGGTTGTATCCTTTTGGTACAAAAACCTGTTTTATGCAACTATGAATTTTTTTATAGTGAGAACGATGATTTCCGGTCGACCTATATTGTTCATATACATTGCTTGCTCTTATAAAAGGCGGCTCGAATGAATACTGTGGGGTATGCTGCTGGCTGGGTGGGACAGCTAGTGCGCTATACCGGATTCGGTCGTGACCAAAGCTGGAGAACATGCCGCGGAATCCAACCTTTTTCTGTTCTGCATTTTACATCCTGGATGCTGCACTCTGCATCCCGCATCCATCACTATCGGCTTGTTTCCAGAAGGCAGTTATGTCTCCAGTATGGTGTACTTCTACCATGAAGATGCAAGCATGCGATGATGACGACTTGTATGCTTTTTCCCCGCACCTTTGCCCCCGTCGGCGTTCCAATACATAACACCTGCCTCCTGGGACGGCAGCCTTTGTATCCGGTGCTGATCAAATCTACATCTGTAGGTTCGACTGGTAAGTGGGCCTCGTGGGTGGGTAACAGATGAGCACTGACTCTTGAGGGGGGGGGGTGTTATGGTTGAGACCTGTCTGAACGCGCACGATGTTGGTTCAACCTCAACGTCGCTTGTTACTACCCCCAAGCTGACCTTGTTCCCGAATTCATTATTGGAGAGGCTTGAGATAGTGACACCTAGAGAGCCGTTTGCTGTCGCCTGATCCAGTGACTAGAAGAAAGAGATATTCGTTAGCTATGTTCCAGTAACATTTCTTTACAGACGATCAATGATGGAAACGGGAAGACATGTGAATGAGTGTGAGAAGAGGTGATAGGACAGATCAACTCATCGAGCTCTGCTATTGGCCTAATTGCGAAAAAAGCCTCAGCTACCGTACACGTGTATGCAAGCCCCCTCGTCAGGAGATTTTCTTTTTATACAGCCCAGAAGATCATACATGTTGATCGAACACGCCCTAATGCAAGAGAGCAATTTCTTGACTGATGGTTTTTCTCGAGAAGGGGGGTGTTGTGTTAAAATGGATTGTGTGTCTTTACTTTCTAAACGACTCAAGATACTCCCGATTTTCATGTTCAACGCGTGCATATTCCTCAATGGCCAAGTCATCACAAACCATATCGGCATGGCCTAACCGGGGCAGTGAACTAATCATCACTGCATCCATAATGGCCACACTTTGCACAGTTATGGCGCTCTGGCGGCTAGCTGTTCGATTCCGGATAAACATATGGTTGGGTTTGAGCGACTGGCTCATGTTGGCAGGCGTAGTACGTGCATCTCTCTGACCACTAACTATGGCGCGCCCAAGTCGACTGACTATTTCAAGATCCTAAACTTCCTAAGCTGCATCCCATATGCTGTTCTCGCAGCGAAAAGTGGCCAAGGCCGTCTGATGCAGGATCCTTGGTGGCTCGAGCCGGGCCGGACATCGAATGAACTGCGGTACATTTTCATAACACAGTGTTTGAATGTGTACGCCCTGTTCTTAGTCAAATCCTCGATTTGCGCATATATCATGAGTTTGGGCTTTGGCCGCGGTTACCGGTTTTTCATCTGGGTGTCGGTGGCCGTTGTAGTTTCGTGCAACTTCATCATGATGCTGGTTTTACACTTTGCCTCTTGTCGACCGTTTTACTCGCGGTGGGACGCTAGCATTTATGGGAAGTGCTGGCCAGAGGTGGTTGGCGAGGCATTGATATATGTTTATATTGCGTCTAATATCTTTACCAACTTGGTACGTCACTTCGAGGTTTTGCTTGAGAGGAGAAAGCTGATGTTATTTAGATATTTGCTGCCGCACCCGTTGTGTACCTCAGACGCGTGCAACTCAGCAAACAGGCTCAATGGGGTGCAAGAATTATCTTCCTCTTTGCGCTTGTGTAAGCATGCCTGTTGTTGATTCTATTCGAATATCAAACTTATTTATAACAGTGAAATCGGGCTCTCCATCGCGAAAATACCAATGACGATGAAATTCCTCGACTCGGAGGAATCGATATGGGACGCCGTTGACCTGAGCATCTGCAGCATCAACGAAGTCTGCGTCGGCATCATCATTGCGAACCTACCACCCCTGCGAAGAACGATACTCGGGTCCTTCTCAAAGTTCATTCCAGAAAGCTACGCTACAGGTCTCGGTAAACACACTAGCCAGTACACTGCATCCCGTGGTTCACAGCACACGTCAAAGAGTCAGGCAGAGCGAGAAACCATAGCCGATGATGAGAGCGAGTGCTGCATCCTGGAGTTGAACAAAAGGCCTCAATCTTCGGGGATTATGAAGACGACCCATGTCTTGATTCAAAACGGCGAAGCGCACTCGAATGAAGTACACACTGTCAAGGAACATGTGTAGATGGAGCTTGGACGTTGCGATATTGTATCCCAGATGGCGTAATTGTAATCAAGAAGATTTTTTCCAAGCTGGTAACTAAGAAGTGACCAAAAACAGGACCTGGTGGAAGATCTGATTGGTATCTGAACGAACTACCAGACATCTCTCGTGAGCATCAAAGCTACATTTCTCACATGTGCATAAACTTCATGTCTCATGACCATACTCTCTTCACAGCAGAGTACCAGCAAAAGCCGAGACAACCAATACAGTCAACATACCCAAGCCTGCCTTACTCACACCCTGTGGCGCCTGCACCGCCGACGCAGCACCCGTCTTATCCGGCGCGTTTGTCCCGGTCTTGCTCGCACCCGCACCCGTCTTACTAGCAACACCACTTCCACTCGGTGTACCTGTAGCCTCGGCTGTGTTGTTTCCCGAGCAGAATATCTGGCTTGGGTTCACGCCCTCCTTCATGAAGCAGTTCTGCAAGTCACCAACATTCTGGCCGTAGCTGAGGCAGTAGTATCCGCATTTGCCATTGAATTCTTCGACAGGCGCATCTTTGCAACACTTGGAGAGGGCGTCGGTTGTGTTGGAGGGGACACCGGATATGCTGCCGACGGCGCAGAAGACGTCTTTGGTGGGGAATTGGGTGAAGTCGGCCGTGGAGCAGGAAGGGGCTGTGGCGCTGGGGGAGACGGCCGAGGATACGAGGGACATTGTGGATGATGAGGTTGTTGGGTGGCACTGGTCCAGGTTAGAGTAGTGTTAGGCGGTGGGTGAGGTCGGTATACTTGCATTAGACGTAGGTTGGGTAACTAGGTGAGTTTGTACGTTGTTAGTTTGGTGAACAAGCAAGCAACCCAAGGGTCAAGAAATATCCCACAGGGTCAGCGCCATGACCTTAGCGCACGTCACACGCGTGCTTCTAGCAAGATCCACGGGCACACCGCCGCTGCACTTCAGCTCCTGGCTCAGCTGTTATGAGGCCGTGACGTGACGTGACGGCTGTTCTCGTGGCTCCACTTGGTTGCTCGGGGAACCCGTTCCGGATCTTATTTTTGGCAGCTACTACCCACTTGTCGGGCATTACAATGGTTGCGCCCGTGAATGTAAAGGCGTGCTCAAAAGCACACGAGGATGCTTTTTGTATTGTACCACGTGCTTCATACTTTCAGATGAAGTCGTGAGGTTGGCTTAAGGTATCCGTGCACGCAATGCCCGGATCGGAGTAATGCACACCCCATCAACACTAAAACTCTAGAAAAATAAGGTTATAGAGCCACCCACAATAGCTATTATCGCGAGATATCATAGATTTGAAGTAATTAGATGCTTGCGATTAACTTGCGCTACTTGTATCTATCTGGAAGGTTGACGTTGCGGCCGCGGCGGGTGGTTTGAGCTGGGGCAGCTGGTTGATGTTGATGTTGATTATGGTTTAACGCCCTATCTGTAGCCTCCCATAGGGTATTCGGGCGGGTCCCGCCGTGGTCTTATAGTGCTGTCGCACTTGCCTCGTGGAACCTATTCCTAGGTGTTTTGTATCTAAGGGGAGTGATGTCCTGCCTATATACATGTTCGTGAAAAGGACTCCCGCCATTTGAAGCCGTTTTCCTACAATATTCTAGTATTTCGTGGCTTGCGCCTTTGATCGATGCAGTACAATAACTACTTTTTAGAGAGAGAAACGAAAAAGTAACAAGAGGCAATTTAAGATACAATGAAAGTTTTTAAAAGAGAGCGTGTGGGTTGTGGCATCTATGCGGCGTTTTGCCGCGAATCCTACACTGAATAATGCCAAGGAATTCAGCGGGTCTTTGTGAAATTCAAAAATAGAAATCACTCGTCATAGAAGGAGTTCGTTACCTTCACGAAGGTCTCGAACTCTTGTGGCTGGTCTATTAATTGCGCGAGGTACGCTAGGCCTTCCTGTCTTGTGCGAGGGGGCACGATGGGGCGTAGAGGCCACTTCTTGAAGTGTGTTGTGGCTCTCTTGCAGAACACTAGGTGTTCTGGCGTCTTGGGCCTACCGCATGGGCATTCTGAGGTATCCTCGTGGTTGAATTTTCGGTGGTACCATTCAAAGTCGCCATGCGTTGAGCGTATCATAAGGACTTTCGCGAGTACCCTTCGGGGCAGCCATAGCGCTGCGGGCGTGCGCCTAGTATCGTATGGCAGCTGCCATTGCGTGTACCATGCTGATAGCCTACTGCTCTTATCCTTCCACCAAGTGTCCCTTGTATGTTCGAGGAGGCGGCGGCCTACTGTTCGTATACTAGATCTTGTGGGGGAGGCGGCCATGCCGTATGGCTGGTGCGGGTCTTTGGCCTCGTTGTCAGCCAGCTGGTCGGCGAGCTCGTTTCCAACAATCTTCGTGTGTCCTAGCGCCCACCGCGTTTTCACGTTGTAGGCCTCTATAGCTCTATAGATTTAGAGGAACGCCTATTAGGAGGAGGTAGGGGCGGTTCCGCGTATGCCCTATATTACCGAAGTGCTGTCTATGCAAAGTACGATCTCCCTCTAGCTAGGCAGTGAGAGTTGTAGTGCGTGTTTGAGTCCTCTGCACGCGCCTATAGCCTCCGCATCGAAGACGTGGCTAAGGGCATTTAGTGAGCCTTGTCCAGTCGCCACAGCGGCCTGGCCCTGGTATATAGCGTACCCGTAAGTGACCACCCTTGTACCGTTGATTTGTTGTTCAGACCCGTCTAAGAAGACAGTGATTGTCTCTTGTCCAAGAGACTCCCACTAGATGGTAAAATTCTAGGCAGCAATGTCCTTTCCTTGCCCTTGCGTTGGATCCTGCCTCGACCCGTCTAAAAAGTGAGGGCTGGCTAGGACGTTTCGGGGTGTGGCGGGTAGCAGTTGTGCTACGCGCTGAACCTTCGATCTTGGTATCCGTCGGTTGCCCGCTGCGCGTCCTCGTATGACTAGTGGCAGTGTAGTTCTATTAGTAAGTGGGTGCTTGTCGTCTATTGTGCGTAGGTGAACTGCAAAGCGGAGCTTGGCCTCCTCTAGCGCCACCTGTGCCGACGGCATCGCAGCTTCTCTTAGCAGTACTGCGTTTGGTGTTGTCCTCCACGCAGGGAGGATTGCCTTCGTGGCTGCTACTAGTGCCTGATCTATCGTGGTTAGGTGCCAGCCTACCCTAGTGCTGACCGTGGGTTTACGGGAAACCCTTGCAATTCGTGGGTTCTTCGTCCTGCCCTCGTACCATGTTTCGGCTCCGTATAGTAGTATAGGCAGGATACATGTTATGGCTGCCTTGCGTAGCGATCCTGCTAGAGGGCCGTAGGCTGTGTTGGCGAGGCTCCGGAGATAGTTCGCTACTTTCCTAGCTTGCGCCGCCCTTTCTGCGACGTGCTTCTTGAAAGTTAGTCCCCTATCAAACCACACCCCAAGCCAGCGCAGCGCTGTCTGGCTTCCCCCCTGCGTAGGGGCTATAGGGTGAATTGTTTAATCTTCCAATTGGATTAGCGGCGCATGTAGTCCTTTCTAGCGCGTGAGGTGGATTAGCTCCCGTTTCTCTAGTGCAAACGTGATCTTGTTCGCAGCTCCCTATTTATTGATAGATTTAAGGTCCTCTGCTAGCAGTGCGACGTTCTCGTCTAAAGAGTGGGAGACCCAGTATAGGTTGATGTCGTCGGCATACCCGAACCGGAGTTTTCGGTCCTAGTTAAGTAGTTCGGCTAGGTATAGGGTGTATAGGACCGGTGATAGCGGCGATCCCTGCGGGGTGCCGCAGGCCACTCGATGTACAGGTGTAGTGACATTGCCTAGGCGTACTCGCACCCTCCTTTCCGACAGGAAGTTCTGGATGAATTTCCGGAGTAGGGGTGGCCACCCTTGTTGCCGCATTCGGTGTAGTAGCCTGTTTTTTAGTAGCGCGTCAAACGCCCCTTGGACGTCTAACGTGAGCATAGAGACATGCTCATGTCTTGACCAAGCCATCTCCACGTCGTGTGTGAATGCGGTCGCCAGGTCTATCGCAGAGCGTTTTGGCAGCGCTCCACCGTGCTGTGGGCTTAGGATGTTAAAAGCCATAGCTGTGTGTGCTATGCGCCTTGCTATAATACGCTCGAGTCCCTTCCCTAGACAGGACAATAGGGCAATTGGTCTCATTGATCTGGGTGAGGACTTATCCTTCTTCCTAACTTTGGGTATCATGGCCACTTCTACCGTCTTCCAGGCGGCTAGGTAGTGGCCTTGTTCCATGCACGCCCGGTAGATGCCTAGCACTAGGTGTCTAATGTGTTCCTAGCATGCCTTTAGGAGTCGGACGGTCACCTAATCGGGTCCTGGGGAGGTGCTAGATACTCCAATCACGTAGCGTTCAGTCTCCTCCATCGATATGTATGTGTCCCATGGTAGTGGCGTGGTTTGCGGGTCGTTGTCAAGAGGCGGTGGTTCTAGGAGGTCGTCCTCCGCCGAAAAACGGTCGAGGATTGCCTCTCTAAGTGCCTCAGCTTTCTTGAGTAGTGCTGTGATTGTCCTACCTTCGATTACAAGTGGGGTGTCCCGTTGGTCGAAGGATAGTTTATACTAGCCTACTAGCTTGTATAGATCTTTGTCGTTATTACAGCCGTCTATGCGCTGCTGCTAGTACGTTCTCTTGGCTTTTCGTACCGTAGCTAGGAACGCACGGGTGGCTTCTGAGGGGGATTGGCTATAGTCCGACTTTTCCTGGATATGCCGCTTATACGCCACTCTACAGTCCTCTGTCCACCATGGGGCGGAGTGGCCTTTTTCTCTATTTGGTGTTCCCGCCGCGTGCATTGCATCTCTTATAGCTTAGGTGATTCTAGCTATGCTTGCGTCGATTACGTCTGCTAGGGCGCTATTACTAATTAGCTGTACGCCTACTGTGTAGAGTTAAACTAGCCTAGCAAACCTATCTATGTTTCTCTCGTGGACCCGGTAGTGATGCTGTTCTAGCACCGCTCTCCCTCGGCTTAGAAGGACAGTCACTAGGGTGAAATGGTCTGACCTTGTATACATATCTTCGCGGACTGTCGTTCTAGCGAAGGGTATATTTAAGAAGGATACATCTAGCACGTGTCCTGCCTAATGTGTTAGGTTACCTGCCTCGCCAATGTAGGGTATGTCGTTCTAAGTGGCCCAGCGGGCGATCTCTGCCCCCCTATTGGCCGACGTGGAGCCAGGCTCAAAAAGTTCATGGCGGGCGTTTAAGTCACCCCCTATAAGGCAGTTACGGGGTGGCGTTAAAGTTGTGAGGTATTGAAATGTCGAGTCATTCTGTGGCTGCCTATAAACATTCAATATGCGGTAGCCGTTGGCCTCGATCCATAGCACATCCCGGCTGATGCGTGGGTGTATAAGAGTAGCCCTTATATTTGGGCTCTTACGGGTATAGGTGAGCACCCGTGGTCGGTCAGTTCCCCACGTTGTGGGGTTGTTCCAGCTTATCACTGGCGATATCATATGGAATCCTGGGTGTGTAGAGGTCCGGGTTCCAGTGAGAGTAAAGGGTTCTTGGATGCATACTATGTCTATGTCTGCTTCCCATGCACGTTCTAAGGCTGTAATGTGGCAAGGCGAGCTTCTGGCCACATTCACCCAGCATACCTGCATTTGTCTGTGTCGGTGTGGCGTGGTTTCGCCGGGTGAATTTGCGGGTTGTGCCCTCATTACGCACTAGATCCGAGGCTCATTTCAGTGTCAGCGTGCTCAGACGATGACGTATTAGGGTCTTGGTCAGCGGTGCTAGGCTGCACGCTTCTAGCAGACATTCGCGCTAGGTTGAGGTCTTGCGTAGTTGCAGCTGTTCTCTTAGACCTCCTAGTCCCTAGGGTGGTTACGGGCTCTCTAACAGTGGCCGTGTTTA